GAGAGATGTTTAAACAATGGCTTCAGGAATGCGTTTTGCCGAAAATGAATCCATTCCCTGGTCCGCGGTCTATTCTGATTATGGATAACTGCAGTACTCATCGCATTACGGTAGGTCTTCTGTCTTAGCCTGGCTATCATATAAACTTACAAAGTAGTAGGGTATTCGCCAATTATGCGACGCTAAGGGTGTTCTTCTTAAATACTTCCCTCCATACTCGCCAGACTTAAATCCCATTGAGCCCTCGTTCCATGTCTTAAAAAGCTGGATGAAGCGGAATGATGATTTGCTTCCAGAGTTTAGGGAAGGCTATGAGGCGGCGTTTGTAGAGTTTCTAAAGGCAGCATGTATTGCTTTTACTGACCGGACAAACCATCAAGCGCTGTGGCTGAAGTCTGGATATAATGTTCATGGTATTAATTTATAGATAAATCCGAGACCGTTTAAAAGGCACGATGGTTTACTAGCCACCCCCTCTAGTGACCGGAGGGTTAATAAACGACCGTTTAAAGCGTTCGAGTAGCTTCTTTGACCCGATGCTCTTAAGATAACCATCCTTGATATTCAGCCTCTCAGCAAGACGGATAGGATTTCTGCGAGCCTCCAGATTCGCATCGCCTATGGTATAACCTTCATTATCAAGGTCCTCGCCTGCCTTGATCAACTCTTCCCTTTGCGCTTCAGGCCAGCCCTGACCTATCCACCTACAAAACTCCCGGACCGTGAAGCCGTCGACTGATGATACTGGAGAACTGGGAGGTACTGGAAATTGAGTTGCCATAGGTGTGGTAGGCGGCATACCCCAGGGCGTCATACCCATAGATGGGAAGCCGAAGTTGAAGTTCTGGGTAGGGCCTGGCTGTGATGATAGAGTCTCAGTGGAAGACCGCTTTGATTTGGAAGTATTTCGGGCCTCTTGTGCTTGTTTCTGTTGGTCCCACGTAAAAAGCTGTTGCTGGATAGGGGCAGGAGGTGTTTCGATACTGTGAAGAGTAGGAGATATGCGGATTAGTTCGGCCCAGTTCTTAGTAATGCGATCAGATATCTCCATATGGCGATTTTCTGCCTGTGGGTTCGGCCAGCAATATAATGACCTTGCAGGACACCGATGTGAACCCAACGTGCACTTCCATCGCTGGGTAATCTCAGTCACAAGCGCACTCTTATCTGTATTGGCGGTGGTAATCGCTTGTACCGCCGGAGTAAGAGGATGCGCCAAAGATAGGGTACTGCCAGAAGATGCAGCAGTTGTCGATTGCCTGAGAATAGGGACTGGAGTCGGTAATGGCTCGAAAGTTGTGCCATATTTAACTTCAATGGTAATCTTGAGGTTTTGTAGGTTGAGTTCATGATACTGATAGTGTAAAACAGCGCGGAATTCTTTAGCGTCGTTATCAGTACTAAGATCAATGTCGTTCTCAACCACAGGTTTCGTTCGGCTATCAATCATTGCTGCAGAGAATGAAGCCTTCGTCTCATGATGATAGACGAGAGGTTCAAACCGCTTCATTGCTTGTGATTTGGCGATAGATTGCGCAACCTCCAGAATCTTCTCGCGATTGATATCCGCAAGGCTCGCTGCTGTCATTTTCTTCGGAAGTGCTAGCCCATCAAGGTATGGAATGAGCGTGAGGATGTTCTTCATAGTCTTGCCGAATAGATTGTATATCTTATTGGTTGATTGAGATGCTGAATTCGCAGCAGGGCTGGCAATAGGCGATGATATCCCAGGTTGAGATCCGGTACCAAACCCTTGGACATTTGCTAAAACAGAACCTCGTTTCAGACGCTTGCGAGGTAACTCAACAACACCATCAGTAGAATCTACCTCATCCTGGCCGTCGCTACTATCGTCGTTATCCGAAATGATAAAGGTACGCCCCCTGGCAGGAGTCGGCGTGGACGGTGGAAAAGAGACTGCTTTCGTTTGCTTGCGTTTCTTCGCTGCTGCTACAGGCTGAGCCTTCGTAGGCCCTGCCCTCGTTGTGGTCTTCGCGGATTTCGTAGTCTTCGAACTAGCAGCTCTGCCGTTATCACTAGTAGAGCTACCTTTTGAATTCGACTTTGTTGCCTTTTTTATAGGTCGACGACCAACCGCTGGTGCTAGTCTTGCTTGCACTACGTTATCTGGTGTGTCTTGATGTAGAGGATCCGCGAAACCGACTCGCATCTGCCTGCGTCTGAGTCTACGTCGTCGAGAATATGGTGTATCCGTTTCTATATCGGATTTCAATTCGGATTCACTATGACGAGGACTTGATGACGGGATATTGCGGTTTGATTGATCGCGCGTACGGGCCATTCCTAACAGAGTTTCGACTGCAGCTTCTTCTCCAGAGTCGTATTCGTTGTTCATCGATCGAGATAGTGCTTTGGAATATGCGATACGACGCGAGCCTGACGCGATTTAGTTCAACAAGTTCTGTAACTATAGTATTAAAACATACAGCGTTACGACAGCAGAAAATAAAGATTTCAACAAATGTTTGAAGCCTAAGAGCAATGATTATGGGCTAGATAAAAGCGCGATATTGATATAATTGATAAAAGCGCGTTCTGACGCGTGTTGGTGGAGTAAAAATTGCCAAGCCGCCAAGGATCCTACCTTAACCTGAATATGAGAATATGGCAATACGGCTCCGAGGAGATGCAAGAAGCCGACGGACGGTCCGCAGACTCATACCCTACCATCCCCGATTGTGTTTGTCCACGACTATGTCTCTTCAAGAGGATTCTAGCTGCCACTGGATAGACATATGGAGTTCCACTGCAGCTGCCTGCGCGTGATTACCGCTGGTCGTCTCGTGCCATCACCGCTACTTCACAACACAACCGCAAAGAGCCGCTTTAAATTCAGCCCCACCCTTCAGTAAACCTTCTCAAGACCTGCAAAGAGGAGAAAAAGACACGAAGCAACGAATATTCAAACATAGAAAAATAACCAGTCAATAACAAGTCCTCAATGTGAGTTCGACTAGCTGCCCTCCTGTTCATCCTTCCAGTGAAATCAGTGCCTAGCAACCACCCACGTTGCGTCTTTCGAACCTCCTCATCATCCTTCCGTTCACCGTCCCCATTATCACAGTATCAGCGGGACCAGTTCTCTACGCCGGTTGCCAAGTGGGTTGCGCTGGCGCCGTTATGGCTTGCTACTCCGCCGCTGGGTTCACCTGGGGCGCCACCTTAGGTATCACTGCTCCAGCGACGATCATCGCGTGCAATATGGCCTTTGGATCTTGCCAGGCGGGGTGTGCCGCGGCGCTTTTGATACTTACACTTTGAGAAATGACGCGGAAGGTCACGCTCGTTATGTCAGGGTTGAAAGGTGAAGATCGAGATGTATGATTTGTTTTGTGGAAATCCGGCAAGCGAGCAGGACTGGAAAGTACTGTGGAGAGGGACCGCGCTCACGCTGTGTACAACATGCGGGGGACTCGCAAAGAGTTGACCAGATCGACATTCGGTCCCTGATATTGAAACTTGGTCGCATACCGTCATGGCATGACGTCACACATCAACCATCATATATACGCGGTATAATAGCACATGGAGCAATTCAACTGTTGAACCACATTATCAATCGTGAAGAGAGTCCATTTGCAAGAACCTCCAAACCACCAGACCTGTTGAAACCCATCGATACTGTTCACCATGTCCGAACCGAACAGGAACCCATCACTCGTCACTAGCCATGCGCAATACGCCAGAGGCATGGCCGAAGTACGTAACCGCACCTCATGAACACATCCTCCTCTTTTTTCCTCCATCTCTCCCCCTTAACTCCATAGTCGCATGCCAACTCACCTCCCTAGGCCACCATCGGCCAGCTCTCCGGCTCCGAAGCGTGGAAGGCGACCGGTGCGCAAGATAAGGTCACCGCCATGGATCACATGAAGCGGGCGGAGCAGCAGAGGGAAGGGGAGAACAAGGGGTTTGGGAAGCCGGAGGAAGTAGCAGGGAAGGTGGTGGGTTGTGAGGGAATGAAGGAGGAGGGACAGCGGACGGCGGAGACGGGTGCCAGCCAGTAGAGGTGGCTTAGGTGAAGAATGTTGGGATGAGGTTGATTTTTATGGCGTGAATCGGATTGGGAGAGAGTAGGGACTTGGCTGGTAGTTAATCTGGCATACTTAGGGTGTAATAGATATGGTTGTGAACTGGAAGATGTGGGCTTCGAGTAAGTTTTCATTAATCCTGTTATCGTGATATGTGGAAGTGCGATACCCTAGTCAGAGCCCTTGCAATGAGGGCAACCATTCCGGCAATCAAAATAGGAGCCGTCCATAGTATCCGCCTTTTCATGACACACCCCAACCGGGCTGCGATCCTTCGCTTACTGGGCTCTCCAAACTGCTCAGACTCGTTCATGTGAGGATATGGTTCATCTGGAATATCTCTCCCAAGAAAATGGCACAGCGGCTCCCAGCCATCGCCAGGTTCCCACTCGAGCAGACTCTCCCTCGGGACTAGCGACTTGACTTGCTCGTAGTGCTTCTTATATTGTCGAACCAACAACTCTGTCTCGATCGACTTTTTACCGAAGAATCCCGCCCAGAGTTCCCTATTCACCGTGATGTTTTTGGCCAGAGTTTGCGGGTCGAGGAATGCAATGAAGGCGAATTGCCAATCCATGAGTATCTTGCTGATCGTGGACTGAACCGACTGAGCCTAAGCTTCTGGATTTCGGTGTGTGAGAATAACCTTGGCTTCGGGGTATGAGGCGATGAGTTCCGGCGCAAATGCGGCGCAAGGAAAGCCAAGAGCAGCCTAACATAAAAAGGAATGAGATCAGGTTTTTAGGTTCCATACTTGTAGCCTCATCCAAGTCAAACCTACCATACAGTCACCCAGCAGCTGGTCCCAATCCGCACGCTCGTACGGCTCCCCTTTGCCGTACCACTTCGCATCGACAGCTTCATTCCAGAGATCAAAGTCTTTAGTATTCTTGATCGCCCGAAACATGTGATAGACGTCTCGATATCCCAGCTTCTGGAGTGCTGTAAACATTGCTACAGATTGCGAGAACTGTTAATAAAGTAAGAACAAGGATGCCTGGGCAATTAGAAGTCAAGTATAGGCGGTCCCAGTGCGAGGCATTCCTAACGCCAGCACCTCCATAGGCACCACTCGCTGATTCCCACGCTTGTCGATTTCATGCCTGATGGACGGGTTGGGTCGTAGTCGAGGATTCCGAAGAGCTTTTGCTTCTGTTCCAACATGACAAACTCTGAAGTCAACTCAGGTGCTTCTGGAAAGGTGCTTTCGGCCTAAGTCATAATGTTTTCACTGAAAATGGTTGGAGTGTGTATGGGTGGTAGAAATGTGGTTCTGAAGTATTGCCAGTCAGGATACGAAAGGCCTTAATACAACTACGTGCGAGAAGCCGCACGAATGACTCGTACACTTGACGTTGTGCGCAGGCCCCTGCAACAAGCCAGAACGGTTGGCCCAAAATCAATACCGGACTCTGTACTTCAGTCTGTAGTAGCATTAAATTTGACAATTGGAAGTTCTCCATCATGGCGACGGCGAAATTGTACTGGGGGTGGACGGGATTGATGGCCCTGAAACGTCTCTCCAGCCCGTCGAATACTTAGCCGTTCCCAATGATCGGCTGTACCTTACCAACAAGTAAAGACCCCCAGTATTATATCAGATTGCTTGCGGTAGAGTAGGTAGATGTTGCACTTGACACTTTATTCAGTATCGATGTAGAGATTCATTTCTATGCACCCATGACTTTTCCTTATCGATCCGTGATTCTGAAGACTATCCCATTTTATTTCGAGAGGTTCTTAGTAAGTCTCTCGAACACTCTCTTCACACTGCTCGAGAGTCGTTGCTTCATAGCAATTCAAGCATCTTTCAGTAAGAAGAGCAACGACAACCACCCCTTATTAGTGGGGTCTTCGTAAGCAGTGATGCTCCAGATCTTCTTTATACCCAGCTGATCTTTGTGACGAACAAGGAGAAGCGAGGCATCAAGCCCTTCTGGCGTCCCCAAGAGCGCATAAAAGCACTCACGTCGAGCCTCATTTTCAGGCCAAAACCCGGAACCTGGCCACGGAGGAAATTCATTCCTCCCGACTGATTTCAAGCACTGTTGAGTGATGTTCTTGGTAGTCGCTGTTTTGATACCGGCGTCGAAAATGTATGCTAGGCTCCTGGTTTCCTTTTTCCGATACTGGATGGCTCGTTCCCATTCCAGGAAAGCTAGGTCGTACTTCTCTCGGAGTGGGACCATTGCTCGACCTTCGCGGGTCCCCCTTGTGACGAACTCTGTAGTGTAGACGTTGGAGATGATGAGGACGCCGATGTCCACATTGTGAGTCGCCCTCCATGATGCACCGGTTGGCTATCATGTAAGTTAGCAAACCCGGCCATTTGAAATAGCTGTGGACTGAACGTACTTGAAACAAGATCTCGTCAGATCCGTCTTTGGACTTCACTTTAGCAGGTGCGTCTTGCTTAATATTGGACCCTTCCCACGGAGGGGCAGTCAAACGGGCTGATAAGCCAAGGTCGGAGACTATGGGGACGTATTTGTCGACAATGTCCAAAAATCTCTTGTCTCCGGTCGATTCTCGTACGTTCCACCCATATTTGAACAGGTCGTTGGGGTCCGAAAAGGGACTTTGGGCACCTGTGGCATCGCCAAACGCTGGGTCCTCGGGCCACCGACAGCCTTTATTCAGTTGGTCGTTGGACTTGGAAAAGAGGGCTTCCAAATTCTGGCCTCGCTCTACCGCGTCAAGGAATTCCGTAGGAGAATTTTGTCGAGGTCGAAGGCGTCTGCCACCACTTCCAGATCCACTTGGTGTAAAACTGCATTGTGGCCCTGAATCGGCATCTTCCATTCGGTAAAGAATATGGATCTCTCCTTGTAACCCAAAGATAGTGATGGCGGAAATTCTTCTCAGGCCGAGCTGCTCTTTATGTTGATTCAAGAACCAGCCCCAGACCATAGAAACTGGCACACCCTGAAGTACGAGGAACTTCTCCTTGTTGTCCGGGTTGGCATCGTCATATCGATGCCGTAAGCCAGGCCAGGGGGTAGGCTCGTTGCTGGACCCAAGGATCTTTTCCAGGACATCGATGGTAGGACGGTTGATGACCGAATCGATAATCACGGTCTTCAGGGGTTGGTTGTGTCCCCGGTCAAGACACACTCTCTTGTATTCAAGGAACATTACATCCGACATCAGTCCTAGGGGTGGTGGCTCCTTTCCCATCCCACGGGGACTATCGAAGGACCACACGACAAGGGCACGATCAGCGCAATTGATCATGACTTGGGACTCAGCATAGCTAGCCTGAAGGTGAGGTTAGTAGAGCCGTGAATGGGCGCAACATGCTCACTGAAAATTGAAGGGTCTTCCCATTTTTGAAAATAGTCACGTCTTCACCGTGTATAGTGTAGACGACTTGCCAAGCACTTGCATCTCCTGAAATCCCGAACTCTTGGAAGGGGCGATCGTACTTCTTCCGAAACGGGTCTGAAATCTGAGCAGACTCGCGGTCTAGAATGTCTTCAGCGGTCCAACCATTCCGCTTCATTTCTCCATACTCCTTGAATTCACTTTGAGAAGTCCTAGGATACCCGAAATTGGGTTCGTTTGGCCATCTCTGCGCCTTGTCCAGTTCCGCAATTGTCATCGGATAGAAACAGTTTTGTTTTGCCCCTTTCGCACGCAGAGAATCCCAGTCTAGAGCCAAAGCAAGTCGGGAGATATTATGGCCCTCGAAGCTGGATTCATTGTGCGTATCGTCGTCGAACAACAGGGGAGCCTCTCGAGAGACGATTTGACCGCGACTCGGTCCATGAGAAAGGCTAGCGTGCCATAATGGAGCTCGTCCATAAAAGGCAATGATAGATCCAAGCACGGCTATAAAAGTGACGATAAACTGTTTAGTAACAACCATGGTATAACGATTATCCCACTTGAAAGCGGTGTTAGGTCTGACTGAGGAAGGTAAAAAAATTGAGGAAAGTCGAAGTGGATACAATTTTGAAATGTTGTGGCATTGGACCATCCTGAGGACGATGAAAAGTCTCTATCATGTGTTTTTCATCAATTTCCAATCATTCACCTGCAATCAAGGCTAATAAGGAGAGTGAATTGAATTCGGCTTTTTGGCCGGACTAAATAAAGCTGCTCAACCGACACTGATAACTGTGGGAAAGCAGCACCTACTAGTTGCCTATTTTTACATATGCCAACTGTCATCCAGTAGCCTCTTCTTGTTCTGAACCGGCGACTAGCTGCCAAAGCCACTGTGGCCTTGAGCATGTACATAGCAGGAGGATTATCTATAGTACAATGAGCGGTCATTTGGAAGGCACTGCGGAATGGCGACATGAGTTAGCGCCTGGTCATATGGACATCGAAATGGAAGGCACTTGTGGAAGTTGTCAGATTTTCCATTCTGTTACTGAATTCAGTGAATTTTGTACAAGGGGCCGCTCTGGGTCGAGGGTGAGGAGCAAATATTGCACATACCGCAAACATGCCACGAAAGACACCCATCTTTTGCTTCAGAGGGGGAAATGGCAGGGAAGGTTCCATCCTAAGAATCATTATCGTGAATCGGCTCCTATGTTGGGGCAACAATGCATCTGAAATAGGAGGCATTGACGGTCCCTTGCCATGTGTCTTTGAAGTCCTGTAGCGGCAGGATTCCGTATTTCAAAGAATCAAAGTCGAAGCCATGATACCCATTCAGGTGGATTTGAAACCTTCAGTCATCCCGATATGAGGTGCTGGCTCATATCGCGTTGTATTCAGACATGCCATTATTGAGACACGTGGAATGAAATATCGTTGCGCTCTTCTCTAGCGTATACATGTTACTAATATCCACTCGCTAGGAATCTTAATATATGACATTTCGTATAATAAATAAAGATTGTAGCAATCAGTGGATGAACGGATCTGACGTTGCTCTAATAAAGATATGCAGCTGACGTAACCCTCAGCCGCTGCTCCACTCCCCCCTGTCTTGATCTCCAGCCTCTACACATGCTAAGACAGGACCCCCGGTTTGTAACCACCCCACTTTGTAACCAACTAAACCCCTTCAATCTGGAGATGAGACAGATCAATAAAATACATGTACCACCACACAATCATGCTGTAACTGTGTCGAAATCCCTCCAGTTAATGAAGAGGCTATAAAGCTCGCGATTCAGGCTTATATTAATAGAGAATTTGACTCTATACATAAGTGCGCGGACCAGTACGGTGTTACCTACTCCACGCTCCAAAAGCGCCTCCAAAACGACCGCCAATCGCACCAAATTGGTGCTCAAAAGCTCCAGAAGCTGTCTCCTGTACAAGAACGATATCTAGCGGAATGGATAGCCCTGGAAGACCGGGCTTCGAATGCCCCCTCCCACGGCAGGGTTCGTCAAATGGCAGAAGCAATTGCCCGCGAAAATGGTGACCACACGCCTTGCGGGAAGAACTGGGTGGACGGATTCCTCAAGCGAAACCCCCATATAAAAACTATGGTGGGCAAATCAATCGAAGCTTCCCGCGTAAATTGTTCGTCCAAGGAAATCATAGCGGCCTGGTTCAACCTTCTCCAGAGCCTGATCGACCAGTTTCACATCAAAACGGAGAATATCTGGAATATCGACGAGCACGGGATTGCGCTTGGGTGCGGCGTAAATGGGCGTGTCTTAGCACCAATACAAGAGAAAAAGATGGGAAAGAACAGCAGGAAAAAGACCTATATCAAGACTCCGGAGGACCGCGAATGGGTCTCCGTCATTGAGGCCATTTCAGCCGTTGGCCGCGCGATCTCTCCGCTCATCACCTTCAAGGGCAAAAACCTCCAATCTACGTGGTTCCCTGCGGATCTCTCGAGCATGAAGGACTGGCATTGGACAGTTTCAGAGAACGCCTGGACGTCAAACGAAATCGGGCTCAAATGGTTGGAGAAGAAGTTCCTCCCGGAGACCGCACCAAAAGACCGTACGGAATGGCGTCTCCTAATTTGCGATGGGCACGGATCGCACGCGACGGTCGAGTTCATGAAGATGTGCAAGGATAATAAGGTAATTGTCCTATATCTCCCTCCCCATTGCTCCCATCTGCTTCAGCCCCTAGATGTCGCTTGTTTTTCGGCCCTGAAGAGTAAATATCGCAAGGAATTAACCCAATTGAGCTCCCTCGACGACTCTGCCCCAGTTAAGAAGCATAATTTTATAAACATTTATAATAAATCCCGCATTGAAGCTTTGATAAACCATAATATCCGCGCTGGGTTCAGAGGCACCGGAATCTGCCCATTCAACCCACACAAAGTATTAAATAGCACCCAATTAAACGAGAACCATACTATACAACGTCATGTGACCCCAGAGCCCATATATGATTATATATTTAATACACCCAAAGGCCCAAAAGACGTGTATACGGGGAAAAAGTTTGAGGACATGCCTGGACGGGATTTCAGGGGTTTACAGGGGAAATTGGCCAAGGCACTCTCAAAGAAGAACGTCGAAATCGCAGCACTGAAAGCGCAAGTTGCAAAGCTCGAAAAATCACTGGAAGACATAGGCGGATTGTCTAAGAAAAGGAAAAGAGTCCAAGTCGACCAAAATGAGCGATTTGCGACGATTGATCAGATTGTTGCTGCGCAAGAAGAAGCAAGACAAGCGGAGCTGAAGGAGGCGAAGAAGAAGCCCAAATTTGACGCGCAAAAAATTTCGGACGAGCTGCAAAAAGCAGAATTCGAATCACTTTGCTCACAGTTTCAGATATAATATATAAATTTCAATATTGGTGGAGTTATTATACAGAATCTATAGTCCTCTGTTGTTGGTGTTGCTGCGTGTGAAGTTGTTACAAATCGGGGTGGTTACAAACCGGGGATCCTGTCTTACAGTACATAAAGTGCTGGAATTACCGGGAGTTTTATTCTGCTGTACATCCATCGCACTCAGTGGGGATTGGGCAGCTTACTTGGGATTCACCTTGTGATAAATATAAGGTATCAAATTAGGAGCCACGGAGCCTACCCCTGACTGAATGGTTAAATCGATCAACAAATGATTTATATCGATGGTGGGATGGAGTAAGAGCTTGTGATGAAATACCGTGTGTGGGTTCGGAATTGACAGACAGAAGTGATCGTCGCTCTTGGATTGATTCTTATACTTGTCTATCAACAACTATCAAGGCGAAACTTGCTGCATATCCAAAGGGGGCGCTGTATAGACCATGCATTCCTTGACACGGTAGTCACAACTTCGAAAACCCCTTGCCACACTTTCCGCATGAGATTCCTGGGAGAGTCCTGTTGAAAATGGTTACTCTGGGTCTGGTTAGTCCTCAGAAGCTGGACCAGCATAGTCATCGGCTTACCAGTTTGGCATGTCCCCTCCGATCTCCTCCTCTTCCTCGTCAACTTTTATCGCAGTTCCATAGCCAGGACTCTGTTTCTTGACCCGAGTGGAACGTCGGGTTGCGCCTGCAGACCCTTCCACGCCCGTCTTCCGTGCTTTCGATCCTTCAGCCGCGAAGCTACTCTTCCTTTTTTTTGACGCCCTTGCAATGGCGGTCCGGGGTTGCAAACTGCTCGAACTAGCGACCACCTTCCCTTTCCTCCGCTTCCGTCCGGGGTCCGACAAGTCGGCGAGTTCCACAAGCTCGGCTGCGGCCAGAATTGTACCCATAAGTTCCTCATGCTTCATGGAATCTGCAGTGTCCACCGATTCCGGTGGTTCAGGTGCTTCTTCGTCGGGAATAGAACCAAGATGGTGAGTAACTTGGTCTTCTACCCACTCGCGGATCTTGTAAGTTTTAAACGAACCGGGTGACAGTATTTCGGGGGACCCCGCCTGTCCCTCTTCAAGGGGGCTGTGACGGCGAGTCTTTATACGTGTAGACACAGGAGAAACTACCGGTTTTGCGTGGCCGCTAGGATCCGGGGTATCGAGCAAAGAATCGTGGGTAGTAGGCCCGAAAGGGGTTTGAGAGCTGGCAAGCGCGCGAACGCCCGGTGTCCTGACCTCCGAGGTAGAGAAATTGCCTCGCTGGTTGGGGATCTGCGCGTGGATGGGCAGGGGAGTACTGCGGATATTGGACTCTGGCTGGCGGGGGGGTAAATGAGGCACATATGAGTTGTGGATAGCAGAAGGCTGGGTAGACGAAGGCTGCGACTGGTTTTGCTGTCCAGAGAACACATCCGGGGAAGTGCTGAAGAACATAGTGGGCGGGGTGTAGGCTGCGAAGCTGTAGTGCGGACCGTGTTGAGGAGCCGGCGGAGGTAGATAGTCCTGAGGCCTCATAGGATCGTACAAGTAGTAAAAAGGCCCATAAGAAATGGGAGACTGAAACCCCTGAGGAGCAAAGTGATTTTGAATGCCTGGCGCAGGGACAGTAGGCATAGAGGCAGACACGCCAGACGGATGAACGGCCGACGTAGGGGCAATCGGCACAGACTGGGGCCCACTAGGCAGATGAACAACTGACGTAGGGGTAGCGGGAATAGAGGCAGACACGCCGGTAGGATGAATGACCGATGCAGGGGCAATATGCACGGACTGAGGACCGCCAGGCGGATGAACGGCCGACCCAGGGACAGCGGGAATATAGGCAGACACAGGCGGATGAACAACCGACGGAGGGAGAACAGGCGTAGATCCAGACACGCCAGGCGGATGGACGGGCGGCGCAGGAGCAATAGGCGCAAACATGGACAAGCCAGGCGGATGGACAGCCGGCGCAGGGACAATAGGCGTAGACTGAGACATGCCAGGCAGATGAACTCCTGGCGGAGAGGTGCCAGGCGGAGGGTTGCCATGCGGAAGAACTCTCGACAGGGAGGTACCAGGCGGAGGGTTTCCAGGAGGAAGGTTTCCGGGCGAAAGGTTTCCAGGCGGAAGGTTTCCAGGCGGAAGGTTGCCCGACGGAGGTGGTGCTAAGGTAAATAAGTTCACTGTGTACCATGTACTGAATAGGATTTGAGGGAGTTTACCTGCAGTATTGTCCATGGTGAATGGTCGGGAATCAGACTACGAAGGAAAATGTAGAAGCAATCGAGAGGAAGACAACTACTATGAGAGAATTAAGAGGAACAGATCGACTGTGAGAGAATGGAAAGGAAGAGAATGGAGATCTGACTGGGGGGTTCTGCCGCCCGATTTGATGGACCTGAAAGCGGAAGTCACGATAGACCGAAACAGCAGGCACGACGTTACAATAGAATTTACCTTGAATCTCCTCCACGTCACATGCACAGACAATTGCCGCTGTCTACGTCGTCCGAAGCAGTCGAAAGAGAACCGAGACGCACTGAATTGGATATACCGGTAACCATCTCTAGGTTTAATGACGCGGATGTGAAGGTCCTCATGGAACTAACAGACCATCCCACACTACACTGCATGTCCTTGTACCAATATCGAAGCTGCTAATGGAACCCATGGTCGACTCCGGGCAGGTAATTTTTGGAGGAGCCGTCCACCACGCGGTATAGACCGTATCGAAGTACGGGCTGCACGAGGAAGGCCGAGATCCGATGCATCTGACCCCCGCACAACTGAACTTTGAGTTGGCGACTAACGAGGCATACGACTTCAACCGGTTCGCAAATGAAATCCTGATGAACGGAAAGGGATAAAAGAGAGGCGTTGGAGGATGGCCATCGAGCATGTCAAGCAGTACGTGACACTATGCTAATGAAATCAGGACTGTGAAAAGTATGCGAACGTAGATGATTTTTTGACCATCGTCGGGTAGGAACATGCGAAAGAGGCAAAAAGATAGTCTAAGTGCGGTACGTATCCAAGAGTTCTAAATCGGACTTGTCCAAGGATTGAGACTCGCGGATGCTAGAGTTATGCCACGGCTCAACCAAGGAGACGCCCCGATGCCAGCAATGCGATAAGAGAGAAAGCTGCAGATGTGGTCAAAGAAGATGCCGTGTATTGAGTCTGTAGAGATTTGGTATCATCCGGGTGGAAGAAATTGAGGGCCCTTCACCTTTGACGTACTCCCGTAGCCGACGAGATATCTCGATGAAGTGGTCGTGATATTGGAACATGTCGTTGAGAAGAATAGGAGGGTAAAATGGTAGGTGCTGCATCCCGTACCTCATGGCTCATGCCGTCATGCGATACCTATATGCATCTGGAATTAATTTCTGTAAGAGATAGATCAGTAATATCATTGAGAATTTCGGCGGATACCGAGTTCCGTTAGTTGGAAGGGATAAATCCAAATTGACTTTTGGAATACAAATGTGCTTGAAGTTTTCTGTCAAAGTTCGTGTCATTATCTAACTTAGTTAATGGATCTAACTTAACTAAGTTAGTTAAGTTAAGTTAGTTACCAATTAGTTACCACCAAATATCTGATTAGTTACCTTATTTCCGGCCCGGGTACTAGTCTCCTCCCGCCCTCCACCACACGGTCCACTCTACCAAGTTCCAACTCCTGTCCCGCAAACTAACAAATAGTTAAGACGTCCGTTGTATCCCCGCATTTGACCTCCTCTCTCGCTTTCTCAGACCCGAGGACTGCTCGCATATCTGACTATCCTCGAGAGCCTCGGCCGTAAAAGTGGTCGATGCCAGCAATAAAACATCATGATATTGATTCTATCCATTACTAACATACAGCATTAATTTCTAGCACAGTGAAACAAGCCAAATACGCCTTCACCATGCCCAACCGTCCCATCCGCATCGTCGGCATTTCCGGCAGCGCTAGCGACCGTCGCGATGCGATGGCTGCCGTCGCTGCCTCGTATCCCTCGGATCCCATCGACGTGATCATTGGTGACTGGATGTCCGAAGGAAATATGACCTCCCGCGCCGCGTCCAAGGTCGACGGCACCGGCGACACGTTCGAGACGACGTTCCTCGAAGCATTCGAGCCGGCGATTGAGAACATCGCGAAACATAAGATCAAAGTGGCGGTCAACGCCGGGGCGACGGGTACGCTGGCGTTACGTGACGTCGTGGTGAAGATGGTGGAGGAGCGGAAGCTAGACCTCAAGGTGGCGTGGGTGGAGGGAGACGAGTGTCTGGAGGCGGTGACGCAGGGCCTCCAGGGCGGAAGCAAGTTCGAGAATATCTGCACGGGGGAAGAGCTAGGGAACTGGAAGTTCGAGCCGATTTTCGCGCAGGCGTATCTCGGTGGGTTGGGAATCGCGGAGGCGTTCCGAAAGGGCGCGGACATTGTGATCTGTGGACGGGTCAGCGACGCGTCGCCTGTTATCGGAGCCGCATACTGGTGGCACAATTGGAAGCGTGACAATTTGGATCAACTGGCCAATGTCCTTGTCGGTGGCCATCTGATCGAATGCTCGTCCTATGTCTGTGGCGGTAACTTCAGCGGCTTCAAAGTGCTCGAAGGGTCTACCGGCTGGGACGACATTGGCTACCCAATCGCCGAGATCTCGTCTTCCGGCGAAGTCATCATCACGAAGACCGCGGGCTCCAAAGGCGCCGTCACTGTTGACACATGCAGTTCTCAGCTCCTCTACGAAATCCAAGGTCCGTGGTATTACAACTCCGACGTCACCGCCATCCTTTCGAACCTTTACTTCGAGCACGTCGGCGCGAATCGCGTCGCACTCCGCGGCGTAGAGTCTGCCCCTCCGCCACCCACCACTAAAGTCGGCATCACCGCTCGAGGCGGTTTCCAAGCCGAAGTCCATTGGTCCCTCGTGGGTCTCGACATCCCCGAAAAGTCACGGATGCTCGAATCCCAAATCCGCCGCCTTCTCGCCCCGTACTCCTCCAAGTTCTCTCTCCTGAAGTTCACCACCAACGGCGTCGCCGACCCCGATGCCTCCAACCAATCCGCCGCGACCGTCGACTTCCGTGTCGTCGCCCAAGCCCCCAACGCTGACGACCTCTCCCCTCAGAAGTTCGTCCGACCGTGCCTCGACTGTATGATGTCCGCCCCGCCCGGCGCCACCACGCACTTCGACCTACGCACCGGCTTCCCCCGGCCCATCTACGAATACTACGTGACGCTGCTCCCGCAGTCGGCGGTGCGCCACCAGGTGCATTTCCACACGGGAGAGAGCGCGGAGATCCCGCCGCCGCCAGTGACACGCACGTGGGATCGCCAGCAGCCGAGCGAGCCGGCGACGGCGATACCGGTGGATTTGCGAAGCTTTGGGGAGACGACGCGGGGGCCGCTAGGGTGGGTGGTGCATGGGCGGAGCGGGGATAAGGGGAGCAATGCTAATGTTGGGTTCTGGGTGCGGCATGCGGATGAGTATTCGTGGTTGCGGACGCTATTGAACGTGGAGAAGATCCAAGAGCTATTAGGGGACGAGTACAAGCAGAGGAACAAAATCGTAAGTGTCGACGTGGAGAATCGTCTGGAGTTATAGCATGCTAACCGTTGGGCTACCAGGACCGATTTGAGCTCCCGAACGGACGTGCGGTTCACTTCTTGCTGCATGATCATCTGGACCGCGGGTTCAGCTGCTCTAGCACGTACGATGTGCTCGGGAAGAACGTTGCTGAGTACCTTCGCAATCGACATATCGATATTCCCGTGAAGTTCTTGGCGCGGAAAAAGCTGTGAATGTACAGTACATGTCATCTGGGAGAATTGGCTGGGATTAGAATAAAGGGTTGCCATTGCTGATAAGACAGGACCCCCGGTTTGTAACCACCCCGATTTGTAACCACTTCACACGCAGCAACACCAACAACAGAGGACTATAGATTCTGTATAATAACTCCACCAATATTGAAATTTATATATTATATCTGAAACTGTGAGCAAAGTGATTCGAATTCTGCTTTTTGCAGCTCGTCCGAAATTTTTTGCGCGTCAAATTTGGGCTTCTTCTTCGCCTCCTTCAGCTCCGCTTGTCTTGCTTCTTCTTGCGCAGCAACAATCTGATCAATCGTCGCAAATCGCTCATTTTGGTCGACTTGGACTCTTTTCCTTTTCTTAGACAATCCGCCTATGTCTTCCAGTGATTTTTCGAGCTTTGCAACTTGCGCTTTCAGTGCTGCGATTTCGACGTTCTTCTTTGAGAGTGCCTTGGCCAATTTCCCCTGTAAACCCCTGAAATCCCGTCCAGACATATCCTCAAACTTTTTCCCCGTATACACGTCTTTTGGGCCTTTGGGTGTATTAAATATATAATCATATATGGGCTCTGGGGTCACATGACGTTGTATAGTATGGTTCTCGTTTAATTGGGTGCTATTTAATACTTTGTGTGGGTTGAATGGGCAGATTCCGGTGCCTCTGAACCCAGCGCGGATATTATGGTTTATCAAAGCTTCAATGCGGGATTTATTATAAATGTTTATAAAATTATGCTTCTTAACTGGGGCAGAGTCGTCGAGGGAGCTCAATTGGGTTAATTCCTTGCGATATTTACTCTTCAGGGCCGAAAAACAAGCGACATCTAGGGGCTGAAGCAGATGGGAGCAATGGGGAGGGAGATATAGGACAATTACCTTATTATCCTTACACATCTTCATGAACTCGACCGTCGCGTGCGATCCGTGCCCATCGCAAATTAGGAGACGCCATTCCGTACGGTCTTTTGGTGCGGTCTCCGGGAGGAACTTCTTCTCCAACCATTTGAGCCCGATTTCGTTTGACGTCCAGGCGTTCTCTGAAACTGTCCAATGCCAGTCCTTCGTGCTCGAGAGATCCGCAGGGAACCACGTAGATTGGAGGTTTTTGCCCTTGAAGATGATGAGCGGAGAGATCGCGCGGCCAACGGCTGAAATGGCCTCAATGACGGAGACCCACTCGCGGTCCTCCGGAGTCTTGATATAGGTCTTTTTCCTGCTGTTCTTCCCCATCTTTTTCTCTTGTATTGGTGCTAAGACACGCCCATTTACGCCGCACCCAAGCGCAATCCCGTGCTCGTCGAAATTCCAGATATTCTCCGTTTTGATGTGAAACTGGTCGATCAGGCTCTGGAGAAGGTTGAACCAGGCCGCTATGATTTCCTTGGACGAACAATTTACGCGGGAAGCTTCGATTGATTTGCCCACCATAGTTTTTATATGGGGATTTCGCTTGAGGAATCCGTCCACCCAGTTCTTCCCGCAAGGCGTGTGGTCACCATTTTCGCGGGCAATTGCTTCTGCCATTTGACGAACCCTGCCGTGGGAGGGGGCATTCGAAGCCCGGTCTTCCAGGGCTATCCATTCCGCTAGATATCGTTCTTGTACAGGAGACAGCTTCTGGAGCTTTTGAGCACCAATTTGGTGCGATTGGCGGTCGTTTTGGAGGCGCTTTTGGAGCGTGGAGTAGGTAACACCGTACTGGTCCGCGCACTTATGTATAGAGTCAAATTCTTTATTAATATAAGCCTGAATCGCGAGCTTTATAGCCTCTTCATTAACTGGAGGCATTTCGACACAGTTACAGCATGATTGTGTGGTGGTAGATGTATTTTATTGATCTGTCTCATCTCCAGATTGAAGGGATTTAGTTGGTTACAAAGTGGGGTGGTTACAAACCGGGGGTCCTGTCTTATTTGCTTTTTTTCAAATGAAAACCGCCCATATAGGTTGACGCATAGCATACGCTGTGATGGCGGACATGATGCGATAGGATACATAGTAAGTTGATAACGCCTCTAACCATGGCAAGGAGATTTACACTCGGATCTTTACACGTAATTCCCGGGGTGAGGCAGCAAGGCGACAAGACAGCAACCCGTTTTCTCCCAGCCCGTTGTCGATCTCCTGCGCAATTGACGATCGGTACGGGATCAGGCCTATTGATGGATTTAACCCTTTACTTCAGCTATTGTTCTCTTTCTTTCCTATCCATCCTCAATTTTCTTGCAACGACTATACCTTGACCCATCGGACCATCTCGAGTTCTCGAATCTCCAAGCATCCAGCGCAGTGGTAATTACATAGTAGACATGAGCTCACCCTGCTGATGGAACGAGCCCCTGACCGAACCCCGGACCTGCATGGGACTACACTGGATTGGCTTCGTTTCCGACTCCGACGTTACTCCCCGCCCGTTTCGTCTAAAACGTAGTCTTTTTCTTTTCGCTTCTCGATGACTTCGACTTTGCAATATACCCTGTTTCCGGCTCCAAAGTTCCACCCTCCCTACCATGTGCTGCAGACGGGTACGCACAGCAGAGAGCATAGCTTGACCAGCTCGTCAACCACCAGGCCTCCGCAATTGTTGTGTCCCAGTCCCGACATGCCGTCCACCTCGACCACCACGTATCTCGACACCACCCTCCACACTCTCCCGCCCTCTCTCCCCTCGCCGACCTTCACCAACCCCGACCTTATCCTCCCTGATATATCCCATCTTTCCCGCTCCGCATCCACGCCGTCTCCACCCCCATCCGCCGACCTCCCACCGTCGCCGTCGCATCTGGTGCGCCAGCTCAAATCGCAGCCCTCAACTCTCTATAACGCGCCACGGTCCGCTGCCCCCGCGCCACCCACCACGTTCAACTTCTCGTTCGGTGAGCGACGGAGCCATTCCGCGCTGGGAGTGCGCACGCGGACGCCATCTGTCGCGCGACCGGGAGGACGACCCCTGAGCGACATCGAGGAAGTGGACGTCGCCAATCCTCGGGGGTTCGCCGGGCTTCCGGTCCGGACAGGGGTCGCGTTCGATCCCAATTCGACATCGCGCGATGCAACCAACGGCGCGGATCAGGGAGCAATTAGAAATGGGTTTGCGAGCGGGTTTTGGAAGGCGCGCGAGGAGAGGTTGCGGGAATCAGAGGGCGCGACGGGACATCAGAGGGCGCTGAGCGATGCGTCGAGCTCGGTGCATAGCGATGATCTAGAGAATATGGAGTGGCCGGGTTTTGACAGCATGGTTGAAGAAGAGGATGATAAGAATCCCGCCAAGGAGAAGCCGTCGAAGCAGGTGAAACCGTCAGGGAGCGATGACGAGGCGGAGTGGAGCGATCCGCAGATGCGAGGGGACGAGGATGATGAGGATTCGTCGGCGAGCTTGAGCAGACGAGCGGATATTATCCTGGCTAACGCGAAGAAGAGGCTAAACGTAAGCATTCTCTCCCGCCGGTTCAACGAGATATGAACTAATGTACATGTAGCTGATGGAAGGCAATCTTCGCGGCGCGCGTCACTCTCTTCTGGTCACTCCCGCGAGGTCCTCGAGCCCAAACCAGCCTCTATTCAATCCCTCCCGACATTCAACAATCGGACCTTTGGGGAACAAATCTCGTCAATACTCCTCCCCACTAGCAACAAGCACAGCCTCCCAGCGCCATTCCCGTGTTTACAGCGAAACCATCGTTCCTCCCCTCCCCTCCCCAACGCACTCTCCGCAGAACTCCCGAGGCAACATTGTTAAAGAGACAAGGTCGACCAGCGCGCTGGCGGCATCCTCAATCGACTCGTTCATGGATCGGAACCTTGCGATCCGTAATGCTCGAAGCCACGAAGTCATGCGAGATAGCCGGCTACGCAACTGGGTTATGAGCGAAGATCGCCAGTACCATACCTCGACTCCGTCTTCGCCACCACCGGCCCTCCCACAGCTTCAGTATTCTTCGAAACCTAGCAATTCGAGTCTCCGTCATGCCCAAGAACCGCTACCGGAGTCAAAAGACGCCTACTCCCCTCAGGTGCAATTGACTCCGTCACCTGGAGCGCCAGCGGCTCCGACCAAGGCTTCTTCAAATAATACCTCTCATCCTCGCGTTTCTCATACCCATACCTCATCCACGACCAGCACCGCCTCCTCTCTGCAACTTCAAATGCAAGATCTCAAGGGCCGGATCTCCTCGCTCAAGCGGCGCGCTGCCGAGGAGAAATCCAAGCGCTACAGCCTACAGGCCGCGCGGACTCCATCCCCAATCAATACCGCCGAGACGTGGTATCAAAGCGCCGAGACCTACCGCAGCGGGACCTGGGGCATTGGGCAAGATGCCGGGATCGGCTGGAGTATGAGCACCGCGGGATTCCGGCCCGAATCGGCGATGAGCGGGACGCAAGGGGAGATGACGGGACCGCCGGTGGGCGTGGTGACGCCGGCGGCGCATTCGCGGCAGACGAGCCGATCGGGCGTCAGCTTCCTCGAGGATTCGTCGATCGAAGTGAAGAGTCAGGTGGGGAGTGCACAGGGCTCCAATGTCGAGTCCGCGGGAGGGTCGGCTGTGAAGGTCGGGGCAGCGGAGGAACGGCCGAAGACGGTGGTCGAGGTTGGGGGACGGATGTTTCCTTTGAAGAGCGGGTCGAGCCGGTCGACGTCGAGAAGTTCGTCTAAGCAGCCCCTGATTATAGCGGCGCTAGCTGCGCCCGAGGTACAGCTGCCTTCGTCCGAAGTTCAGGAAGAGGTGGTGGAGGAGACCGAGCAAACGGCTGAAAAAGAGACCCAGCAGTCATTCCTTGATGGTCCAGAGGAAACTAGAAGCGATTCTACTACGATATCAGTCGAAGAAGAACCGCCCACCCTTCCTGTATCCGAGCCTGAAGTAGAGGTCGAAGTCGATCAAGAACAAGACGATCTTGATGAAGACACAGCTGATGAAGACTCTGAATCGGAGTATGAATCAGCATACGGAGATCCGCTTCACTCCGACCCTCTCAATGGCGAAGAGGACGCACTGGCCCTTCTTGACGCAGAGGAGGCCGAGCATGGCGGGCCTGTCATCGCACCACGCCACGAAGACCGTGCGGATGCATTTGACTATGAAAATTTTTTCCTGCATTCCGCCATGGGCACCTACTCGCGAGAGCGGAGAAACAGCAGTGACAGCTGGCGGAGCGGTAGCGGCAGCGAGAGCGACACTGGAAGCGATGGCACTGCCCGAGCTCCCAGTGTTAGGGGCGATGTGGAAGCTCGAGAGACTGAGAGCGACCACTCCACCGAACCACCGACTCCACGCGCCGTCCCGCCCCAACCCGCTCGCCCTATCACTGCCATCTTCACCCACGTACCCGGAAGCAGTCCCACGAAGCCAGGGTTAACTCCTTCCTCCACCCTTGCCGCGCAAGACCCGTTCCCACTCCTTCCCCCACAACCCAACTTCCTCCACGAACGCTCTCCCTCCGGCGACTCCATCTCCACCCTCGCAACCTTCATGACTGCCACCGAAGGCAACGAGTCCGACGATGACGACGCAAACAACACCCTCGACGCCATCGCCCGCGACACATTCGGCCTCGGCTGGTCGGCGCCTCAAGCCGCCAGCGCGCCCGCCCCTCATCCCACCACCACCAACGCCCAAGGCGAAACCACCGTCCAAGGCGGCCGTGGCAACGCCTGGGCCCAGCGCCGCCACAACTCCACCTCCCCCCCCACCATCGCCTCGCCGCGCCGCAGCCCGACGCAAAACCTCCACCATCCACTCCTCCCCGCGTTTCAGTCGCCGGGGAAACCCGCTGCGCCGCACGCAGACCACCATATGCCTACAGCCGCGCAGTCGCCGCGCGCGATCCCCCTCCCGCCCTCCCCGCAGCACTCACCCCCAGCCGCGCGCACGAACCTCATGGACCAGATCCCCGTGACGTTTCCGCTGCCGGAGGCGCCGCCGATCAGCACGGAGGAACTGGTGGCGGTGATGTTGGGCCCGGGCGGGTCGTGGGAGGGGGGAGAGGGGGAGCGGGAGGCGTTGGGGATGTTGGTGGAGGGGATGAGGAGGGCGGTGGGGGAGTTGGGGGGGTTGGTGAGGGAGGGAAAAAGGGAGGGGGATTATGAAAGGAAGGAGTGGAGGAGGAGGGTGGCGTGTGCGGGGGAAGCGTTGGGGGAGAGAAGGGATGAGGTATTATAGGGGGAGTGAGGGGATGGTTTCGGTGTCGACATTTTACTTTCTTGCGTTCGAGCGTGGCTCGACGCTATTAGGCGATATACCCAGCAGATATATTATATTCATTCTAATTATTACGCAGCATAGCTGTGCATTCCCTCCACTCTATGTCTTGTTCATATCTGGTTTGGTCGAGACCTGGGGCATCAGCATTCTCATACTCTGGATATGGCCACATGATTTATGGCATACAAATGTGGTGAGGCATGACTCGTTATCGTCCCGAACTTCGGATTGGAGTAACTTAAATGTTGCGCTACTAATAGTTACAAGAAATTGGAGATACTATTGCCCTCTCACTAAAAATACTTGATTGTCGACACGGCAACAAAAACAAAACACACAGCAATGGGAGTTCCCCGTAACTCTCCCGCCGGTATAAACGAGGTCGAAATCAGAGGGTCAATAACGCCGAAAGACGAGGGTCCGCCGAAAATACTCTCCCTACAGCCATAGTAAGGATTGTAAATATGCTCTTTCTCCCTATCGAAGAGGCTTGGAGCGTAGACGGTAGACCCAGACAGCAGGATGCTATTGGGACCGTGCCGTGGATCGTAAGCTGCTGCAATCTTTTTCAGTCCATTATTCATTTCTTCAGTCGCTTTACTTTATTCGGCTCTTCGCTCTCAGACGCAGTCAGTCACAGTTTACAGGGCTCTCCTTCAATTACAGTTTCATTGGCTCGGCCGCAATCCCCGTTATCAACGCTCCAAGAGCAGCAGAAGCCCTATATATCTATGAAAGCAGCGTTTTGAGATATGGCTCCACGACGCTCCATCCAAGAGGGTAAAGCCAAAGAATAATAGGCAAGGAGCTTCTAGCCGATTTACAGAGCAAGTCCCTCGACGATACGGTCCCGGTTTCGAACAGCACTGTATGGATATACAAACGCGGCTACGCTATGAGGCTCTTTAAAGAGTAGATATTCCTCGATCTTATTATAATCTATACCGAAATCCTCTAGATATGTTTGCGACGTTCTGCATCGCGAGCCGGACGATGCCTGGTTACCTCTTTCTAGCTCTTCACCAGAGGTGGATTTTGCTTAAGACACCTGTCTCGCCTATCTTAAGACCTGTGTCTCAGACACCGCGGTCTCGGTGACTGTCCTGGGATATCAAGAATATGAAGAAACCGGACAGGTTACTCGAGAATCAACCGTCCTAATACTTTCGAGAGCTCTTATGTAGGAAGGAGACGAAGCAGTCCTTACACCCAAAAGAAGTAAAAACCAGCACACTCAGAACTAATGAACTCTCGTAAACACTAGTAGTAAATGAATTACAGGGCCAGTTTGGGAGGTTGCAAACGTAACGTCCGCCCTTCACTCATATAGAAGTATAATATCGTCACTGCACTAGGTTGTTTACGATTTGCCTTCGCTTACTAGTATCTCTAACGGACTCCTGCGCCGAAAGCTGGTCACGACTGCTCAAGATGATAATCGTTCAGACATTGCCAAGAGCGTTGGATCGCCTTCCCACTTAGCGTCATCGGCCAGTAGTAGCTTGACCACCGTCTCGTGGCCTCTATCGCCGGCGACTTGCAGCGCTGTGCCGTAGTGACCGCCTTGCGCGTGGACGTCGGCGCCGCGCGCCAGCAGCCGCTCGACCTCCTTCTCGTGGCCTCTATGGCTGGCGGGCGCCATGCGCCAGCAGCCGCTCGACCACCTTCTTATGTCCTTCAGCGCTCGCGGCTTGCAGCGCCGTGCCGTACTGTCCGCCCTGGGTGTGGACATCGACGCCGTGCGCCAGCAGCCGCTCGACCACCTTCTCATGGCCTCCAGCGCTAGCAGCTTGCAATGCCCTATCGTAGACTCCGCCTTTCGCGTTAACGTCGGCGCCGTGCACTAGCAGCTGCTCGATCATCTTCTCGTGGCCTCCAGCGCTAGAGGCTTACAGCGCCGTGCCGTAGTGACCGCCTCGCGCGTGGATGTCGGCGCCGTGCGCCAGCAGCCGCTCGACCACCTTCTCGTGGCCTCCAGCGCTAGCAGCTTGTAATGCCGTGTCATAAACTCCGTCTTTCGCGTTGACGTCGGCGCCGTGCACTAGCAGCTGCTCGATCATCTTCTCGTGGCCTCCAGCGCTAGCGGCTTGCAGCGCCGTGCCGTAGTGACCGCCTCGCGCGCTGACGTCGGCACCATGCGCCAGCAGCCGCTCGACCACCTTCTCGTGGCCTCCAGCGCTGGCGGCTTGCAGCGCCGTGCCGTACGATCCGCCTTGCACGTTGACGTTGGCGCCTTGCGCCAGCAGCCGCACAGCCACCTTCTCGTGGCCTCCAACACTGGCGGCTTGCAGCGCCGTGCCGTAGTGTCCGCCTTGCGCGTTGACGTCAGCGCCGTGCGCCAGCAGCCGCTCGATTACCTTCTCATGGCCTTCAGCGCTGGTGGATTGCAGCGCCGTGCCGTAGCGTCCGCCTTGCGCGTTGACGTCGGCGCCTTGCACCAGCAGCTGCTCCACTGCGTGTATCAACCCTCCGAATGAAGCATGATATAACGCTGAAGCAGGATATTGGCTCTCAGTTGGCTCATCCTCCCATGGTCGATCTGGGTCATAGAGCCTATAACAATTCCAATAGGACTGTGGGTGATGGCAGAGAAATTGAATGATAAACTCTTGTAGTCTTTCGTCCTTCCCTTCCGCCACTACGGCGTGGCGCATCCAATACCTTGCGCAGTATTGCGCGAATGGAAAGCTCTGTCGAATCTCCTTGATCGAAATTTTTCAGTTTAAGTATAACAGATATGCAAGTCAAACCGTCGTAAGTGATGTTTTGGCAGTAATTTCCTGGAAGCTTTGACTGAAATTGTTGTTAAGTCGGTTTGACTTCAGGTATTCTTTGACCGAGAAATGTGCTAGCTGAATTTCTCCATACTTGCCATCCTCATCGTAAGACTCTTTTCGATTGGATATTACAACCACTAAACTGGAGCAATAACGTGTGATCTCGCGAGAATCAGGCATTCGACAAATTTGGATCGAAGTATAGACTGCCCTCCGTATCCACTGCTAGAGCGTCTACCATCTCATTGATTCGTAACGGCCGCTCGGAGTATATCAAGAATTGAAGCATCCTCGTAGTATATCGCTCATATTGAGGAGGAATGCTACGCAAGATTCTAGCATAGGTCTCATCTAACGTCTGCGGAAGGGATTTAAGAGCGATTTGGAGTTGGGGATAATCTAGGCATTCTTGTAGAGCATCGAGCTGGCATGTAACCCATTGAAGCCTGGCGGCTATAAGCATCTTTTACAAATAGTTAACAGATAAATAAAAATATTATGTGGACCTACATTCCATTCGCTTTTTTTATGAGCTGTGTCTCAATCTCTTTCTGGATTCCCGGTTGCGTGCGCCATCTTTTAAACCCGTCATCTTTTGCCACTCGCTTGTGAACGTAGGCACGAATGTCATCAGCGATAAGGTCGCTCTGAATAGGGATTATGTCGCCCATACGAGCAAATTCGCTAATGATGGACTCGATGTCTTGTACTGGCTGACTTGTCACAAGAAGATGGACGTTGCTTTGCTCTAAGATTCGGAGGTCTTTGAACCAATCGAGTAATCCTTCAGTCGGAGACCCTTTCCGCGTGCCGCATTCGTCAAGGGCGTCAAGGACAATAGACACTTCTTGAACCTGCTCTGCCATGCTCAAGAATGTCTTACATAGTGACTCACACGACGGTTGTCGATCTCCGTCTTCACAGGAGGAATAGAGAGTCTAACTCTTTCAACGTTTCTCCAGATCTGGAATAGAGCTGACTGATTAGTGACCGGATCATACCATCTAATGTTTGCTTGGACATATCGTTGAAGTCAAAGTATAAATATAAGAGGGGCTGACACGGGATGGTCCTCCCAAGGTCTTCAATGATGGTGGAGCTAAGGATCGTCTTGCCACATCCAACAATGCCATAGAGCCACAAGAACGAGTTTCGCTGTGTCTTCCATTTTATGAAGTCCTCGTTCTACAAGAACAAATGGCCCGTATCCTTCTGGCGTTGCTAGATGGCTTTGTTGTAATTTGTTGATGGATCTGGTGACGAAAGCCATCTTGCGATTTTCGCATGCCTCTGCTCAGATCCCAAGTCTTGAACAGCATTTTTTGCCTCATGAATATCACCGCGTATTTCAGCCACATGGTGCTTAACTAGGTTCCGTTAACAGAATGAAATTCATACGGTCTAGTCTACTAACTGATGTCAGCAATCCTTTTCTCAGCCTCCACTTGATTGGGAGCAATTCGGAAAAGAATTGCCTTGGCATACGCAGCTGCCGTCATTGCTGCGTACCCTTGCCACTCCTTGTTCTTATGCGAGTCCGAATAGTAGTCGCATATCCCGCGAATAACTAGGCACGGAAGGTGATTCATTAACCCGGCTGCCTCCATTTCAAAGCACAGGACCTCTTTCTCCTTTATAAGGTTGTACCGGATATTAGCATCCTTCATCAGCGTATTGGCTAACGCAATCACACCATAGTGTATTACGGGATTGTCCTCGTCTTCATCTCGCTGACGCCGATATATCAACTTTGATGGATCATCTCCGCACACCTTCGCGCAGCTTGATTCATCATTTTCGGGATGGGTGACTTTGCTTAGGTACAGTTTGTCACTACTTGGATCAGGACGCTTATACTTCTTCCTCATCTTCGGATACTTCTCCAGAATAGCGTCAATTGCATTGTTAACTGATGCCCGTAAGTCTCATGTTCAGCCTCGAGTGTATTCATCGCCGTGCGAAGGACCGTTGGCGGTTGGTTCAAGAATCCAGTCGTTCGAAAGCGTTGGTTTTGTATCGCATGACCGAAGTCGTACTGGAAAACACCGCCAGTCTTGTAGGGAGCACTAACGACTATGTCACCCAGACGGATATCATGCCCATATCTCCTGCTCGGTGCCCCACCACCGACACCGACCATCAAGCCGATTCTGACATTAGGAAAGGTATGCACCATGTCTCTCGCAACGGTTGCTGCGGGGGATAGACCCGTACCCGCCTTTGGGTAGAACCACGATGACGCCATTGTGTTCTCCTATTCTGCCCAATGTGTAGGAATTGTTGTCGTTCGGTGGGACGGATGTCGGCCCGCCGTGCTTTTCGTCGAGGAAAGTCGCCGCCGCAGCAAGTTCTATAGAGAGGGCGCAGATCCAGCCGACCGTATAGGATTCGTGTGCAAAACTTCGTTTAGAAGCAGTGGTTCGGGGTGGTTCGGGGTCATCGTGGTCTGTTTTTCTCTTCTTTTCTGGCCCTTGCTCACTCTCAGGCATGTGTGTTCTTTTCTGTGGTGCCTAAGCAATTTCGTGATTCGTCTTCCCCTTCTTTTCTTGTCCTCTAGCTCTCTCAGGCTTGAGTGTTCTCTTTTGTGCTGTTTGACCAGCTTCACCACACTCTGTCCTGTTTTTCTGTTCTCTTTGACTGAACTCTTGCGTACGATTTCTCAAATTCATCGTAAAAATGTCTAACTACCTAGAGGATATAAGATCCTCGATGCAAATTTCCGGATTCGATTGGTTAATCAATCTTGGTCATTGCGGTGTTCTCTTCGATTCGGGGTAGTTATCAGGAAGATTTAGTCGCTCCGACTTTTCAATATGATGCCAGGCGCTCATCACCCTTTAAGAAGTAAATTGCGCTTCACTGAAAGGGTTGATGGAAATGTAGTGTAGATTTCTAGGAGAAGGTAAAGAAGATAAGGGCCCCGTAAGTCTCCCGACTTGTCATCTAGCGTTGCCTTTCTGCCATCAACAGCACGACTTTCCAGGGCTGTCGTATTCCCTCTGCAGGAGAACCTATTGCTTCCGTGATTGATTTCACCTAATTTCAACATATTCCTGTAGTTTGTACGCTCGTTAAGGATCAAAATCAATCAACACTTTCAATTCTTGGTAATCGAGTGCTCTCCTGCTGAAATCGCATCTCTAGATCACCTGATCAAAGGAACAGCTATTTTCTCACAACAGGACCGGTCCAAGAACCGACACCAGAATCACAACCTCAGATGCCAAGGTTGACCGTTGGAGTGATTTTCCGTACGAAATCGGCCGTTTTATATTCCTCATCCGATGGTTCTGAAGTGTCAGAATCTACCCAGACGTACGGCTGTTCGATTTCGAATGCCCACACACGATGAATCCCGTCTCTTCCCATCCATCTAACAATCCTGTGGTAGTCGGAATGCACCGTCGAAACCCTTCGACCCAGATTCCGTTGCTGGCGTGGCCACCGCCACTGGGCTCATGGATGATTGAGAACGGTTTGATCGTACTGTGTACGGAGTATCTGGTCGAAGGTGTCGAGATCGCTGCTGGTATGCTTTGTTGTCCAATCGTCGCAGAGGGTAGACGTGTTGATAGTTTTGGCGTGTCTATCCACACGGAAGCAATAGGTTACGTGACGAAGAATGTAAAGTGCTTGTATTTCTGTAAGAAGTAGAATACCGAACGGGGTAGATATACCCATGACTAAGTAATAGCCGAGGCGGGGAAACGAATGACTAAGTAATGACCTCAGATCTTGAAAATACGCCTGCCAAGATAGGCTATTCCCTTTTAGGAATGAGAATAAACCTTTACTATCAATTATTTTTCCCAGTTCCCAATTCCCATCAACCCAAATCCCATGATCCCAATTCCCATGATCCCAATTCCCATGTAGTATTTTCTTTCTATTTTCTAACTATCCCTTGGAAGTTGGCAGCGCTACTTAGGCTTGGAACTTTAATGTCGAACCTGCCCGCCAGTCGCCAACGCTGAGCAACCATTTGTTGATTTGATCGGACTTCGCACCAACACTCCTTCCATGATCCATCCATAGTTAATATATCCGGCACCTCCCTACACATACGTGATACACTTCCCTCTTTCCACTTCCATCTTTCCACTTCCTATGGATCCGCGAGCTGCTCCTCTCCAGAAGAGCAGGCGGCAGCTCGCAGCCGATCCTCAACGCGAGTCCTCTATAAGGCCCGACCAGGCAGCTCGCCCTCGAAGTAGCGCAAGATTTCGAGCCAAAGATTCTATGGAGTCTTCCGTTTCCCACGCTCCCCAGCCTGTCCAAGCATCACCTATCCGTCCTGCACGTATCTCTCCGCCGGCCCAGACCAAGCGGAAGCGTTCGCAAGAAGACTCTAAAGCTGAAGCTGACAAGCCAAAAGGCGAGCACGTTGCGAAGCAGCCCCGAAGGCTTCTGCCCCAACTCGAGCTCTCGGAGAAGAACCTACGGAAATTCAATGGGGAAGAGATGGATTCCGCAGTCAATAATGCTACGGCTCTGAAACGGTCCTCGTCACAGCGTTCTATAGCCAGGTCATCAGAAACGGGCACGGTCCGATCCAAATCGTCGTCTAACTCCATCCCCTACTACCGCTACCATGAACTTGCGACCGCTGGGGTCTATATCCACACCGATCCGCCTGCCGACATACAGGCCGCTATCAACGTCATTGTCCAAGGTCAAGTCTCCACGGAGCGCCGCACCGAACTCCACGCCATAGCCCAAGGACTCTATGACGGCTGCAAGAAAGCAGTCAAAGCCGCGTGTAGCGAAAATGACTTCCTTGTGCTTTTCCAGATTGCACTCGTGGCTATGGACCACAGCCGCCTCTGTCTCTGTACCAATGCCGACTGGCGAGAGGAGATTAAACCAACGATCCGCAAGTCAGATTTGAATTTGAGTTTCTTAGCAGATTTCAACGCCATGCCTAGTGACCAGCAACATGGGGACACGTCGGCTTCACCACTGAAACGCCAGAAGCAGGATGCTGCCCCGACGCCCATCTCCTCCAGGCCCTCTGGGGCCGGCACATTGGATTCCACTCCAGAAAACCAGCCACTGGAATCGGACATCATGCACCCTCCAGCCCCCGGCCCCCTGGAGAAACCCAAAGAGCGGTCCCCGATCAAAACGCCCCGTCCCGACATATCCATAGGCATACAAGGCACGGCTCTCATTTCCGCGCTCTCGTCGCAAATTCTGGACAACACCCGGGCCATGCTCTTCCTTGACCAGCTGCAGAACACTATGAGGCGCCGCGAGCGAGGCGGGCCGGAAGAACCGCTCTTGATCGCCGTGCCCACGAAACGTGCATCCGATCTCGTCTTCCCGTTTGCTATCGTCGAGGGCAAGGGCTATTCGACCGGCAAGCAAGTCTTCGAGGCCCAGAACCAGGCTGCAGTTTCCGGAGCTTCTGGTCTGAGGATACAGGTTGATCTGAATGAGCTGGTTGAACGCGCCACAAGTTCCGATATTCCACCCGTACCCTCAGGCACTGCGCCCGAACTCTTCTTTTCCGTCTGCACCGAGGGCCCCTACCACGAGCTCTGGGCTCACTATACTTATATTGAAGATGGTGTGCGAAATTTCAGCCAGATCCTTTTGGAGATTTGCAATGCACTGCTGCTAAAGAGCGTGGAGAACTTTCTTGTTGTGCTAGATCTGGTGTTGGGTTGGGGTACAGGGCAGTTTCTGGAATCCGTGGCAGAGCGCCTGGGCCAGGTAGCAAAGAAGGCGGAGGCTTAAGTATGATAATGCGAGGGACAAAATCTCATTTCGGGCACAAACGTATGCCCGGCTTCTTTATTCAATACGCTTAAGCATCCTGAAGAACAGAAGAACACCAAAACATTACTAAAATATTCATGCTTTTCAGCATATCTACAAGCTTTCACGAATCTGGTCTAATGCAGTTATGAAGTCATCTCGCCTCAAATCAACTTATCCTGAATCTAGCCAACTCAACGCGATAGTAATATTCATTCTCCACGCTCAGACCTTCTAGAAGTTTTCTTAGTATCTGTAAGAATACATCTTCCTTTGCCTATCTCCTCCCCTTATTCCCATCATTATTGTTAGCCATTCTGGCCATACCCCGCAAGGTGCAAGGCCTACATAATGGAACACACCCACGTAAACCCACAGTAATGGTAGGCAGTTGATATAAGATCTGGGGTTCTAAAGAAGGGGTATTATCGCTTCGCCATTGCGTCGCATACGCTTCCTCAGGCCGATGAACCAACAGAACCATCATGAGACATATTATAGCAGCATGTTGCGTCCTACTGTACAGTACAAGTATTGCAGAAATTGGAAAGGCGATCCAATTGACGGAGCAGAAGTGCTGGAGCAATAAAAAAAAGTTCCATAGAGCTACGTATGACCTGCCGCAATGAATACGAAGAGCAACGGAAGAACGAAATTAAAATGCGTTCATGCAGCTTTGAGGCTGGGACATGAACCAGGCTGGTAGCGGCGCCACGATCGCCCACTTCACCATCACAGCCTTGAACCTTTCGCCGCTTTCGTGGCCCGTCCTCGCTCGTTCCGGTTTTCCTCTTGCAAACCTCGAACCGCTGTTCCAGCACCATCGTTGCGCCGTGTAGCAGTCCAGGCAGTTCTCCTCCACCACAGTGCATCGCACCTCTCAAAGCGAGTACCAGTACGCCACAGATCTGGCCAAATGGGGGTGGACCATGCATGATGTTTCTGAAACCATGAAACCTGTGGTCAGTGGGGTGGTCCCGGTTTTGAAAAAGATGGGATACAACATAGGCAGAGACTTCGGGGCATTAGGAGGCCATTTAACTTTATAACTATCGAGAATAATATTGATAGGGGTGGTATGCAAGATATGGATTATGGATATGCAGACCTTGGTCAACGAACTGACATCAAGGGGAACAATAGAAAAGAATAATATCTTCACACATCTGAGACAGTACTCCAAATGAATGAGGGACTGATTTGAAATGCTGATGGTCTATCCGGAGTGGAAGAGCCTGGCGACCTTGAAGAATGCTTCGCACTCCCAGGAGTCGAACTCCAGCAATCGTTGTCCTCCTCTCCCTTCACGTTAACTTTCTAAGGCTATAGAATAATGGCAGCTCAGTATCTGCCAATATATGGGAATAGATATACGCGAGCCTGAAATAAATAGCGATGTTTCGTTACTACAGTTCCAAGTTTCTCATGATGAAACGATGTTGTGTTGTGAGATGTTAGTTGACACCTTGCTACCTGGCATTGCTGCCTGACCATGGCTATTTCCCAGTCACGTGATGAAACCCCTGGACTCCTCACGTGACATTGGAATAAGCCAGAACCCGGGAGGCCGGGAATGGCTGATGATTATATAATCCATTAGGCAACAAGGCACATCCAAGTTCGACTTCACATCGCCGCACCTCCTCGTCCCACTTCCACCATCTCGTTCATTTTCACCCTCCATCTGCCTTTACTTAGTTTCTCCGACGAGACCAGAAGCTTAAGGTCTGTCGGAGGAGAGTCTTGTCTTGCCATTGATTCCACATCCCCCGTTCCTTACCGCTTGGCAGCTCAGAACATGCTCTCGGGTCAGCACGTCTTCTCTCACCAACACCAGTATCCAGACTGGCCGCAGTCGGGCCACCACCATCCGAACCAGCATCACGCTGCGCAGCAACATGCGGGAGCTGGACATTTTGGTCGGCCAGCAGCGAACAGTGTCTCCAATTCTATAGTCCCAAGCCTGGCTGGCAGTGATCTTCCCACTGAGCACGCCAATATGAGCGACGAGAACCGCCGGGTCCTGGATTGGATCGCGAACTTGATGAACCCTAACACGCGCGAGACGGCATTGCTGGAATTGAGCAAGAAGAGAGAACAAGTCCCAGAATTGGCCTTGATCCTCTGGCACTCTTTCGGTACGTGTACCTGACCGGTCTGCGAAACCCTTATTGACACTTTGGAAAGGTGTGATGACTTCGCTCATGCAAGAGATCATTTCTGTGTACCCTCTTTTGAATCCTTCGCAACTCACTGCTGCGGCATCGAACCGAGTTTGCAATGCGCTGGCTCTTCTTCAATGTGTTGCATCCCACACGGACACTCGGCAACTCTTCCTGAATGGTAAGCGCTGGCCGCCACTGTAACATCCAGCACGACGCTGATCCTCATCCGTTGCAGCTCACATCCCACTATTCCTTTACCCATTCCTCAACACCACCTCGAAATCTCGACCGTTCGAATACCTACGACTTACCTCCCTTGGCGTCATCGGTGCTTTGGTCAAGAACGACTCGTCAGAGGTGATCAATTTCCTCCTCACCACCGAAATCATTCCTCTTTGCCTTCGAATCATGGAGACAGGATCCGAATTGAGCAAAACTGTGGCGATCTTTATCGTCCAGAAGATCCTCCTTGATGACATTGGCCTTGCGTACATCTGCCAGACATACGAGCGCTTCTACGCGGTTGGCACGGTTCTGAGCAACATGGTCCAGCAGCTGGTGGACCAGCAGACTGTGAGGCTGTTGAAGCACGTTGTCCGTTGCTTCCTCCGGTATGTTCTACTTCAAGCATATCCGCCCAGCGCTCAAACTAACGTAGCCCACAGCCTGAGCGACAATGCTCGTGCACGAGAGGCTCTCCGTCAATGCCTCCCAGAACCGCTCCGTGACGCTACCTTCTCCGCCGTATTGCGAGACGACGCGGCTACCAAGAGATGCTTGGCCCAGCTCCTTATCAACCTCTCCGACAACGTCGACCACCCCGGGCCTCCGCTTCTTTCGCAACATCAGTGAGCGGACTACGCCTGGATCGAGCGAGTGATGCACGAATATTCAAGAGATCAAAATCTGCAGTCCACGCACCTCTTGAATCGCAAAACGGAGGCTAGGAATTACGAGCCCATAGACGCTTCAAGCGGAGGTCTTATTAAGATATCCTGCATAAGTCCGGTGCTTTAGGTTGGTTTGATGCAGGTTGACTTCAACTGTACCATCATGATTTTATACCCCGGGTCTAACGGATTGCATAACTGGTTCATGGTCCATATCGGGCTGGCAGGAAGCCAATGGGAGTTACGGCTGGTGGGCGTCGCCAACTGCCTTGCATGAGACGCGGTCTAGGGGCTTGTTTGGCCATCAGAGCCAACCAGGATGGATAACCCCTTGGGAATGTCCCACTGGATTCAAGATATACTTGGAAGGTTCCTCGTGGCTGAATTGGCAACTACGATTGCTTTCAAATTTAAGTTCGCTCTTGTATTTCAATTTGAAAAGATGGTTTTTCCTGATTAGAGTCGGATTCTGAAATTCCGTGAAATCACACTACTTCATCTTGAACGAGGTAGTGTGTCCTGATCGAGAATTGCAAGAGTCCGGCGATACGGCTCTCCGAATTAAACTCGATATGATATTGGGATCACAGCAAGAATATGTCCTCAGTCCCCGAGATAATCAAAGTCGCCATGTATACCTTTTCATAACGCTAACCCCGATGCAGAACAGTAGACTATTTGAAAATATTTCCTCCTCTCCAGCTGTTCCCATCCAGAGTAGACGAATTGATGGCGCTAGATGCAGGATACACCCCAGCCCTGGTAAACGTGGAAGATATTATAGTACACTTTCCGACTTGCCTCAAAGGAGTACCATACATGGCGTTTCTTCATACTACATATACGGTGTATGCAAAATATAACCAGGAATATAGCAATTGAGTTAAGCTCTAGAGATACGTATACTTCGGCGCCATTTTCGGCAGCCCTGGGTGATATCGCGTTTTTTATAATTCTGTCTCCTAGTAGCGTCGTCTCTCCATTCACCTCCTCGACTTAGCATTAGCCATTATGTTACAATAAGGGGTAGTATACAGGACGGGATTTCGGCATGGCCAATTTCCATTCCCCGATATCGATATCAACGCATCCCTGGCATGGGAAACCCAATATGTCCCACTTCAATACGTGGTTCTTGTATATCCTTCTGCGTCACAACAATGCTGCTATATGCGCCGCAACCCTCTAGTGACGCTTCATAACTCGGTCCCCTGATATACCGCAATCGATCGTAGCGAGCAGTCCGTTCGGTTCTATTTATAGGTCCAATACCCTTCGCATCCCACTAGGCCATCTCTGCGCCTATCAAACGTAGGTGGAATATTCTATCATGGGAGAAACCAGGACTTTTCGGGATAGAGCCGGTTCGCAATATGCCTGTCCGGGCGGATGTGTCGGTCGTTTCGGAGAAGCGGTTTCCGAAAATTTAGTTTTCGAAGTAGACCGTATCATTTTCAAGTCGGAGGTGCGACGGAAGTCTCATAGAACAATGCCCGACAACGAGCGCTATTCACTATATTCGCAGTGGCTACTTTGATTTTCTCGAATGCCTCATCAGGTTCCGAAATGCCTTTGTCATCTCCTTCTCGCACTGGACTGACGAAGCCAGTGCTGCTGGGGGCTTCGTAGTGATGCATTACCTCGGGGTTGACCAAGATGCACCGCAAGTTGCCCGTCAAGCATTCATGTGCTAACTTGGCATCGAACGCTTCGTTTCCTCCGCTACCAGCATATAACAGGATCTTTTGCGCACTGCTTTTGGTGACACCATACCCGAATGTGAATACGGGCCGCACTGGCTTTTGAACTCGACGGTGACCGGACGTGATGTTCCCGATCCAATACTTTTCGACCAGTCATCATAGAGATTAGTGGGGATAACAGTCCTATCCGCATATTCGAGGTACTTTGTCCCTGCCTCGTCCGACTGCTCCCCGCAATGTCAGATCCACAAAACGTCCCAGTGGCCACCGTACGGGCTCTTGTCTGTTGATGATGTATTTGTGAAATTGCGCACGTTCTGCGAAATTTAGATCATCTGGTGGCGGATATCCAGGTCCCAGTCGACATCATCCTCAAGGACTAATGCGGTCTGAAACTGCGAGAAGACAACATATTTGAGCATGTCCAAGTGCGACAACCAGGTTGTAGCAGAGCCATGGGGTGGTTTTAGAGACCCCAAGTCCTCTTCTAGGTTCTCAAAGGCTGATATAAACTCCTTCGGGTTGCGAGGTAGAACCGGGATGTCGACTTGTAGACCGGTAAGCTGGGCTGCAGCTTGGATGCCTTGTATACGCCATCCGCGGCGTGAAGAGAGTGCGAGAATCTTTTCGAACTAAATGGAAGACGGTCACTGGATGGTCGGTACTTCTGCGATGATTCACTTACACCAAGCGTTTCGTTCGATGCGGAGTCTCTAAGATGAGGCCCATGTGTAAGTGCCGTTCCTAAACTGCTGGTCGTGCTTCGATGGAACCATAATTCGGTGCAAAATAAGAGTAAAACGGCAGCACCAGTAAGGCAGTGTTTTAGCTTAACCAAAGCAACCGGGCTGAGTCTCATCATGTTTGAAGAGACAATTATTATGACTTGTTGGAAGATTGATAGGGACAGACGATATAGGTAGATCGAGAAGAATCCAAAACGAGAACGTGTAATTGACAACTTGGATAGTGAGAAGATCTGCCAAAGACAAAAAATACTCAATTAATCACATTATGGATGTGACAATATGGGTGAATGACTGAACATAATAGCCAGAAAGTTGCATCATCATCACGGTGCTGATATATTTAACAGAACGAGGAAACCTGCAGAACCGAAGAGAGACGGACGTCCTTTGTGATATATAGCTTCCGAGCCCAATTGAGATATAGTAATGGACCGATCAAGATTCGTGGAAATGCAGGAATACGACGTACATGGTTGATGATCCTCTTGGGCCTAGATTTAATCTAATATCATGAACTTTGCGACATCAGCACTTACATATTGGCCAAGCCCTTGAAAATCCCATGTACGCTAATTAGTAAGTTCAACATAATAAACGGGCTGTATCACCCGATAATTAGAAGCCATTCCATTTTAACTGTACCTGTAATCGGAAGGATTTCCATGACACAACCCTTCATCTAAGCAGTGATAAGGATGGAAGCAAGGGATGGACTCCTTCATAGTTAGACAACTAGAATATCAAAGTTCAAAGTTCAAAAACATAATTAGGGGGCACCCAAAGGATTTGAGGATGCCCTCTTTGATTGCCTTTCCCAGTCCGTACAAGCCTACAGAGAAATAGAGAATCTTCTACTGCGCTTTCAAGGCAATTGTGGCATCATTCTTGCCGGTGTTGCTTGACCTTTCGTAACGAGTGAGCAGTGGAGGATTTTGTTTCGCAGCTGTCCTGGTTCGGAGTCTCCTAGCGTTCTCATCGAACAGTCAGGACGACGTATCCGATGCAGCTATGTCATTTGGAGATTCAATGATTCAAAAATACGACCATTGAGGCTTGACTAGCAATGCTAAGGAAGTTTAGAAATGGTGCCAGTTAATGGGATACCTGGATTCTGGTGGTCGTCGAACAGTCGAACTTATCTCTGCCGTATGGTATGGATATGACTCAGCAGTTTCTGACAGGTCGACAACCACTCTCGAATCTCTTATTTCAATTCCAACTCATCATTTCCATGATTTACTTTACTTGCGTAACCGCACTCTACGTCATCAATTCCATCATTTCACTATACCTAGAAATACTGGTAAGAGCAAGGAATCGGTAGAAGATCTAGAAGGAGGGGCAGTTCATACCTTCGGTTTCCCAATACAGTTAATCTTCCAGGGGAACTGTTTCGATCTGAGTTGATGGCAATAATCGATCTTCTTCCTATCCGAAGTCACGCGCCATTCTTTTTCTCTACCATTCAATAAAAAACAGCATCTATATTGGCAACACCAGATCTGAGCCTGAATCGAAATCAGGCGGAGGCGTGAGTCCTTAGGCTCCAGGCTGCACTGCAGTGTGCCGTATCGACTACGCCGCTCTACGGTGTACGACATGGATGACCTCCAATCACCGCCTCACTCTAGGCTGTTATCTCCACAAATTCGGATAACGTCGTCCATCAACTGTGGGCGACATCGAGCTGGAGAGCGAAACGGTCCATAGGATGCGGTCTGTTCCTCGTTTTAGTTGTTCGTTACAACATGGCTGTCTGAGTGGTGTGTAGCATTGTCACCATGGCTGCAATGCGTCGATGTGCACCACTTAATCTTGGCAGCGTCAAGATAGCATGAATCCAGCATTGAGAGGGGGCTGCGCAGTCTTGAAGATGTTCTACATTCCGAACCTGAACCTGAAATCATCTTCCTCTCTCAATCTTATTCTTATATGTCATTAGTTTGCGATACGTGTATACCTCGTCTCATAGTTATTATGCGCAACGCGCCCGAAAAGTCTCCTTGAGTCCTGGATATTTGAGACCAGCCATGAGCTTCACGAATGACATATATTGGCATCAGGCTCTAGCCGCGGTCGCAACTTCTCCGTCAATAACCCCAGCGCCTACTGCTTCTTTGTACCAACGTGAGCTTCCTGCTGAGCTCATCGGCTACACGATACAGGAGTCAACGTGTGTTTCGATTGATCTTCATCCTCTGGGAATGTTAATACTAAGATAATCCAGGGACTCCTTTCTGGTGCAAGCTGAGCTCCACGCACGCGCTAACCTGCCACATTTGTATGAGACTCTTAGTTTGAAGTAACAGAAGAGCCGAGTGATCCAGTCAAGTGCGACTTGGTCCAATCAATACAGATATTTCAAGGATAAATTTCCAGAGTATCCTGGCCTTAAACAAGGAACGTTAACGGGGACAGGAGAGAGGCGATATCAGTGACAATAATACTCGATGAGAAATTTCCAAGTGGTGACATGGATTATCGCATTCAGGTGGAAGGCCACAAGGCAACATGGCATCAAGGCACCGAGGCAACAAATCGGTACATCTCCCCATGTCGATGGAGGTATCGAAATATGAAGACATAAGGTATTATCAAGAAATTGTCCTAGAATTTAACTACACCGCAGCGGATAATAATAATATCTTTGTCCCTTTGGAAAACTATGCCCGAGGATCGAGTTCCCCCTTCGGGATCTAACGTCAGCGCTGCTGCCACACCATAGGGACTGGTACTAACTCTCCGCTCCTGGACGATGTACCTCTGCCGTGCATTGCCTCGGATACCGGTATCGCGAAGGACGAGTAGGAGCTTGAGCTCTACAAACATAATCCTCGCTGCTGGTTGCTTTCTACTTCGATATTGAAATATAAATTTTTACTCATTATTCAAGTTTGTGGTCTTGCTTCGCTGTACATTATTTCCAACTCGGTTCCACATCTTCCGATATGGCTTCTCAACGTAAGTCTCACCCCACCCCTGAATGCAGAGTTCAGTCTGGCGCCTTGGTTGCGAAATAGTTTGTCTCCATTTGCATTGTCACTGCAGTATTTATATCACAATATTTCGATGTTTAAGGAAGCATGAAGCACTTCGAGGTTTTTGTTCAATAATATACTTCATTAAACGACGGCTTGGAGAACCATGCTAACACGAAGCAGAACAATTGAAGACTCCTCTTACGGAGCTGCTCGGTATCAACCACCCCGTCCTTCTCGCCGGGATGGGTACCGTAGCATCTCCTAAGCTCGCTGCTGCTGTCACCAATGCTGGCGGTTGCGGTGTCATCGGTGGTGTTGGCTACACCCCGTCCGGTCTCCGGGAGCAGATTGCCGAAATTAAGGCCAATTTGATTGACAAGAACGCGCCATTCGGTGTGGATTTGTTGCTCCCCCAGGTCGGCGGTACTGCTCGCAAGACCAAGTATGACACCCAGCATCTGATAGTGCCATAGAGCGGTGCCGCTAACATGCCATCAGCTACGATTACACCAAGGGCAGCCTCGACGAACTAGTCACCATCATGATCGAGACCGGCGTCAAGATCTTCGTCTGCGCCATCGGCGTTCCCCCCGTGGCGATCGTCAAGCGCCTCCACGCCGCCGGCATCTTGTACATGAACATGATCGGCCACCCCAAGCACGTCGCCAAGTGCATCGCCGCCGGCGCCGACATCATTTGCGCCCAGGGCGGCGAGGGTGGCGGCCACACCGGAGACGTTCCCACGAGCGTGCTGATCCCGGCCGTGGTGGAGCTGGTGAAGGGGCACCGCAGCCCGCTGACGGGGGCGCAGGTGCAGGTGGTCGCGGCCGGTGGGATGTACTCCGGGCGGTCGCTGGCGGCAGCGTTGATGCTGGGCGCCACCGGGGTTTGGGTGGGGACGCGGTTCATCATGGCGACGGAGGCGGGGGCGTCGAAGTACCACCAAGAGGCAGTGAAGACGGCGAACCACGATGATTCGGTGCGGTCGATCATCTACACCGGGCGGCCGCTGCGAGCGAAGAGGAACGCGTACGTGGACGACTGGGAGGAAAACCGCGCGCAGGAGATCAAGGACCTGACAGCCAAGGGCACCTTGCCGGTGGGGAATGATTTGGAGAGGAAGGATCTAGATGCCAAGCATAAGGAGTGGGTGGAGGAGTACTGGAACCCGCAGTTGATGGGCAAGGTGGCGGCAGTGCTGGACAAGGTGCAGCCCGCAAAGGAAATCGTGGATGAGATTGTTGGGGAGGCTGTGAAGGTGATTGCGGAGGGCAATTCTCTGGTTGTCTATGCCAACCATCCGTTGAGGTTCAAGGCCCAGATGTAATTTGGCGCTCTATCAAGATTGAATAGCGACGTTTCAGCTACGGTATCTCCATATCGAATTGTTTGACAGCTGGCCCATTTGACATATAAAGCGGTTTACAGTTTTGGTACAGTTTCTACCTTCTTTCCCGACGCCTTCAGAGCGTACTCCGAAAGTGCCATCGTCGCCTCCGTCTCGAATAGGCAGAGGAAAAACGGCCCATCATCAACTTTCTCGGGTGCGGTGCTTCGCTCCCTGGCCTCTTCATGCCGTGCTGGATCCATTCCGTGAGGAACCATCGGATTGTTGAGCAGCCCACCGAAAGGCAGAAATCTTCTTCCCTGCGACAACGGATTCCCTGGGCTCTGGTCCCCCACCACGGGGAACGCGAACTCGCTCATGCAATTTCGGTGGAAATACGGTGCCCAGTACGTACCTTCCATGACGGACCATCGAGGAGGGATGACCGCGAAATCGATTACCGCCGTTCCGGCTTGGCGATTCGACGGCGCGGTGAGGACGGTGAAGATCGAGGGGTCGGGATGATCAAATAGGACCGAGCCGAGGACGCAGAACCGGGCAAAGTCAAACTTATAGGGATAGTAGGTGCCGTTCCAGCCCACCACATCGAACGGAGTGTGAGTTTGCTTGCAGGAGAAGAGGGTACCGGCGAATTTCGTGACAATGGTCCACTCTTGGTCCGGGTGGTTGATCACGGCGACGCCGTTCTCGATTTTGCCGTCGAAGTACGCCTTGGGAACCTGGAAGTCGCGTACACCGGCCAAGGACGATGATCCGATTGGGCCGAGTTCGGGGAGCTGGAAGTGCCCTTGATACAGCTCGACGATGAGTCCCCGGGCGAGGCCAGTAGGAAGCGTGACTCGATATCGGATCCCGCGTGGAATTACGGCGAATTCGTTCTGGCGGACCAGCAACCGTCCGAGCTCGGTCTGGATGTCCAGTGTGCCGGCTTGGGGAACGATCAAATAATCACCATCCGATGAGAAGAACGCCTCATGCTCGGCCATGTCCTTGGTCGCGGAGAAAACTAAGTAGGCACATCCGGTCTTGGTGGTCGGATCGCCATTCTTCGCAATCAGTTGCTGGGACGAGACGAAGTCAGCGTCCGCGGGAACCGGGAAATTTTGCCATAGGAAGGCATTCGGAGTCAGTTTGAGCTGCTTGTCTGCCACAGACTGCTCGTTCGGAACGCTATGCGTCCCAAAGTCGGCATGGTCCAGCGAAGGGACGACGCGATAGAGCCATGTCTGCTGGTTTTCCGCTCTGGGGGCGGTGAATGAACTCCCCGAAATTCGCTCGGTATTGAGGCCTAGCGGTGGTTTTTGAGGCGAATTGATCGCGACAGGATTTGCTCCTTTCACAGCCTCAGAGCTGGGAAGTGGTCAGTCGCATTTCGCGTTGAGGTCGGAATGTAGACTCACGAATGGTAGCAGCCAAATCCCTCCAAATACTCATACTTCTCCTCTACGGCAAACTGGGTCACTGGCATAATGATGGCAGTGACTTGTATTTCCTAGGTTTGAAATTCACGTCCTACAAGGGGAGTTTCTTGGATGGGGATAGCTTCGAGAGCGCATTCAAATATGATGAATTGACCAAAAACCGGGACGACTAAACCGACCGGCACGGGATGTGGAGTATCCGACTCCGCATTCTACAGTTTCTACTTAACTTTACACCACTCCACAGTTAAGCGGACATCCTTGACTTGAACAGCCTGTTCAAGGCCCGAAAAGCATGTCGGGATAGGTAATGAGGGGACATACATCCGAACACCCCGCTTTTTGCGAATCAGCAGTCGCCGAGGGTTCACAAGCAATACATGTGCCCGAGGATGAGCGTGTCGTAACTCGCAACCGTGATATGTAAAGCGCAGAGGGGAAGTGTAGAGACGTTATAGAAACCTAGAAACGGTACTTGATGTTGACTTGTTGAGTGACACGATTCAATTCCGAAATAATATCGCAATATATCGTCTCACAATGGTTCTCGCCAAACCCACCTCCCGGTGCACGCAGATGATCCTGCTTAAGGTCCCTGTTCAACATAACCTACGAGAGAAGACGCAAGGGACGGGTGCAATATGGTGGAAAGCACTTGCTGTGCTTCAGAAAAGCCCAGGCTTCGTACGTGTGTACTTTGGAAGACGAGTGGAGATACCCGACTCCGTTCATTTGCATGTCGGTATGCTGAGCCGCACTTGTCCGTTTCAATGTCCGATGCTGAATGATATCAGTCCGAGAGACGCTTGAGCAAAGCCAGGATTTCTTGAAATCGCCTCTATACCAAGAGTTCAAGTCAGCCATCGACCAGCTCACCAATGTTGAACCGACCATTCGTCATGCATTCATCGGCGAATATAGCCCCGGATGCGAAAGCCTTGCAAAGGGAGCCCCGGTGACTGGAACGGCTATATACGTGGATCTCCAGGATCTCTGGGACGAACGCTGGGATCAATGGACGGGTATTGTGCCGAAGGTCGAAGGGTTCATGGGGATCGCGGGCGGACCGCTGGTGGAGTCCGTCGCCGGCTTCAAAGATTGCTATATCGCTTTGGTAGGATGGAAGAACGTCGAAGTACACGATACATATCATCATACGGCGGACTTTGCGAGCAAGAGTCATATTCTATTGGATCCGGGAAGGAGCAAGAAGAAGTTCACCGAGTACGGACATATTGCGTTCGAGAGTGATCTGGTGGTAGAGGCCGATTCTGCTAGCAAGTTGTAATTGATGAAATGAAGATATTGACTCGATGAATACGCTCTCCTAAACAAATATGATAGTTGGAACTGAAGAGAAGACCTTCCAAGCAGTTCGGAGAGGCATCTGAGGATGACTGAAATGAGTTGATTGTGCCAGACGCACATTGCTCAACTGTCCAGCTTCGAGTAGCAAATCACCTAGAAAAAACAAACCATCGACTCTGCAATCCCAATTGATGGTTTCAAATAAAGCATTTAATATGAAGTTGGAATGTCGAAAGTTGAAGATTGAACAGAAGAGTCAGAAGTATTTATTTCCCGTCCCAATTATTGTCGTATTCCCACCTCACTAATTATGACATCAAATGCTGGATGCTCCTTAGCCTGATTTGTTGTTCAGTTCACCAGACCTACGACGGAGACCTGGATATGAACGGAAATATTAAAGGAACCCGACAACCACCAATTTCCTTCCTCCAACAGGATCAAACACCATGGGGCTAGAAGATTTTGAGAAAGAGCTTGCCGAATCGCAAGCGAAGACTGAACGGCGAGATCGAGATCGCAGCCGCAGTCGAGATCGTCACGGCGAGAAATTAAAGGTACGGTCATTTCCGAGACCTCACAAACTATTGAAGATATATGTTATACGCGTTGGAATAATGAAACTGAGATCTATCTAGGAGGAAAAGAGAAAGCACAGTCGCCACCGCCATAAAGACCGCGAACGACACCGCCATCGATCACGCGGGCGCGACGATGACCGACGAGACCGAAATCGCGAGAAAAGGTCACGGCATGACAAAGATGACGAGGGACGAGAGCCGAAACGGGATTCCAAACGTCGTCGAAAAGAGTCCAAGTCCCCATCCATTTCCTCGAACGATGCACCCCGGGAGCGCGATCCCGCCGTCCCTAGCGACAGGATTCTCGACAACGCGGTCGAGGAGTATCGCGATTCCGGAGTTAAGCGCGATGCATGGATGGAGGCACCGTCAGCGTTGGATGTAGACTACGTGAACCGGGCGAAGCCGCCAGCGGAGGAACCCCGGCGTGGGCACTCACTGCACGACGAATACAATCTCAAGATGCACAAGAACGAGCTGAATCGACATCTTGCCGATGTGAAAGGCAGCGAGGATGAAGGTGCCGTGGAGGACGAGTCAGCGCAACATGAGGTAGCCTACGAGTTCGGGGATGATGGTTCCGGATGGCGGATGACGAAGCTGAGGGCCGTTTATCGCCAAGCGAAGGAGACGGGGAAGGCGGTTGAAGAGGTGGCGCTGGAGCGGTTTGGTGGGCTCCGGGAGTTTGACGATGCTCGCGAGGAGGAGGTGGAATTGGACCGCCGCAAGATGTACGGGAAAGACTACGTTGGGAAGATCAAACCTAGCGGAGAGCTCTTCGAGGAGAGGAAGTTAAACATGGGCATCCACCGGCCAAGCTCCAGCCACAGTCGCCGTTCGAGCGAACTTCAAGAGGTTGAGGGGCTTCCTCAAGGGGAAATTATCCAGGACAGCGGCCCGGTGCTAAGTCCGACCGAACTGAACAAGCTAAAAGCGCAGCTCATGAAGGCCAAGCTACGAGGCGGTCCTGAGGCCGCAAAGCTCGAGAAAGAGTACAACCGAGCATTCGAGGTATCCCAGCGCGAGCGTCCAAGTACAATCGTCATCGGCGGACGCGAATCTCGCCAACTGGCCGGAAGCCGCACCGAAGAAGTCAACGCCATCGACAGCAAACGCGGCCGGGAACGGGGCTTAGTCGAAGAGAACGAAGACATGTCAATCGAAGACATGGTCAAGGCCGAGCGACGCAGCAAAGGCGTCGGCTCGAGCAAGGACATGGCGGAGCGGATCGCGAAAGACGGCAAGTTCGACAACGACCTAGACTATATGGACGACAACGCGGCGAAGCTGGCGAAGCGGGTGGTGAAGAGCAACATGAACCTCAAGAACACCGCCGTGCACGAGCTGCAGAAGATGAGCCGCATCCTGGACGCCTGCCCGCTATGCCATCGCGAGGACACCCACACACCGCCCACCGCGCCCGTCGTGTCCCTCGCGACCCGCACCTTCCTCACGCTGCCCACCGAGCCCGAGATCGGCGACGGCGGCGCGGTCATCGTCCCCCTCGAGCATCGCCTCAACCTGATCGAGTGCGACGACGACGAGTGGGAGGAGATCCGCAATTTCATGAAGGCACTGACTCGAATGTACCACGGCCAAGGGCGCGCGGTGCTGTTCTACGAGAACGCGGCGCACCGCGCGCGGAAGCGGCACGCGAGCCTGACCGCGGTGCCGATCCCATACGAGTTCGGGGAGACGGCGCCGGCGTTCTTCAAGGAGACGATGCTGGCGAGCGACGAGGAATGGGCGCAGCATCAGAAGGTGATCGATACGGGGAAGATGGCGGCCGAAGGGGCGGGGCGGTCGGCGTTTCGGCGGGCGATTGCGAAGGAGATGCCGTATTTCCATGTATGGTTCACGTTGGATGGGGGCCTGGGACATGTGGTGGAGGATGAGAACCGGTGGCCGAAGGGGGATTTATTCGCGAGAGAGGTGATCGGTGGCATGCTAGACCTTGGTCCGGAGGTGATCAGGAGGCAAGGAAGGTGGGGGAAAGGGGATGGGAGGAGGGTGGAAGGGTTTAGGAAGAAGTGGAGGGAGTTTGACTGGACGAGGGTTTTGATTGAAGGGCAGTGATGGAGATTAGTACAGATATTAAGGCTGCTTCTAGAGACTATCTCATCATCATCGTGAATGATACCATTGTAAATGTCACTTCCACCCCGCTTTAACGTCGACAGCGCTCAAGAGCAACAAGAGTCCAAAAGAACATAAACGACGAGCTCAGAGACGTCGAAAACGATAATGACCAACAATAGGGGCATCTACGCATAAAAAGCACTGCACTTTGTCGGACGGAACCAATGCGATGAATTGCATGCCAAGTAGGACACACGCCAAGTTGGACACATCGTGATCGCTCATATACAAACGCGTTGTTTCCAAATTTGCCAATAAAAAAGAACAGGAGTGGGAAGGGCATACCACATGAATGGACGGGTCGTTCCAGTGCCTTCGCAAAAAAACGTGCAGAGAACCCAATGTCGACCGTTACCCCCGGCTGATTAAGGAATTCTCAACTGAAGGGAGAAAAAACCGCTCACGCTCCACGCTCTCCCCGCACTCAACGAAGACAACTCTTATGCACGCACGCGCTGTATCCATCCCGCTCACAATCGCAACGCGTTCAATATCTCCTGCGCCAGATTCTTATACTGCATGATGTTCCCGTCCACCTTCTTGAACTGAATCCCGTAGAGCTGAAACAACGGCACCTTCACAACGAAGATCTCAAACCGCAGCGCCATCGCCCCCCGCCCCACGTCGTTCTGCACATGCGTCGTCGTCTCCCCCGCCGCCCGCTCACGCGGCTCCCGCCGCTTCCCTCCCCGTTCCCGCTCGCGCGCCGCCGCCCCCTCGGAGCCGTCTGAGTCGTCCGACCCCGTGAACGATCGGTCGGTCACGTCACGCCGGGAGCCCGGGTTGCGGGGTGAGCGCTGCGGCTCGGCCGGGCGTTGGGTGTCGCGGAACTCGTCGCGGTCGCGATCGCGGTCGTTGCCGCGGAGGCCGCCGAAGCTGATTTTCCGGCGGTGGCCGGAGGGAGTGGGGGCGGCCAGGGAGGGGCTGCCTTCTTGTGAAGGGAGGGGGTCGATGCTGGGCAAGTGCGTGCAGTTGAATCCGCCCTTGATTTCATTGTAGACGACGCCTTTTTGCTTCAGCACGCGGATGATGTCCGAGCGGATGACGGGGAGGGGTTTGCTGCTGGTCGTGCTTGCGCTAAACAGCCCTTTCAGGTAGACGGGCTTGAGGCTCTCGCCCGTCTGGCCGGAACGCGCGTCGGCCTCCGCCTCAATCTCCGCGTCGGTCTCCTCGCGGAGATTATCTTCACGTGCCTGTTCCCGCTGAGCACGCCTGGCCTGAATGCTCTCGCGTCGTGCGTGGCCTAGTGATTTGGTTCGCGAAGTGGTTGCGGTGCGGGGACGTGCTGCGGGCTGCTGGTCGTCCGAGGCGGCATCTCCGGCTTTGAGACGGTTGTCAAGGCTGGACCGGTCCGACCCGCTAGTGGCAGGAGGTTCGGTGGTGTTGTCGTCAGAAGCTCCATGACGCCCTATCCGCCGTCTAATCTCTGCGGAGTTAACACTAGTCGACCGTCCAAGGCCTTTCAATCTTCGAGAGAAATCACCGCCAGCACTAGCAGGTGAAAGGAATTCGGGTTGCTGGTGCTGGGTCGTTCCTTGGAACGACGTGGCTGATGCCGGAGCATCTAGCTTTCGATTCCTCCGGACACTGAAACTCTTCCTAGGAGTGCTCGGCTGCTCCGTGCTCGGCGGCTCACCAGGACTCGGGGCCACCGACACAGACGGAGGGGGATTGGTGACTTTCTCCTTCTCGAGATCTTTTTCCCTGTCCCTGTCCCGATCTCGATGTCGTCGAGTGCTCAGCCGCCGCAAGATCGCACCGGCCGTGCTCTCCTTCCGAGTAGGTTCGATAGGAGGTGTGACCAACGCGGGGGATACTGGTACATTCGCTGCACCGAGGTTCATGTTCTTCACGCCCTCTTGAACTTCATCTTCTCCCTGGGTTCTAGCTCTTGGCCTTGATCGACCGCCAGTCGGCTTTTCTCCTTTCAGTTCATAGGTAGCTTGATTCGTGTACGCAGCTTCGGGTGCTTGAAGTTGTGGCATATCAAACGGCCCCTCACCTTCGGTCTTCGGCAAACCGAACGCGCCGGGATTCTTCTCCGTGCGCTCGCGGTCTTGCTTCTCGCGAACCAGGTAATAAATGGAAATGAGCGGGCTAAACGCATTGACTGGGTCGGCTCCCAGTTGGACTTCTTCTTTCGAGGGGTTGGTAAGGGTGTCACGACTAAGCGAATTGCGACGCTTGTAGAAATCAAACACCCCACGCTTACGTTCTGTCTCGGGAGTCTGCACCGGCTGTTTCCGGCTCATGTTTCGAATGGCTGCCTGGTATTCCTCGGATTCGATAACTTTCGTGAGTTGGTTGGTGATAAATTCGGGTGGTCCAAAGTCGAAGCCAACCATCCCATCGATCACCTCGGCATCCAAGGGTAGGCTCAGAGGCTCACGGTGAGGCAGGAAGTTATCGGGAGCGGAGTTGAAGCCTTTCGTCATCCAAGGATGGTTGATGATCTCGGTTAACGTCGCGCGTTGTCGGGGGTCGGTGACGAGCATCCTGGAAATCAGATGCTTGCACTCTGGACGCTGAATGTCAGACATACGGGCCGTGTAAGTCGTGGGACCCAAACTTACCGGTCGATAACCATGGTGGATAATCGACGTATCCTTTTTTGATCTTGGCATGCAGCTGCGGCATGCTTTGGTCATCGAACGGTACCTTCCCGCAAACGAGGACGTAAAGAACAATTCCAAAACTCCAGATGTCCACCTCGGGGCCGGTATACTGTCGGGCTTGAAGCAGCTCCGGTGCTGCGAAGTACAAGCTGCCACAGAATGTTTTCAGGTAATTTTGTGGCGCGAAGAGGTTCGACAATCCAAAATCAATGATCTTGATATCGCCCGTCTTGCTGATCAGGATATTCTCGATCTTGAGGTCTCGGTGGACGATGCTATTTCGGTGACAATAGTCCAGAGCACTCGCAATCTGCCTTGCGAACTTCCGGGCCGGTTTCTCCTTCAACCGTCCATGAGAGATGATGTAATCTAGCATCTGTCCGCCATTGACATATTCGAAGAGCATATACCAATGGTAGTTGGTCCGAACAAAGTCTCGCATCCCACAGATATACGGGTGGCTGACCAGGCTGACGATCGCTGCCTCTCGTGCGGTTCGGACTTCTTTAGAGTGGTCTGCTCTTTCCTTTTCTTGGGGAGTTCGGTGATCATCGGTCGAGTGACGTGGAACTATCTTAACCGCAACCTATATACAATTAGAGGTGTGCCATATATCGATCCGATATAGGTATATACCTGTTCTCCCGTCTCCAGATGCTTCGCCAACTTGACCTTGCCCATACTCCCGGCGCCAATGGTCTTCCCGAGTGCCCATTGGCCGCTCGGGGTACCGATGGTGGTCCTCCGCCGTGTTCCACCAGTTTTATGCGAAGATCCAGGGTTATCCATGGCGATACCGTTGGTCGGCGGTTGTTGGGTATGGGATGGGACGTCGGAAGTCCTCCGAGTGTGCTGATGAGGATTTCTCGTCGGTTCGGCTCGATGCGACGTCGATGATGCATGCGAGCGATCCCGGTCCCGAGATTCGCTTCGGCGCGAGGAGGAAGAACGGGCTAGATTAGTCTGCTCCGCGTCCCGACGCGTATCGTATGCGACAGGTGGACCGGGACGGCCATGACCATGCGATTGAGACTGGGAGCGATGCGGTGTCGAAGAATGGTGCGAAACAGAAGGACGGACGGCAGTGGAGTGGGAACGGTGGGGTCGATCGGGAGGATTTGTGGTGGTATAAGATGCCTGTTGTTGACGGCGAGAGGTTGAGCTGCTTCTCGTGACAGTGGGGGAGGCTGGGGTGGCAGCCGACATGACGGGATTCACAAGACGAACAGGAGTTGTGTCTCGTTAGTTGTCAGGATCCCAGGAGCCAGAACTCGTGACCGCCGAGGAAACCAGGAAAAGGAGCGAAAGCCGAAAGGCAACCAAAGCGTCCGTGAGTCCGAAGTCTCTCAAAGCAGGCAAAGGCCAAAGCACTTCCAAGTTCGAACTTGAAGCGTACTGCGGAGCTGCGTAGGTGAAATTAGGGACAAGCTAGTGAGGATTGACCGATTGAGGAGGCGTTCTGCAGTCGAGTCCCAGCGAGTGGCGAGGATGTGTTGGACAGACCGCCTTGGGCGGCGGACGCCAGTTGGTGGGTTGGCGTTTCGGTGCTATCAGTGCGGGAAGACCCCAATGGCAAGGTGGATGCTGGTCGTCATGACATGGGAACGCTCCAGGGTGGTGGGACGACAGACCGTAACCAGGTTATCGAGGAGATTAGTACACAAGGAACGAACCGGAGAAGGTAAGGTGAAATCCCGCAGTCATGAAAGAGGATATGCAAAGGAATGGGGTCTAGGGATGGGGAAAACAAGGTGAAAAGGTCGGATGAGAGAGACGAGGGGGGGAGCGGAGCAGGGGGAGGAGGTGAGGACTGTGGAAACTGAAGCAGGGGAGTATTGACGATATCGGGGAATGGGAGAATTATTGTAATCTCCGCCAGAGAGTTCAGAGTTGTATGTGTGAAGTGACTGTGAAGGGGGAACAGTTCACTCACTTCATTTCACTCTGAACTGTGATCAGATGTGTCATGTGTGATCTGATGTGTGTGATGACTTGTGTGTGTTGATGTCTGGTGAGAGAAGGGAGTCCTGCCTTGTTGCCTTGGGTTGGTGCCTGATGAATCTCCACCTGCACCGTCCTCCACTCCTGCTCCAGTCCTGCTTATCATCAGCCACATCTGGTCCTGTGCACCGCCACAGCATATCCAGGCACCTCAGGCACGCCAGGTCGCCAGGTCCACAGCCCACAGGGCATATCCAGGTCCGCTGTCCGCATCCACCAGTGGCACATTGACGGTTGACAACTGACAAGGACAGGACATTCCAATCTCCATCCTCTGATCCTCATGTCGAATTGAGTCGATTCATTCCCCTTGGCCGCCGTTATATCTTCGTCGCATCTATCCTAGCCTAGTCATGGATGTACTCCGTCGATTTTCCCTCCGAGGACCACCATAATAGACACCATGTCATTCAAGAGATCCAGAGAAGCGTTCGAGAATGACTCCGCTCCATATGTCATCTACGGGACGGCGCTTCCACAGTACGACCCAGAATCCCGCGACGATGGCTCCTATGTCCCTCTCTGGAAACAGGAGGTGCGCGACGAGAGGGGCCGGAAACGCCTTCATGGCGCATTTACCGGAGGTTTCAGTGCTGGGTAGGTTCCCAATCCAGAACATATCCCCCTATTCCTCTGCTAACCCGACGGTCAGATACTTCAATACGGTAGGCTCCAAGGAAGGATGGACTCCATCAACCTTCGTCTCCTCCCGCACCAACCGCGCCGCAAAACAACCCGTCCCGCAGCGCGCCGAAGATTTCATGGACGAGGAGGACCTGGCCGAAGCGGCCGAAGCGGAGAAGCTGATGACGGCCGAGAACTTCGCGGGGCTGGGGCTGACGGAAGAGGATGCCGGGAGGAAAGGGAAGAGTATTTTCACGGACTCCATCACGAGCAGCGGTGCGAGTATGGGCGTGAAGTTGCTCCAGAAAATGGGTTGGCGGTTGGGACAGGGACTTGGGCCACGGGTGCGGCGGAAAGCTCGAATGGACGATGAAGGGCGCGGCCAGACCAAAAACGGGGACGAGGAAACGCACCTATTCGCTCCCGAGAACTCGAAAGTGATTACCTACCACAAGAAGTCCGACACAAAGGGGTTGGGATATAGCGGAGAAGCGAGGCGGCTTGATGAAACCTCGAAAGAGGATGAGAATGTCGAAGAGGACAACGAGGATCGCATTTTCCAATCCCGGAAATCAAAGATCACCCTAGGCAAGCCTTCGGCGAAAAAGTCAAGCTTTGGAGTCGGTGTTCTCAACGACACCGGCTCGGACGACGAAGATCCGTATGCCATCGGCCCTAAGATATCCTACAACCGGACCATCGGAGGCAGTAAGAAATCGAAGAAGGCCGAGAAAGTGAAAACCTCATCCACCACCGCCAACCCACTCCTCCGCGCCAAACCCGTCTTCCTCTCCAAGAAGATCCAAGACCGTACCGCAGGCTTCCACAAATGCCATGATGGCCGACTCCCTCTCAAAGGCTTCATCCTCGCCACCCAACCATACGTGCAAGGTCAAACCTTCCCGCCACCAAAAGTCCCCGACGGCTGGACATCCTCGCGCGAGGGGGGTGACCAACCTTCCCAACCCGATCCGGAGACCTACCAATCGCTCCGCGACGTCGCCAAGGCCTCCACGCTCGACCCCCGCGCTCGCGCCGCCCTCCTCGGCGAGGCCGCCCTCCCAGGGAAATCGATCTTCGACTACATCTCCCCGGCCGCCCGCGCACGCCTCGCCGCGGCGTCCGGACGCGGCGACCTCCCCCTTGCAAAAGGTGAGGCGCCGCCGCCGGAGCATCGGAAGAGCGAGGCGGACAAGCGGAAAGATCTGCGGGATGTGATCCCGGAATTGGATAGGGAGAGTGCGGTGGGGGCGCTGAGGAGGGGGGGGAGTGGGTGGATGCCGTACGCGGACGACGAGGCGAAGCGGGGGAGATATAGGGCGTTTCTGGAGTTGTCGGCGGGGATAACGGAGACGATCCCGGAGAAGGCGGCGGGGGTGTCGAGGGATGACTATCTGAGGGAGATGCATGAATTTCTTCGTGCCGCGCGCGTGTTCAAGCCAATGACGGGCATGATGGCGTCGAAGTTCACCTCCTCGTCACGCGCGTTCGAAGGGTCCAACGATTCAGGGGACGACTCCGTGTTGCGGAAGCCGGAAGCGAAGCCGAGTGATCCCGCCGAGGAGGCCGCGAAGCTCGGAATGTTTGGGCCAATGACGAGAAGTGTACAGCAGTTCTATCCGACGCGGCTACTGTGCAAGCGGTTTGGCGTCCGACCGCCCGACCATGCGCAACAAGACCAAGAAGCCGGGCAGGAGGGCCCGATGTCCGATTTCGTGCCAAACCAGCCCCTAGACGTCGTTTCCAAAGCGACTATGCAGGAGATGATGCGCGAGTCGGCGGCGAATCGAACCGGTGGTAACGCAGAGCAAGGCGTGGTGGATATTCCGGCCCCTGTGGTGGTCAATGTGGAGAGGAACGAAGCGCTAGAAGGAGATCGTCCGGGAGATGCAGTCTTCCGAGCCATATTCGGTGATGATGACGACGAAGACGAAGAATGAAATAACTTGCATTAAAGTCTGATCCTGTCCACATTCTCATCATCGTAAACTTGCCGCTACATGATCGGCGGTATATCCCTCGCGACGTCCTCGCTTTCCAAAGGCACCATCGCAAGCCTCTCCGCCCAATCCCTCCGTCCAGTTTCCTTGATCAACTCCTTCGCCATGTCCCCCCTTCGCTCATAGTACTCCCTTCCCACCACACGCATCACCTTCCCCTTGATCACCAAATCCCCTGTCATCGCATTCCCCGCTTGAACCAAGAACGTCTCCAACACGAGCATCCCGACGAAGATTCCTTTACCCACAGGACTGATCATCCCTGACAGCACGATCGCCCCATACACCAACAAGAGCACCACGGCCATGAGCGCTTCCTCCACGAAACTCATCGCCCGAAGCCATGTCCCCGACGTCACCGCCTTCACATCATCCACCCACCCCCTGATCCGCACAAACCGATCCTGACTCAACAGCACCAGCAAATCACTCCGCTTCCCCGGTTCCGCCGCCCCGTGCCAGCCCCGCCGACTCCGCGCTCGCAGCACCAACATATCCACCGTCCGCGCAACAACCAACATCCCCAGCACCACCACCCCCCACCCGTCCCCCAGCTGCACAAACCCCGCAAACGCCCCCCCGGTGACCCCGATCGCCGCGCAATACGCCGCATTCCCCACCACCGCTCCTCCTTTCTCCCCCGCCCTCCTCCCATCCACCTCCACCGTCGTCAACCACCCCGTGCGCCCCACGCGCTGCAGGAACGCGACGGTGGCGGGGTTCTCGATGCGGAACACGTAGCCGGTCGTCATGGCGGCGGTGGCGGGGTATTCGCCGGCGTGGAGGGAGGCGGCGGTGGAGTGGGGTTGGTAGAGGCCCGGGCAGAGGAGGAGGGGAGAGAGGAAGGGGGGTGGGGAGCGGAGGGAGAGGAGGCGGGGGAGGTAGGGGAGCGGGGGGAGGAGGAGGAGGCCGAGGGGGAGGGACTAGGATGGGTTAGTTCTGATGGCGAGGAGGGGAGGTGGTGAGTTTCTGAGGGGAAGGGGAGGGTAAGCGCATTGGGGACGGAACGCAACCCTGTATGGGTAATACTGTACCGAGAAGTCTAGATCTATTGTCATTCTAGGAGCTGTAATCATGCCGGCTTCGAGATTTGTCTGGGTGTCTGGAACAGGAGCTATACTACTTCTGGGTTTCACTTGCGGGTCATTACATCGTCAGATTCATGGTCCAGATCCGCTGCCAGTATTGAGGAGATGCGCTGGCAGCCTCGCAAGACTCGCGGTCGGATTCATCCGATGCATATCACGAATTCAAACGACACCGCAGCCTGCAAGGCGGTACCGGCCACACAGTTCACAATGCTGCCACTTCCCTTGCTGCATTTTAATTCCTAATTAGCTAGACAGGGCTAGAATACACACGGTACATGTATACCACATTAGGGGCAATGGTCGGATTGTCTACCCGGATGTTAGCACTTCCCCCATGGAGTGAATAGAAGGTTCCTAATAGACTATTGAACAACATCGAGTTCCAGTCAGTACAGATAAAGTCGTAGGTGGACTGATGTAGTCACGACTTGTTTCGGATGCGAATCAAGGGTTTGAACCTAATCCCTAGGACGATCCCAATGCATACTGTGCAGGCAGTTACCTACTTGGCACAGCGCAGTTTGACTTCTAATCCAGTCAATAAGGAGCCAATTCTCGTCGCATATATCGTGGCTCGTCCCAGGTTGATTGACGATGAACAATAACTTAAATTAGAAGCACACGTTTCCCCGGACTCCACGAGTCCACATCTTCAGGTTTCCGGGCCGGGCATAACTCACATATTGCGCCCTAGGGGCTGGCGCGTTTGAAAAACTGGAAGGCGGTCACGCCAGACTATAGGCAATATATACTCCGTAATTCAATGAATTATGCACGGAAGCCGTCACCGCATCATGGAATGCAATGCTCGGGCCTCGGGGTCATTTAGTACGTACAAACCTTCCCTTATGTCAGACGGCAGTGACTGAAGTCTAAATCTAGACGTTTGAAGTGTGAATCCGTCCCTCGTTCAGGCCGTCAAGGTGGATTCCGTTCCTATTGGGGAATCCTAGCTCAGCTAATGGAATGCGGCCTACCGTCAGATGAAGTATGAGGAAAGCGCAAGGATCGAGTTCTCGTCTTCTCGACGCTTCCATAATCCATACCGTTAACCGTAAACATGGGTGGAGGCTGAGGTGACGAGTTACGACATCGGCCGTGCAACTCGAGAACTCAATGAGTGACTGCATGTGGTGGCTCTCTTCGAGTACGCCACGATAATTGCCGCCCGAAACCGGTCCCAAAGGGACGCTTTTGGTTACCCCATCGCCTCGGTCGAGCTAGAAATTCCATCGTGACCGGAATACTGCAGGATGGAGTGACAGAAGACGTGACAGAAGGATCGAAGGGGTTTGGTTTCGGCGTGCTAAAGCGTCAGTCCGCTCCGAAAGTCCGTATTAATATTGTTAACTTCGGAAGAATTCTCTCATGAACGGCGTCGGGTAATCGGCATGAAGCCAATCCGATCGATGGAATCAAACTCAGTCAATATTGGTGGCAAGGGAAATATTAAAGCCGCTATCACATTCTTGTCATCGTTGATTCGTCTCATCGCAATCCGAAAGTCTTGAGCCTGCCAGCCTGGCACCTCTGGTGGTCAAATGTGGTGTGCTTGGTTGTGCTCATCAGGCGCACAGCCCATGATGATCAGTCGGAAGTTTTCTTGAGCCCCCAGTCCATGCCACCAACCCGAAGCAAGGTTCGTATTTCGATGACTGATCTGAATTCTGATGAATTCTACTATGATCGTGGTCCTCGGATACACCGTGCCTAGGACCTAATTCTCTCTCCCGAAGCCTCAAGGTCTTACTGTACCGACTAAGACCGAGTACTTACGCTGGTAGCCTAATGTGCGAGTACTGCGAGGTACACAGGGTGTATTGTGCAATGCCATGGGAAGGAAGGAAAACAATGATAATTAACTCCATCTGTTGTCCAGTTGACCGAAAATTACGAAGGTATTATTAATTAAAGGGCTATACTACTACCATAAACCCTCAAGGATGTTCCCGAGAGGTTGATCTGTCGTTGATGAGACGATCCGGATCTTGTCTTCATTGGGAAGCCAAGTCAGGATTCAGGAACAACAAGTCCAATCCCATCCCCAACAGCTGTGAACTCCTTGCCGGACAACGAAGGAGGCGTCGTCTGCTTCCTCACTTGATAGAATAGATGCGCCTGAAGCCCTGCACAGAACGGCTATCCTTGGAAACGGGGGGCGCCGCCACTGCCGGAATGGCGGGGTCGTGAAAATGAGCGAATGTAACAGAAACCCAGGTTGGAGATAACTTGCCAGGCTCCCCAGTCGACTCATCACCTCAAGGCTCAAATGCCAAGGCGAGAACCTCCAGCAATTCAAGTTTTGGCATCGTTTAAGTATGCGATTCACGATGATCAACCAATTGGAGCGGATCAATATGGCTGGGCAGGGAGCGTTTCGCTCTGGGCAACCGGCAGCATCTCCATGCGCCATCGAAAAGCTTTCTCTTCCATGTCCTGGACTCCCTGACGTCCCAGTTCTCAAACTTTCAATCCACGACTCTGTACTGGACAGCTGTGGCCCGGCGTACCACAGGGTGTTTCACAAACGCACGCCCCTTCGCTGGTCACTCGACCGCAATAGGGCCACGTTCTGCTTGACACTGTAGCCGATCGTTTTCCTGCGGCGCTCTTTCTGGCGTAAATACGGACGAAACTGGTGTATGTTGTGTTCTAAGTACCTTCTCGTTGGGACTCTGCGTAACCGACGAGAAGCTGGCACGACCTCCTTGACGCGGTAATAGGGAGGTCGATGGCAAATGGCAATAACGATACCGTATCCCTTCCCTATTGTGGCATCCACTGTTTTCCACTTCAACCATGCGGCTGTCCCTTGGCCCAACCCTTCCCCCAGTCCCTCGCATCACGACCGAAAGAAGGAGCGCCAGTTGCGTGATGGAGTGGGAAGTGGGAAGTGACTTGATGCCTGATGATGTGACGTCCGCCAGAGTCGCTCACGCCAGTGGATGGTCCGGGAGCGAAATTTTCCAAAGTTTGAACGAGATTGATTGACTGATGGCTGAAACTTTGCAAAAGCCTGGACCGGATCATGGAAGCATGGAATCATCCCTAGACGCCAATGCGGAGGCTAACGATTTAACGAAACCCAAATGGCAAATGGCAAATGGCAAATATCTCCGTCGTCAGTGGTAACTGAAGGTAACATGAAGCAAAGTAAATTCATCACAAAAGTCCAGGCCTCCAGAGCATCCTCAACCTCAACCGGGCCACTATTCTATCCCGTCTGACTTAGAGATTTCATAATACCGCAATTCCACCGCATTGCCATATTCGCCTTCCGGCCAATCCGTTAAAGGTCGTATTTCGTTATTAAGATGATGCAGATCCATTGAATACCGTCGCGGCTAACCCAGGATGGATCGGCGTTGAGGAACTATTTCTGGATGGAGTGGATATCCCTCCTGGTCTCCCGGCGTCCTGCCGTCCAAGCGGGATTTTGCGCTGGAGGGGATTGGTCTGGAAGGAAGCCTTAGGATGAATCCACCTGAATACCCCAATTGAGCACTGTAATGAACACAGAGGGGATGGGACGGTGCCATGTTTTCTTTTCATCCCGTACTGCTGGCACTGCTGTGACACCCGACGGTTACGTTACTGGCATGCTTTCTTCCCGGATGTTAAAATCTACTGACTTCATGTTTCCTTAATTCCTTTCCCCACCAATTCGTCGTTCGCTCAAGAGCCGGGTCTCGATTTTGCCTTCGTTTAGACTCTTAAGTCTCTAATTAACGACGCTCGCTCAATATCTATTATGGTGTAATCCAAGTCCAACGTCTTCCTGTGATTCTGCGGTTCACTTGCTTCTTGGTCTCCCATCTTCACTCGCAGATCGCCGTTAGTGCACCAAAGATTGCTCGCTGCGCCCTGTGCCGTCCGATTTTTCTCGAGAAAACCTCAAAGGTCCCCTCTCTTAAATCCTGATTGATCCTCTCTGGGGAACCCCATCAGATCCGTGGAAGCCGGTGGGGAAAAGTCGATTTGCCGTTCGGTTGGGGATTGAAGACATCGCAGACCTGAGTTCCATATCCTCATCCAATTCACTTGTGCCGTCGTGCTTCATTGAATCCGGAGATTACCTGAACAAGCAAGCCGTGGGCTACATCAGTACAACCTGCGGAATCTCTCACTACCCCTCCATACACACTCGCTTTACAATTCGGACCCAGATCTCGAGCAATTCACATATTTATCGCCTCCATGGAATAACGACTCTCTCTTTTCTACGACTTCCCTCCGATCCGGTATCGCCTCCTTGCCTACATCACCTGTCGCTAAAGCTTTCACCTCCACGCTTTCTTTCTTGTACCATATATTCCCACGATGAGCGGGGAGTTTTTTAACAGTTGGCCCTTGTGGGCGAAAATGACATTCGTAAGTGATCCAAGGCACAATATATGTAGCTCCCAACCTTCAGACCCAAACTAACTCTCATCGCAGGTTTTAGGATGTGCTATAGTATGTCGTCACCTTCATATCACTCAACAATCGTTCTAACCAGTACCTACCCAGGTTATCACATTCGCTATGGGATGTTTCAAGTTATGGCACAGCCATCGCAAGTTGAAGAAGTACGTTCTAGCCGATGAGAAAGAAGCCACGCCGGCTATGGTAGAAGCACAGGTATCGCTGGACACCGAATCAGAGGTTCCATTCGGGGTCCGGGCCTTGGAGAAGGGCATCGAGGTGGATGGAGTATGGATATCGCGGACAAATACTCCGAACTCAAGCGCGCCTGGTAGTCCAAGGATATCGTTCGCCAAAGGCTCGCCAGTTCTCCTTCCGAATCTCGATCTCCCGTCGGTCTCTTCGAACGATTTTACCCTACTTGGATCGAAGCCCAGCAGTCCGTCGAGCTCCCGAGCTCCGAGCTATGTATTCGAACGCGCGGTTGGCGCAGAGCGGTTACCATCAAACCCGTCCTCCTCGACTTTAGCAGTTAATGTACCGGGCGACGGCGGTCGACAGTATTCTTCGAGATACGAGCCAGTTCCGACGAGTACGGCATCAATGAGAGACGCCGAATCATCCCCAGAATCCGGGTCACCCACCGAAGACGATACCCGGGACCGGACCTCCGGCGGCAGCTCCCTAGGATCCGTAGAAGGCTCAACCTCCCAGGAAGACGATGCAACAACAGGAAAGGGCAAAGTTAAGGCCCAAAGACGTCCAAGAAATGAGAGAGCCAATCTCGATCTTCTCCACAGTCACCGACTCTCCCATGTCGCCGAAACTGGCCAGCTGACCCCACGGGTAAAGCGACCCGCCCTCGGCTCCGATCTTACAGGTGTCTCCGCAGACGGCGCTCGATTTCAGACCGCCGAATACACCATGAACCGCCGAAGTGCCCCTTTGCCTCCCATGCTCCAGCTTGCGAATCGCAACTCTCTCCCTGACCACGCCGAGTCCCCCAAAGCGGATCGCAACGCGCTGAGCACCATCCCCGATGACACCATCATACCAGGCAGCGGAGCCTTCCAACCTCACCGCAACACACTCGCTTTCCTTCCACATGCGCCCTCCGAATCCGGACATCCGGCCGCCATCCCCCCATTCCCAGAGTTCGACCCTCCTCGCCGCCCCGACCCGCTTCCTTCACTACCGTCACCGACACAGAAGCCTGGCCTTGTCCACTCACACACCGAACCCATCCTCCCCGAGCAAGCGCACGCAAGGCCTGAATCTCAGGTATGGCGGAAGGTGAACTCCGGATTCGAGGTGCTGGCGCCCGGCTCGAAGCCGCGGATGTCGATCAACGTGGACGATGCACGGCTGGAGGACGACAATTACGAACCCAAGGAGAAAAGGCAATCCAAGCGGTTACAGAAGAAGCGCCAGTCGCCCCCAGCCGATGGCATAGCACGGGTATCAAAGTTCGTGGAGGGAGGGTTGATATAGAGGATACTTCTGAACACTTGGATGTTAGAGGAGGCAATTTTCCATCCGCCGTCTCGGCACGGTCAGGATATGTATTGGTTGGAGCATACTGGCGCAGATAGACGGATCGGAACTGGGATGGACATTGGACACTTGGAAACTGGAAAATGGAAGGGTTCTGTTTATAGGCGGAATAGGTTAGGTCGTGATTCGAACGGAGTCAACCACGTCCGTGGACGAATATCACGATTGAGCGATCAGTAATTAGACGTAACTTCATCTTGACTGAATCTACATGAGAGAACCATAGGAATGACTTGATACAGTATTGAGATTCGAGGCGCAGTGTTGATATCTCACAGTTCAGACTTCCAGGCGTAAATCCAGGTCAGGTGATCAGGCGTCTTAGGTGGTCAGTGCACGCGCCCAGCGACGCGTCTCAGCAAGAAAGAACCGCCACTCCTACGCGTTTCTGCCTTGTCTTGTCGTCTGCAGATTTCCAGATTTCGCATCTCGCATCGGCTCGCTATTGTTTTCCATCCGTTGTGTCACCAAATTCCATTTAATCTGACTCCTCATTCTCGTTGTGCCTCTCTCAATTCGCTAAGATGAGCGCTGAAGATTCTGGTGCCGTTGATGAGGGTATGGGGGGCCCAGGCGCGCCCACTCCTCTTAGCTCTCTAGAGGTTGGTTGATACTTGATGGATGATGTGCGAGGGGACATGTAGCATTGACATGAGTTACAGGGAATGAACGGAATTACGGCCCGAGACATCAAACTCATGGTTGATGCTGGCTATCATACAGTGGAATCCGTGGCATATACGTACGATCAGATCTTCCACTAGAAAGACATGCCACTGACAATAGATCACAGTCCTACCAGGGCCCTCGAACAGATCAAAGGTGTCTCAGAGCAGAAGGCACGAAAGTTTCTCGATGAAGGTAAGGCATCCTGGACTTACTTCATGGCCAACCGCTGACGATTCACAGTCACCAAGCTCGTCCCCATGGGCTTCACCACGGCCACCGACATGCACCAACGACGGAGCGAGCTGATCTCTATCACGACCGGCTCGAAACAACTGGATACGTTGCTGGCCGGCGGCGTGGAGACCGGGTCCATCACCGAGATTTTCGGCGAGTTCCGGACGGGAAAGAGCCAGATCTGCCATACGCTCGCGGTGACGTGCCAGCTGCCATTCGACATGGGAGGAGGTGAAGGCAAATGCTTATACATCGATACCGAGGGCACCTTCAGGTAAGTCGTGGAAGCTCCACGTTCTACTCTAACCAAATTCTAACTCTGTCCTTTCTAGACCCGTTCGCCTGCTTGCCGTAGCCGCTCGGTATGGCCTCTCCGGGGAAGAAGTCCTCGACAACGTCGCCTACGCCCGCGCATACAACTCCGACCACCAACTCCAACTCCTCAGCCAAGCTGCGCAGATGATGACCGAGACGCGCTTCGCGCTTCTAATCGTGGACTCCGCCACCTCGCTCTACCGGACGGACTTCAGCGGCCGTGGCGAGCTGTCCGCACGGCAGATGCACATCGCCAAGTTCATGCGGATGCTGCAGCGCCTTGCGGATGAGTTTGGCATCGCGGTCGTGATTACGAATCAGGTGGTGGCGCAGGTCGATGGCGGGCCGAGCGCGATGTTTAACCCGGATCCGAAGAAGCCCATTGGGGGGAACATCATTGCGCACGCGAGCACGACGAGGTTGAGTCTGAAGAAGGGGAGGGGGGAGACGCGGATCTGTAAGATCTATGACAGTCCTTGCTTACCAGAGAGTGACTGCTTGTTCGCGATCAACGAGGATGGTATTGGGGATCCGAGTCCGAAGGATTTGGAGAAGGATTAGATAGAGAGGGATAACGTTGTAACGTTCTCGATGGGTCAAGGCGTTTCAGTGGCATGGTGAAATGGTGTTATGGGAGCCAACCACAGATCAATTTAACGAAAGCTCAGAAACGAGCTCTCGTGGATCGTGTATCATTTTATGCGAATATCAATAGGTGCAATCACATATTATCGAACCTATCGTATTGATTGCGCACGTTTTGATTTCTATAATAGCGAAATACAACCGTTCTTCTGATTTTGGCCCAGTGCATCCACTTCCATTTCAGGCACCTGGCTTCTTCCCCCTTGTCCTCTGAATCTTCTCCAGCTCCTCATCAATCTTCTTAAAACTCCAGGAATCCCAAAACGAAGGGTAGAGGAACGGCCGCAGATCAAACCGATTGTCGTCTGGGGAATAGTCATTGCAGTGCAGTGCTGGCGTGAGCGTCGTCATCTTATGCCGATTGATGGCATAGTAATGGAAGAAACGCTTCACCTTCTCCGCCACCTGCTCCGGCTCGTACCGACCGCCCCATTCGTGGACCAGGCGCTGAAACATCCCGAAGGGACCGAGTTTGTGGACCTTTCGCAGGCGACCGAATTCGGTCAATTCACCGTACGTCATGCCCATGTCCGCCTCGTCTGACTGCACGTAGTTCTCTGTGATCGGCTCCAGTTCGGCGGTGGGTGTGGCTGTTAAGAAATCATGCAGGACAGGAATGCCGAAGCTCGTCTCCGCCCATGCCATGAAGCGCTTGAGGTCACTCTTATCGATGCCACCGATCGGATTGATATCAGCGGACGAGCAGTCGTACTTTGTGAGATACCCACGGAGCGACTCTCCAACGTTCGCACTCCCTAGGACGAGGAGACTACCCCCTCCAGGACGGTTCCGAGTGGTCGGGAGGATCTGAGCGAATTCGTATGCCGTTACCATCCGCGATCGGGCCTGGATATTTTGTAACATAATGTTCTCGGCGGATGATCCGCCCTCGACCTTGAATTTCGGTTCGAAGTTGAGGGCGTTTACCACCAGGTTTCTTTGCGCTTCGTAGACTTGGTCGATGTCAAGATCGACGTGGTATGAGCCAATGGCATCGGATAGATCCTTGGCTCTCTGTCTCGTCTCCCTATATAAGAAGTTAGCAAAAGTGAAAAGATGGGGACACCGGCTCGACATACTCCGAACTTTGCTTAGACATGCCCATATATACAGTGTGGAAGAGCTGATTGCACAGCTCTTGCGGTGTCTCAGGCAGTTTGTCGGAATATCTTGCAACTCGCTTGACGTCCGCAATAACTTGCTCTTCCCCAGCCCTGATCGCATCCATGACAAGACTACACATGCCATAGACCATCGTTGATGTAGAGGCTGAATCAATCCCGCCTACCTTAATTTAGTGAAATACTCCGAACCACTTAAGGGGCATTGCGTACCTGATAGAGGACAAAGGTATCCCGCCGCACCACATCTCCTCAAATAATCCCACAGATAGCACCCGCCGACATATGCAATCTCTTCTTCAGGAGCGTGAAACCTTGGTTCAATCGCCGGACTTGGTCCAAGGCTGACATCCAGATCCGCCTGCTCAGAACTGAGCTCGAAGGGCGTCTCGATTCTATGATACTTCCTAGTCGACGTCGCTGCCTGCATGGCACGGGAGATGGTTGCCCGATTTGCGCGGACATCCTCAAGCTCAACGGTAGCGGTGATGACTTCTACATCTTTAAGGGAGAATTGCGACGCCTGCGCAACAACGTCGCCGTTGATGAAGATCATGGCACATCCATCGTAATACAGACGGTCTCCATCGCATCCTCTTTGGTTGGCGTACAGGTAGACTCCGCCGCTCTTCCTCGTGGCTTCTTGGATAAGCTGAAGTCTCTGGTTCAGCTTGCGGAGTGTGAAATGGGAGCCACTGCTGTTAGTGATGATCTCTACGCCATCCAAGCACATGGGAATGTGAGGAGCATCTGGAGTGAAGAGCTCCTCACAGGTCTCTGCACCGAAGCAGGTATCCTGGTAGGTCGGTGTCAGCAAGATGACTCCGTCTGCGCCTTCGAACTGAACATAGTCTTACTGGCGTTGAGATTACAGCGTCGCCGAAGAGGACATGAGTCTCTCCTTGTAGCTTCTGGATTCGCCGCGGCAAGTAATATTGCTCATACTCTTGGGGCCTGAGCCAAGGGGTAAAGTGCCGCATCTCCCGATACTGAACAACCTAATTAATCTTTTTGGTCGTCAAACTCCCTGAATCAAGACCTACGTTTCCATCTGCATAGCAATCATTAGCAGGTATTTTCTGCTTCCATTCCAACACCTCTTCACATACCGTTTGCAAGGACCATCTTTGGCCGAATGAAGAGGATCTTTCCATTCAGACAGATGATTCGACAGTTATACCGAACGTTCCGGTGCTGGACTGGCATGCCAATGTCGAGCAGGATATCGAAGCAAGACTTGTCCTGGAGGATACACTCCATCTGCTCCCAGCAATGCAGATAGAGGTCCTGTTCCAACAGGTGGTCGAGGCAGCCATATCTGAAGGACATCAGTGGACGAATCTCCAGGCATGGAATCATTCAGCAAGTTGCCATACCCGCAGACCTCCAGCTCAGGTCCAACACGTAGCCTTGCATTCCTGCTTTTGGCCTCTTGAATACTCTGGATGATTCTTTGCCGATTCCCTTCAAAGTCAAGAGCCTATTTCTGATATGAGTGTGGTTGTAACGTGAAAGAAAGTGGCTTACACACCCATTGATTCAGATTGCAAGTCGCTACTGTCACAAGGTGGCCCATGACGCTGAATGGTATGCTTCTTCAACAGGAATTTTATTTCTTTGTCAGTAGTGGTTTATGAAAAGGGTTGGAATCTTCATGATGAGCTCATGTAATCAGTTATATGAAATTAATAAGGGTGGTGTGTGACAAACGGAAGGGATGTACCCAGTTTGCACAGCTCGTATTCCACCCGAATCGGCCCGGACACACCGAATGGGTAGCAGGTATGGGGGTGTATATATAGCACTTCCCGCAAAACAATAGCAATTGCTCCCTCCCCTCCAAACCAGTCGCTCTAGTGAACTGGTAAATTGAATTATCGAGTACAGTCAACCACCGCTATAACGATTACCGCTACAGCGATATTCGCGTTATAGCGATAAGATTCCCTGCACGGTTTCTCAATCAATGCTGCCAAGAAAATTCATTTTAGCGATATCCGCGATATAACGATTGGATTCGCCTGTACGGATTCAATCGTTATAGCGAAGGTTGACTGTATTCCATACGGAGAAACCGTTTCAAAAATTAGATACATTCTAAGTTAACCTGTTCTGATTTCCAAGCTTATCTAAGTGCCGAAGTACCAGTAGGTGTGTCAATGTCATAGAGTCGGTCTTAGTGCCGAATCCTAGGCAGGGTGAATGGGCAAGTGCCCAACTATGGGCTGGCTCACATCACCGTGTCGGAACAAGCACCGAACGAGTCACAATTCTGTACGATGGTCGTTGTAGCAACCGCGGAGCGCAACTTACAAGGCGCCACCAGTAAATGAACGATCTCGTACCTAGAAATCAATCGCCTTTCCCATGTTACTAGGCCGCCGCTGCCGGTACGGCAAGCGCCACCCTCACGAACAATGCCAACATTTTCAAACACCAAGAGTGTTATCCTCATGTCGGATTGACCATCCAAGGCCAGAATCATGCTCTCAAATTTGGTCTCCAAAATTTTTCATGATAAATTAGTGAATTTTACATTCCCCGTTAGCGGTGCAGGCTCGCTCTGCAAGTCCCTGGTCGGTTAACGCTGTCGAAATATTTACTTGGGAATTATAAGCGACGGAGCACTATCTAGACGCTTGTTCTGACTGAGGGTTGCATGCCCAGCTCCACCACTATGCCTAGGCTTTGACTGCGACAACACCCGCAGGGCCCAGAGCACATCAACTTTGATTAGAAGAGCAATCAGTATAGGCACTATCCTTTCAACTATCGTCAGGTGCCTTGACAATAGTAACGGGTGCAGAATGCGAGCCCCCTTCCTGTAGAAGTTTTGACGTTGTTGATCCCAGCTGTATGCAGTTCCTGACCGTTCTTGGCATGCCCTGTGGGTGAGAAATTGCAATCGAGAGTACTTGCGAACAAAATGGCCATCGCGGAGGAACAAACCCTTTGGAACATGGGAAGTTTTGCAAGCTGAAATGATCGCCGTTTAAGACTCACACTGACTGTAAGGACAATATTGACCTAGCAAGGATGCTTTTTGTGATTTAATGGATATGGAGACGCTTCTACATACGCGGACTCTCTCTCTCCATCTATAATTTATGACGGCACGAGGGTTCCACATCTTCTGTGAACATTGGTGCACGAAGGAAGGACATGCCAGGAGCAACAACTCCAGCGGTTGCCCTCGAATCCCATGTCTGGTGGGACCTAATCTGGGTATTCTGGGCGGTGCCCATGTACTACTGGTTTCAAGTGTCATGAATTCATGATGGAATTGTCGACTAATAGCACAATATGCTTAATATATACGTATACCGCAAGATCTAATCTGAGGATCGTTCAAAACTGGCGAAGTGAGATTACAACTTACAAATAATAAACGGTCAGGAGTCAGAACTTGGTTTGTTTCCACCGGTTTTGAACAGCTTTCAGATCGTGCGGTATGAGATCAACCCAGACAGACTTTTACGGACGTGGAAGGTATTTTTCACTGGTAGAATGATATATCTTTGGACGAAAAGTAGGAGAATTGATCTATCATTGCGTAGAAAACTTAGGCTGCCTTGGCAAACTGAACCAAATCGGGTTGACAAAAAAAGGTTGAAGATTAGAAAATGAAAAGTATTCGAGAGATTTTCTTCCATAAGTGATGATATAAGTCCTCAATTAAGTACATTTCATAATTCATTCAGGACAGTAAACCCCGCCATACCCCTCATGAGATCCATATACCCTGAAAAACGATAAAAAAAAATAAAAAATTCAATGCCTCAATTCGGAGTTGAACCGAAGACCTTTGCATTTCTAGAGATACTAGTCTGTGATGTTTATTAGTGTCCATTTTATTCGTCTGCAGCTTGGGAGGAACATACGCAACGCTCTACCAACTGAGCTATTGAGGCAGTTGTCGGAACGATTTCCGCCAATGACTCCAGGTTCCCATTTCGATAGGTTTTTGCGTGAGTGGGGGTTTAACGAGAGCATGGCTTTCAGTTAATGACCCACCCACCCCATGAGACCTGTGTCGTCCAGGTGTTTGCTAAATCAATCATGAACTGCCTGGGGCATATTCCTCGGGCTTTGGAGTGTTTAAACTCCAGGAGTCGCCCCGCTCCGAAGATGGACCCCGAGCGATTTTCAGGAGAGAAATACGGAAAACCCTAAAGCCCTAATGGCCTTCTCGGGAAAAATTACGGAAACGCGGGTGTCTGCAGATGCCCCTATGTCTAAGTTAGGCCAATGCTAATGATGTATTCAACGAACGAATTCCGTATCACGGTGGTGGTATTCCGCCGGATTTGGATAGGCCATGCTTCGGGGAGCAGCTGCAATTGCGTCAGCGACCAGTAGTACCAGACAGGATTGTGATATCAGCGTTCGATCCCCCTGTTGCAGCAACATGCACCTTTGAATTGGCACACTCCGGTCTCAGTAACGGGAGGCAGTTTGGTCCAGACCATCCTCAGGGTCGTCGTTGACTTCGACGATGAAGTACAGAGTAGTCCGTGGCCGAAAGCTGCGAAATCCGCCATTTCTTTCACATTCTACCCTTCTAGCTTGCTAGATGTGATCAAGGTCTCAATGGCTTATTATCCAAAGATATTTTGCAGGCGCTTCTAGCCTCAGTCCTCAGAGCATGTTACAGGCTTACAGCTCTCTGATCCATCGGTGGTGTTTTGACGTGACTGTACTTGAAATGACTCGAAAAAACACCGTTGACAATAAGACAGCAAGTGACTTTGCAAAACCCGGTGGCATCACATAAGTTCGTCACCAGCAAGGTTGGCGGTTAAGGGACTTCGGGCAGTGGATTCAAGATAAATGCAGCTGAGTAGGTCATATTTGATATTATGTAGTTAAAAACATTGTGAAGGCTACGGGAGCTAACGCTTCGATAACTGAATCAATAATACGCTAGCTGATACATATCGATTATCAAACCCCCTGAAACTAAGCAAGCATCTGGTGGTGATGTGTTGAAATCACTAGCTTGAAAGCAACTTCACAAAGCGAACGTGACGGCAATCTGTGTACTGCTGATTTATGCGACAGAAATCAGAAATGCAGAATAGAATATCCTAACGATCAGATGGTGCCCCCCAAAAGCTTGAGTGGCTGGTGTGCTGGTCTTGTCCAGTTCGAGTTTCTAGAAGTCCTTGATGGTGCGTTTAACGATCAGTAGAGAAGACCAAATTTGATTGGTGCAGGTACCAAAGTCTCCAACAGCACTCGGAGAATTTACTACAATGAATTTGCCCCGACACTTCTTCTTCTAGATGACATATTTCTAGTCGATGGAAAAACTGAGAAGCAATAATACAGAGTCACCATGGAATATCTAATAAGGTCGGCTCAACAGCACGAAGACTTTCGTGAAGCAGAGATCAAGGCTCTTGCAACTCTTCATGGTTTCGACGTGGAGATTCTCTCCTATAGCAACGAGGTATGTGTTTGAAGTCTTTATGCCCCTCTATAAATGGTTTTTACCTGTCTAGTCGATTCGTTGATGCGGGTGAAAGTCCTTGAATGAATGAGACGCCGAATGTCCTTCCTAAACAAATATTTACAAGTCTCAAACAGTCACCCTACTGCGTCGTCCGCCTCCCATCAGACGATGCAGCGAAGCTCCTCATTGAAAGAAGCATCCTAGCATGTGCTATATACCGTCTCTGGGGCCAAGGCAGCGACTACGATAGTCTACACGAAGATCTCCGTTCCAGGACCGAGTCAGAATGGTCCAAGTACAAAGTCAGCTCCTTCTGGTTCCAAATCAAAACCTTCCAATCCAAACGGTCGGCAACAGCCCGACAGGATATCGTGGAGTCATTCAGTTACTTGCCCTTTGATGGCCCAATAACGCCCCAGAACCCGGATGTGGAATTTTGCGTTTGCGAATACTTCGACAAGGGCACCTTGACTCCAAAACAGATATACATGGGCCGACTGATTGGCAACAGCTGTCGCGATGTCATCAATGTATATGACCTCAAAAAGCGAAGTTATATCAGTACGACATCTATGGACGCAGAACTAGCCCTCGTCACGGCCAATCTTGCATTGGCTGGTCCAAATAAGTTGATGTATGACCCCTTCGTCGGCACAGCCGGGTTCCCCATCGCCTGCGCACACTTTGGATGCATCGTCCTTGGTAGCGATATAGACGGTCGCTGCATCCGTGGCAAGGGTGAGAAGGATGTTCTATCCAACTTCCGACAGTATGGGATAGCCGGGCGGTGGTTGGATGGGTTCACAGCGGACCTAACCAACACTCCCTTACGAAAACGAAGATTCCTGGACGCAATCGTATGCGATCCGCCCTATGGTGTCCGCGAGGGTCTAAAAGTCCTGGGCTCGAAACGGGGGCCGGTAGAGGAGGTATATATCGACGGAAAGTCTGCTTACAAGTACGTATATCAGGGATACAGGGACCAGTCAAGGCTAACATGAATGAAGACAGGCGGATTACGTGCCACCGAAGAAGCAGTACAGCTTTACTGCGATGTTGAGAGACATTCTCCAGTTCGGAGCCGACACTCTCGTGGACAATGGGCGCGTAGTGCTCTGGATGCCCACTGCCAACGATGCGGACGTCGAGCTGCCGTTCCCCCAGAACCCATATCTCGAGCTCGTTAGCGTCAGTGTACAAGAATTCAACAAATGTAAGTCGAGTACATAGAGATCTGTAATCCTTTATCTGACCTTCATAGGGTCCCGAAGATTATTAGTCTATCGCCGGTTGCCGAGCGTGGAGGTTGACGCCGCAGCCATTTCTGCTTACAACCATCAAGCTGGCCACACGGCAGATGAACTCAATGACTTTCGCCGCAAGGTATGCGCTGCATAGTTATTTATGGTTGCTCTATTATGCTAATTGTAACTAGTACTTCCAGGGTTTCAAGTCTTGAACCTGCCAGTGCCCATCAGCGAGATCTCTCTCACAAATTGGGGGACTGTCCAGAATGATGCCCACCTATAGTGTTCTTTTCGAGAACTATTTAAAATTCCTCTCACTACTGCATCAATGCTATGAGGCCATACGGGTAGCCGGGCTTCTGACGATGGAGGCTAGGGGCAACTCTAGAGAGATAAGTCCGCGAGCACAAGGAGTGCGATAGGATGGAGCCATCTCAAATGACAAGTGTCAAGGAGTGCGATTGTGGGACTGTCGCATCGGTCTCTGCACTTCGCCATGAGCTCCAGGTTGATAGGCAATCCTTATTCATCAGATGAGGATTTCCGTTCGCTCTAGGCATTTGGAAACGATGATCCACTCGAAGAGACAGAAAGATTAGTTGTCTTTCATGTTAGATAGACATAGCTACTGGTACACTTCCCACGAAAAGAGTACCTAGTGATACCCGAGCAATCCCCACTATAGGGTCCAATATCAGTTTGTAAGATCACGGATGCCCTCACTGGCTCACGGGCTGACTCCCTTAATTTCTGGTTGGAAACTCGTACTGAAGCCTGAAAATGGTGTTGACTGTTGACTGTTGACTGTTGGCTGTTGAGTGCTTGTTGACAAATGAAGAGATCTTTGTTGGTGCGGTCGTGCGGCCCTGGTTTCTTGGCAGACGTGTTGCTTGGACTTCATTTTAGACGGGGTCGAAAGCGGAGCTGGCTGGATGGAATTCAAGTTCTGTTACCACTATCCAATATACACTTCCACGGTATTCCGATGAATGATTTGGATGAGCCGATGAATTCGGATGTCGTGGACATCCTCGAGCCCGCAGTATCGTTCGTGCATTACGCCGAAACCCATCGTCATCCTTTCCAGCCACTGCCCACATCGACAGCGGATTCGAGTTATGAATGTCCCAAGATAACAATCGTCGGTCAAGCCCATGATGAGGAACGTAGAGTCTTCGAATGCACAAGATGCACGTCTGGAGAGATTGTGGGACTCACTGAATCCCAACGGTCGGAGCTCTCTTGACCTGGAAGGGTTGAGAATAGGTTTGAGGCGGATTGATCACCGTACGTTTCGCACAATCCAATCTGTGGCGATTCGGCTAACCACGCAATTCCTCCTGTAGCTCTTAAAGATGCGGACCATGTCCTCGGAGATGTTATGAAGGATGTCGACGCAGATGGCGACGGTCGAATCCAATATCCCGGTTCGTAAACAACCGCAGACGAAGACGATGCCTCGACGACTAATGCTCCTGGAACAGAATTCCACGCCTTCATGAAGCGGACGGAGAAAGATTTGTGGGATCTTTTCATAAGCATCGACCATAATTCGGACGGCAAGATCGATAAGAATGAATTGCGACAAGCCGCTGAAAGTGCCGGCTTGCATCTCTCGAATACCAAACTCGACCAATTCTTTCGAGAGGTTGACACAAACAGCGACGGAGTAATCAACTTCCAGGAATGGCGGTAAGTGCCTGATTTCACGTTTCACTTCACTTGTGTCCCAATGTAGCGCATGGGGATCCATGTGGGTGCTGTTGATGACCGGACTGATCGTGATAATTCACAGAGACTTCCTATTATTTCTCCCCTCCGACTCACCGAACCTGCGCTCTGTTATGTCGTACTTCTCGTCCACCGTTAAAGTCAACCCAGAAGGCGATGTACAAATCAGCGACTGGGCTATGCACTCTCTAGGTACTATATCTGCATTTCTTAAACCTGCTTTCGGTTCCCTTCTCCTCCTCGCCAACGTCGGGCAAACCCATCTCTCCCGGACTGCCTCTGCCGCCACGCAACCCCACCACTTTGATCGATTATCACACGAAATCGACAGCGATATGGCCGCCCTAATCGAAGACGAAGTGCACAATCTCATCGTCGACCTGCCACCGGCTTTGGAGCACCCTAGCACGGCATCGTTGAAATCATGGCTGATCGCATGTGTGCCCACTCCAGGCTACTTCGTGGCCGGTGGCATTGCAGGTATCGTCTCACGAACATCGACGGCTCCTCTCGATCGCTTGAAGGTCTATCTGATTGCTAAGACCACGGTCTCCCCAACGATCGAAGCGGCCAAATCCGGATCACTCCGCGCGACGTTGCGCAACGCATGGAGGCCCCTTGCGGAGGCGTCGAAGGAGCTTTGGGCCGCTGGTGGAATTCGCAGTCTCTTCGCTGGTAGGTCATTATCCTGTGGCGCGCAATATGCCTTCTAACCCTAGTTCACTAGGCAATGGCATCAACGTGGTCAAGATCATGCCCGAGTCAGCCATCAAGTTTGGCGCATACGAGGTAAACATCAACAATGACGCTACATTTTCCGATGCTTACCTACTTAAAGGCCACGAAACGTACTCTAGCGAGGTTGCAAGGTCTTCATGATCCCACTCAACTAGGATCAGGATCTCAATTCACAGCTGGTGGCATTGCTGGCATGGTTTCTCAGTATGTTTACGTCTATCGTTATTTCACATCTTTACTTAGCAACCTAACAACCATAGATTTGCGATTTATCCACTGGATACTCTCAAATTGTAAGTACACTTCTTCCGCAAGTCCGAACACCCCTGATAATTCTCCCATAGCCGCATGCAGTGTGAGACCGTCGCCGGAGGACTTCGCGGGAACAAACTCATCTTCGCGACCGCGAAGAAGATGTGGGTGCAAAACGGGTTCCGCGCCTTCTATCGCGGTCTCCCGATGGGACTCGGTGGAATGTTCCCCTACGCCGCTATCGACCTCGGGACGTTCGAATACCTGAAGCGACGCATCATCGCACGAAATGCACGCGTGTATAAATGTTGTCGCACCGACAAAGCCGCGCAACCGGGCCCGTTCTCGACTGCGCTCATCGGGGGGGTCAGCGGAGCGAGCGGAGCGAGCATCGTCTACCCGCTCAATGTGCTTCGCACGCGGCTGCAAAGCCAGGGGACGGTGCTGCATCCGAGGACATACAAAGGCATTGTCGACGTGACGCGGCAAACGATAGAGGGCGAAGGGCTGAGAGGGTTGTACCGAGGCCTCGCCCCAAATCTATTCAAAGTTGTCCCGGCAGTTTCGATTGTAAGTCCATGTCTATCATCCTTTGTATCCATTGTACTGACTTACCCTTAGACATATGTCGTATATGAGCAATCCAAAGTGATGCTCGATTTAGATTAAGGAAGGTTGAGGCCTTCCATAGAAGGCACAAGATCTTATGCCCCCGAGGCAAAGGAAGCACGCTCGATACAACTTGCCCCTTGACACGAGGTCTTACATTAAGATACCACAGCAGGCATTGGGTTGGCGTTCTGGTTTGGATCCCGCCGGCTTTGGGATGTATAAGCTTAGCAAGGCGTACCGGTTTCGGAAGGGGACTACATGCGACATGCGTAGACATTACGAGCAACGCGAGATCAACCACAACGGCTCAATTTGCGATTAAAAAATCAAATGCTAAATCCTTTCGGCTCATTTCCATCACTAATAATCATGCCAAGATGAAACGCCTCCGATGGGCGTCCGTCTACGTAACCACAACGCCATGCAAATGCCATATGAAAAGGATCATCACTTCAGGATTACTATCAACAGAATGAGAATGACGATCAGCAGAATGATAATCGTCATGCTCCAGTTGTCCCGCGCCGCCCTCCCGATCTTGTTCACCCGCGTTTTCGCTCGGTCCAGCTGCGATTGATGGCGGTCGGTCCGCTCGTCCACATCGTCGAGCAGCAGCGCCTGATTGTCGAGCTCATCGCCGATCTGGATGCTCAAGTCCCGCTGCCGACCGATCGACTCGCCTAACGCATCGAGCTGCGTATCCTGCTCGCGGAGGACTTGTGAATGATATTGGTGGATCTGCTGGTTGTTCAGGTGCGATTGATCCGGTGATTCGTCATCGGGGTCATCACGGTACGGGAATAAGGCGTTTCGATCCTCGTCTTCGGGGTTGTCGGTGAATCGGACGGATTTGGACAGGGTGGCATTGCGCCCAGATTGTGGGACGGGGCTCTTTGATGCCCTCTGTGCGGCGGAGAAGTCGGATTGGAGAGAGGGGTCATTTGGGGTCGTCAGCGCCTTGTCGGAGCCGTCGCCGGTCTCGAATTGGGCCGATAAGTCCCTATACTGTGTTTGCAGTCGGAATAGTTGGTCGCGCAGATCTCTGGACACTCGATTAATACTCCGAAACAATTAATGCATCCGTAAATGTTGCGACTTACGAATCCTCGGACTCCGCCAGGTGTGTCTCGATCGCATCCAATCCCGCCTTGAGTGAATCTAAGGACCGGGATATCTGCCCATCCTGAGAGTTAGGTGATAGGTTCAGTGATACGGCTCTCTGTCTTTCTAGGAGTGATAGTTTTATGTGATCCGCGAGGAGAAATAGTTGTGAGGGGTTGGAGGATGTCATTGTGACAGACTGTATGTGAGGGGAGAGGGTGACTGGAGGAGATAGGCGTCGCCGGCTCGCCGCGGTGGTCGAGATCTCAGGGTTATATCTAAATCATGAGGCGGTAATGCCGTTCTAGCCTTTCGAGGTTTGAGAACTGTGTAGACTTCGCTGTATCCTGTTTGATTCACCGGCTCATTGAATCCATACTGTACTGTAACTTGAAACGTTGCCTGCTGGTGGAGAGTCCCAACTGCTCCAGCGGATGATGAAGCAGGTGTGGCGCATGCAGATATTATCCACGTGACTATTGTCATGGATGTGAGATTAACATATATAGTATCACATGACTCTTCAACGATTGAAGCCAAAGGCCGGGCCTGGATGAAGTCGGGCTCAGCGCAAGTATAGCCGACGTCACGTGGTAGATGAGTTGGTGGGGGAGCCCATACAGTGGTCATTCCATCTCCACCTCCACCTCCACACCTCCATCTCTATCACCAGCTCGCTCTTAATCTCCCTTCCTCGCCCTTTTCATCAACTTGAGCGAATATCCGCCCATATAAGCCCATGGACCACCCTCTCCGGAGCCAGAACTGAGAACCGACCATCCACGCGAAGAATCCGAACATGTCCGCCCATCAACCGCGGCGAGCCCGGTCCATTACCGCTCGTCGTCCCGCCGATCGGATGCGACCCAGCGCTGAGGAACATCTTGATGGAGCTCGGCCTCCTGTATCTCTGAACGACCTGATGAGAGAGACGCTAGGAGCCCCGCCACATGCTACAACAACTGAGCTCTTGTCACAATTCGCTCGAGATGCCGACCCTCCACCGCCGCCATCCAAGGTCGATTACGGCCTCCTCGAGTATGTTTCGCCGGTGGACAGCAATCTTATTTGCGCGATATGCCAGTGTCCTTTCAACCAGCCCATGCAACTGGTATGCGATCACACCTTCTGCAACGATTGTCTCAAACAATGTTTCAAGAATCAAGAAGGGACAACACGCATATGTCCGGCGTGTCGAGGACCGATTGAAATCCTGAATTTTAAATCGAAGACAAGGAAATCACCGAGATATGTCATACAAATGCTGGACGATTTGTTAGTGAGGTGCCCCAACAGCAAAGCGGGCTGCGAAAGCCATGTCAAACGAGGCGAAATCGAAGATCACGTCGACAAATACTGTGACTACAGTGTCCTGGAATGCTCGGATGACGAGTGTACTCAAGGGATATGGAGGAAATATTCGGAGCAGGGATGCTTGCATTTCATGACCATGTGCGAAGATTGCGGTGAATCAATGATGCAAAAGGACATCTTTGTATGGCTGATCGACAATCCCCGCCGACGTGGTTGCTAATGAGGAGTAGGAACATCAGGAAAAGACTTGCCTGAAGCGATTTATTCGTTGCCAGCATTGTTCCGATGAGCTAGCGAAGCCACACCTCAAGCAACATTTGGCATCGATTTGCCCTATGGTACCTGCACGATGCACAGGCCAGCCATTTGGGTGCCCATTCGAGGGGACTCGCGCCACCGTCAATGCGCATGTGATCTCATGTGTGATCGCAACCATGGCTCCATATCTTTCGACCCAGAAAGCTGCGTTCGAAGAACAAGACAAGGCCAACAAAGTGCTGCAAAGGAAGCTGGACCTGTTCGAAGGAGGCTTGACCGCGATGCAGAACATCCTCTACTCCGACAACCCGCCGACCGCGGCATCGTCTGCATCGCGAGCTGCCGAAACGTCCATCGATACCCCTATGACAGAGACCGGAGCCATGGCCGTCGACATTCCCAACCGCCATTCCCAACAAGGCATGTCTACCGGCACCCCTCCCTTCGATACCCCCATCTCCCACCTCCTCTCCCTCCACGAGTCCCTCCGCGAGGAACTGTCCCGGTTGGAAAACACCATCGCCGAACTCGACTCGCGCACCACGGTCATGATCCTAAACGAGGGCCAGCGCTCGAAAGACGAGATGACCCACGCGAACGCCGCCATCAACTCCATGCGGATGCAGCTGCATTGGCTCATGAGCACGCGGCTGCAACAGAACCAACGACAGCCGCCGGGAGGGGGAGGAGGGGGGCCGGCGGGAGAGGGATCGAGTAGGAATACGAGTAGTGGGTTAGCCCTGGACCCCGAAAGTGGTGAGCAGCCACGGTATGAGTTTGGGCGGCAGGATACCAAACTGTGATCGGATGGCGGGAATCCGGATTTGTTTCACTCCGTGCTTTCCATAGCGACCAGGCGTCTCGGAGATATTCGGAAGGGGATGGGACCGTTGGCAGTATCGGACTGGCACGGACATGGGATGCATTGATGACTTTTGATGAATGACCGGGAGGCGTACATCGCCTAAAATACCACTGATATCAAATCTGCACGGACGTGGCCTGCTATTGGCGTTGATTTGGTGTTCGCAGCGCAGAGACGATATCCGGATGTAGACTACGATATCGGACCTCCCAATCCAACTCGCTCGCGAGACGCTGCAACTTGAGGTATAGCAACGTATCTCTTTCCGAGTTCGCCGGGTTTAACTTCGCCTTGTCCAACTTCCAGCCGATCGTGGGTAACGCTATAACAGCACAGTCCTCTGAATTTCCAGATATACCATCGTCTGGAATCGCGATGACCAGCAGTGTGAATCTCACCGACCCCGGCGCGTTCGCTTTGAGCATGTTCCGAAAGACACTTCGTGATTTTGCGTCAATCCGGGATTGGATGCTTGCGATGTCACTTTCAGTCAAATAACGTACTACGACGGAGAGGCGATGACATGCATCATGAGGCGGCTCCTCCGCTGCGACACTCGAACTCCGAGAAACCTCCTCAGCGAGATCACGCTCGCGCCACATTCTAAGCCAGTAGCGAGAGTCGATGAGGTGAAAGTCCTGCTCGTGACCGCTAGCCGCATTCGGAGGGTCGAGTTCGAACCGTCTCAAAACTTTGGGCGTGACTTTGGGAGTGATTCGCCACGCCAGACCCGTCATCACCCTTTCCTGGCCCATCGTCGCAGCCCCCAGCGGCGCATGAATTCCTGCAGGTGCAAGCGGGCGCGTGGCAATAGGCATGAAAGCAGCTCCGGCTGCATGGAAGGCCTTCGAAGGTAACCCGGCTAAAGGAGACCGCTGAAAGATCTGTCGCGCAACGTCTTTGAGCCGGGTAAAACGTGGCTTGTCGGTAGATACCACAGATATGATCCGTTGCAGCATAACGACTAATCGATGTAAATGCTCCTCGCGTTCTGCTTCCGAGTGAAAGTCCAGATAGAAAAAGTCGGGAAACGTGACCGTCAGGGCCCCGGATTGGGGATTGAAGCCCATTGCAGCCTGAGAGATCAGTGTTGCGGCTGCTGCATCTAGATTTGTTGCAGTCTCACCGCAAGAATCCGACAGAGAAACCAGGGCGTCCGATCGAAGAGCTTGCGGCACATTCTCCGCCCGAAAGAGTTGCCGTATGGCATTTCTGACCGTCAGAGTCGGGTCGCGATTGGTCGCGTCTTCTCTATGCTCAATTTTCAGATCCCGGGCCGTCTTGGATAACACAGCCTTGGTGAAGCCCAACAATGGCCGCACGACGCTTACCCCACCCGTTTCAAACATAGAAACGGTGCCTTGAAGGGGTTGGTGACCGGTAGGAAATCGTACGCCTTCCCCGCTGGCATCCACTCCATAGATACTTTCGCACTCCGGGATAGCAGCGAAGGGCTTCAGTGCTCTTCCTAAACCGACAGTCCCATGGCCTTGGATGAGTCTTTGTAGCACCGATTCGGCCCGGTCGTCCTTATGGTGACCGACGAGAAGGTGATGTGCTCCAATCGAGGCGCACGTGCGCCCAAGCATCTGGTATCGAAGCCGTCTGGCGCGCGTCTCGAATCCATGTGGATCCGATGGGCTTAGATTTCCGGGCCATACAAGCGGCCTCCGGATGGTGGAAATGCCTATAGTTATCCCGTCTGTCAGTACTAGATCAACCTGCATAGAGACCCTGACATAACCCGTACCATGTACGGTCGACAGTTCGTGTTCCACCCAGCGGGCATCTTCGGCGCTCTCTGCACGAGCACCATGGTCAATGGTGATGGCCGTTAACCTCCATCGCTCTTGCATGCAGAGCTTCCCCAGGAGCACTGCAAGCACCATGGAGTCAATGCCACCGCTGACGGCGACCGCTAAGGAACATGAGCAACCGTTCAGAGACCGAGAGGGTGGTGAACTATACCCAGGTGGCGCGGTTGGCTACGGGAGCCATGGTGCCCGACGTCCAATGCCTTAGACAGGGCGCTATGGAGGTGTTCGAGCGTAATAGAGCCGCATCGAAGGGTCTGAGTTGGCGCCAGGCGCATCAGTGTATCCTCTGGACTGCAGCCATTCAGTCCGATGGAGCTTGACAGTGTTTACTGCGGTGCTATGCGGACTCGGGGGTTTCGAATCGTATCGACATGACTCCGGATGTTCAAGAGCTTCGATGGTCCGTGCACACATTCTCGAATTTTCTCCCCGACGCCGTTCTCATCTTTGATATCTCCTCGATTGCTTCCCGACTTCGCATTATTGACTTCGAATTGACCTTTTACATCTATTTACCAACCCTCTACAGACTTTATCCATCAAATCCAGGACCATGGTACGTGTTCCGCAACCGCAACCGCAACCCAGCATCTCCGCCATCGCATGCTTCCCATGCGCCGCAACCAGCACACCGGCTAACCATCCCCTCTCATCCAGGCCGCCTTCAAATCGATCAAATCCCTCGTCCCCCTCCTGGACCGCGTCCTCGTCCAGCGCGCCAAGGCCGAAACCAAAACCGCCACCGGCATCTTCCTGCCGGAGAGCTCCGTCAAGGAGCTGAACGAGGCGAAGGTCCTCGCCGTGGGACCGGGAGGGTTGGACCGCGATGGAAAGCGGACGCCTATGTCGGTGCAGACCGGTGACCGGGTGCTGATTCCTCAGGTACGTTGGCCGATGGGTTATGGGTGTGTCTGGTCTAACCTTCTGTTCGTAGTATGGAGGCAGCCCGATCAAAGTTGGCGAAGACGAGTTCTCCCTGTTCCGCGATCATGAGTACGTGCTCTACCTGCCGAGTTGGATGAGATGGTCGGTACTAATGATGCATTAGGCTGTTGGCGAAGATCAAAGAGTAAACACGCGACCGAAGTTCCTCCCGATGCGTCCAGTCCCATCCTCGTGATCTCGAACCGGCCGATCGAATTGTTCCTGTACCACCACCATGCATGGCTCGCGCCTTTCGGGCCGCTGGCGTTGCGGAATACCACAAATAACCTCCATTATCCGCATGGGAAAACTGATTGATCAGCGTTGTACAATTTTCTTCGATGTGTAAATAATGCTGTACAATCTCGACTCTTTGGAAGACTATTTGGAGTACTAGTTCTACGACTCGTGCCATTGTGTCTTTTATACAAGCTATACCGTATGCTATCGATGGAAATCAGTAGACGGCTGTGATCATGCCTCAATACCCTGCCCCGCCATATCCTTGGCCGTATCCGCCATGCGGTGGAGGGTTTTGCTGGTACTGACCCGGAGGCCCCTGGCCAGGATACTGCCCTTCTTGCCCATAAGGTTGGTTCGACTGATATTGCTGCTCATATCCACCTTGATAAGGGGGCTGAGACGCGTACGGGCCAGGCGCCGTATTCGACCCGGCCCCAAATGCCTCCGGCTGCTGCCAACTAGTCGAAGACCCCTGGTACCCTGATCCGCTCCCCCCAAGGTCGGCCTCTCGTTTCTTTGTGAACAGATCGAAAGGTGAACCGCTGACTTTGCCTTGACTGGCGGATCCGTGACCGTGACCGTGACCATGGCCATCGCCGCCGACATGATTGTGCCCAGCACGCACGCTTTCGGAGCCGAGAAGCTGGTTCAAGGAGCGGCCGCCATCGGGTCGCGACCGCACCCAGATGTCGACCGCGCTGAACATCTTCTCGTGAATCTCGCATCCGGGTTGGCGCAGAGCCGGATGATGGAAGACCCGGACCACGTCATTGAGCACTTCTTGAACGGGGACACCGGGATTCTCCCATGAAAAGATAACGCGTGGCGCAACATATTGGAGGATCGTCGACGCTACCTGGCCCGCTGGTTCGTTCAAGATGTTGGAGAAGTGGTCTTTGGACAGGAATGAATGCGTGGGGTCGGTGCAGTTCGGATCGGTCCACGGCTCATATTGATGTTTCCCACTGGCGTCGATGACCGACGATGAGCCCTGCTTCAATTGAGCGGAGGCGGCTTTGATGATCGGCTGGATGAACGGGGCGAGGAGAGACATGACGAAGATGGTAACTTTTTCCGAAATGGTGTCGATGAGAGACTCGAGTCCCGGGATCTTCGATATGATGGCCGATATCGACCGCACGACTGCGATGGTTAGTGTCCGTCCGCAGGTCTCGCTGAGTAATTGCTTACCTTTGTCGCGGAACTGCAGAATTGGATAGATCTTGGGGATGATGGTCGTCGGATCGAGGTTAGGATTCATGCCTGGTATGCCTGGGCCTGGCGGTCCTCCCGTAGATCCAGGAGGTCCGGCGAATGAGGTGGGAGCTCCGCCTGGGGGATGGGAGGCCCGAGAGGTCTCGTAGGGGTCATCAAATCCTCGTTGGCCAGAGTTGGCCGCCGCCTGCGAGTTCGACAGGTCTTGAAGCTTGTGGGCTTCCTGGATCAGACCCTGAGTCCCCGGCACTTTCCCCAAGAGATCGGCCAATCCACTGGCCCCTCCGGAGCCGCCTTTCTTTCCGTTGCTCGAGGCATCCCCGAGGGCGACGTTCATCTCATCGATCTCCGATTGAGTGAAGTGGTCGGTGGCCTCCCCAAGAACCGAGTGCAGGAAGTCGACGCCGCCGAACGTGCCGGTGACCAGGGGGAAGATGTGTTTCCCATGGACGTTCATTTGGGTTGCCGTGCCAGTATGCGGGAAAACGTCGTGGAACCCCAATTCCTTTAAGACGAGCTCGGTATAGTTCGTGTGCGCACCCCAATCCTCGAGACAATGCAACGCTTGACCGAGACATCGCAAGGCCTCGCAGAGATCCTCTTCCTTCCCGCTTGTCCCATGAGCACCGCTGGTGTACATCCGGCCGAAGTGTATACTCCTGGCAAGACTGTGTTTGACGTAGCCAGTACTGGTTGCCCAGCCGCCACTTTCGTTTGCAATGTAGTTCTTCATACCTGCAATACGTATGAGCAAATGGAGACCGAGAAAGAGCAAACCACTTGCCTGTGTTGGGATCCACAGCAAGTTCTTGAGGATGTACCGGCCCTCTCAGGCGTTGGTCATACTGGCGAGCATCCTGATTGTCCGCATAATCTAGTTCCCGGCTTTCCGTTAGTATGAAAAAACCCGTGTGTTGGACATTCCATACCCCGCGGATTATCTATATGCTCCTGCATGGTTTCAGTCGGAGCTGTCTTTCATACTACACAAGAGAGAACCCACCTCCGCTCGATAAACGCCCAACCTTTCTGGAGTGACTTCGAACTCCGCAGTGGCATATCCGAAGGACATGAAAGCCAAGATCCAGACGAGGACTCGTATCGTATCGGCTTGGACGCCTTTCAATGTACCCACATCCAGCGCTTGAGAGTAGTCGCGAAGCCAGTTGCCAAAGTACACCCGCCTGATCATCAAGCTACTCCATTTGTGATGGCGGAGGCACGCCACTTTCTTGAGCATGTCTTCAATGTCTCCATGGCGCCAGTTTTTCCCCTCGACTTTCGATATCGAAGCGATGTTTCCGGCGCCGAACGCACTTACGGGAGTGCATAGGAGAAGGACTCCTAGGAATAGGAGAGCGACCTGGAAGCTAGATAACCCGAAGCGCTTCATTTTTAACAACAACGAGGAGTGAAGTCAAGGTGAACTGGATGTCAAAACTCAAAACGTCGATGCGGTGGATTTGCGCTAGACAAGTACTACTCCAGTTGTTCCGGTTGTTCCGTCACCGCGACCCACGCAACTATTAGCAATTTAGCACCCTCGTAGCGTCAGCCAGGTAAACAATAATGAGCCAACAAAAACGATCGGAAACCGAATGTTCAGCTCAGTCTGACGGGCGATGGCGACTTTTCGCCTGACGCGTTGCATAGCTGCGTGCGATACGTAAGCCCTAAGGCGCCAACGAGGGGTATGAGGTAGCAAGGAAACTTAAGCGCCAGGGCGAAAATGTGGCGCAGTCGCGGATAGGCGGTTAACCGCGCTTGCTGGATTTAGCAGCAGAGCGGACTCCGCGCGGTAGCTGGCGCCTGGCGATTGCGGCAGTTGCGCTTGAGTTGTGCAAACCGCCCTGTGCAAGGCGCTGGATTCCAATGCCCTGTATCAAATCCGTCAATTCCATGCCCATGAATTCCAACGACGTTATCTTTCAGCTTTTTGGGTCATTTGTTCAGTTGTAAATTTCAGACCTCCTGGATGGTTGATGTTGTATGAATATCAGAATATCACGTATATAGAATTTCAATGTTCCTCTCTACTCCATAGCGCATATTGGCTGGGAGCATGTTGACCAGCACAAGAAGGAGTTTCTACTCTCCCAACTCCCATTATCAAAAAACCGTGGCTGAGTGACGTATATTACAACCTTGGGAGCAAAGCACCATTTCAGTTGTTCTAAATACCGGTCACATTCACCCGTTTCATTTCATTTCTTACCGCAAACGCACACCCTCCAGAACCCCCCCTCCGCCTTTGCAACCACAACCCGCCGGTGACTCAAGTTCCTGCAGCACCGTCACATTCCCCTCCATCCGTGCAGTCTCATCTACAGCGCTAAAGGGAGGCTGGAATCCGGTTCGCATGCCCTTTTTCCTGGTTCGAATGCCCCTCGCAGGGATCAAATGAGGGTGGTTGGGTTCCCAGCCTCCCGAATTATCCAACATCCCCCAGCTCCAAGGGCGGATGCGCGACGGGGCGAGTCAAGGATGGGGGACACGGTAGTGCGTCGTCCAGTCAGCGTGCGTGGAGCGTATCAAGGGGTTCCGGTGCCTTTTACGCAACAAGCGCCGAGCCATGAGGGGGGGCGGATGGGACCATCGGCTCGACAAGACTTGCCGTTCGGGAGGTTTGTAGGTGTAGTTCTGAGAACGTCGAGGGATCGCATCGACGTCGCCGGATATGAGCTGTCGGTGTGGAGTGGGTCGTTGCATGCCGGGTTGTACTTCTACGCTTCATCGCGGTCTGATATTGGGGGGTTGAATCAGGGGCCGCTGGACGAGCCTGGGGATGGATGCTGCTTTAAGACCAGAGTGCCTAGGCAACGAGGCCGGTTGCTCAAGCAACTCTCACCTTTCATCTCTTCATCATGTTCGGCGCATATCGGTCCTGGATGAGACCGTTCATTGGCTCCCGCCCGAGGTCGGTCTGCCCGCGTTCCTTCCAAGGATGTACGGCGCGTCGACACTATCAACAGGGCCGCTCGGATGGGGATCAACAAACAAACGAAGGAGGATCAAGATGTGTGACGCCCTTGCGAGTGGGGTTAGCGGCCACGGCTGCGGTTGATGGTAAGTCGCTGGGAGTCCCCGAGAACAACCGACAGAGAACGCTGACTGAGATCTAGTGAAACATAAAATTGTAGTCGAAGAGAACATTGCGAGTGGGGGAGCATCGCTGCTACTCCTTGATCTACGTCCATGCAACTACAGACGAAACGTGAGGACCCTTTCCTATATGACATTGACTGGCAGGACTGAACTGACTTACGCCTAGGGGTCCCTAACGGTTCGAAGAGCGCCATCCGCACCTGGCGATCAACTGGCCATTCTCATCTATTCAATCACACCGGCTACGATGTTGTTGTATTCAAGAAAGTGTTCGTCGACGGGGGTGGCTGGTTGGGGTTCAGACATGGCACAAGAGCATAGGCGCAGTGGCGTTAGACGACATTGAAGACTCTGCTCGCGGTATATACCGGGCCTAATCCATTCCTCATTTTCCATGAGATCATCTATTCGTACAAGCTGCGTGCCCATCGTGAGTCCGCGTACCATGAAGAAGAATCATCCAGTACCTCGACCCGTGGACCGCCCACCGATCGGCTGTCGGCGCCGACCTCACGCCTGCGGGAATGTTCCTCGACCGGGTTCCGAACAAGAACCTCATGCTTTGGCCGCACCGGCTTTGATGAGCAGGATGTCGCCGTCCTGGACCACGTAGTCCTTCCCTTTGGTCATGATCTTCCCCTTCGCCCGCACGGTGGCCTCGTCGCCCTCCTCTCGTAACGCGTCGTAGTTGTACGCGATGGCTTGAATGAACGTCTTCTCGAAGTCTGGTAGGCTGATTAGTAACCGCGCTGATGCAGCAGGTGAGGGGTCCACATACCTCCATGGATGACACCGGCCGCCTGAGGGGCCTTGGTGCCGTTTCTGATGGTCCATTGTCGCACTTCGTCCGTGCCAGTCGTGAAGAAACTTCCCAAATTCAAGGCTTTCCTCATCGTAATGATGACCTTTGGTAGAGCAGACTTGACGTTCAGCTTCTTGCATTCTTCAGCGGCCTCCTCGTCGGAAATTGTCGTGAGGCGATCTTCGAAGCAGACGGAAATTGGGATGATCGGATCCCCTTCCGCGTGCTCCTTGACCCATTGGGCGATCTTCGGTAGATGCTTGTTCTTCTGCCTTAGATAGTCCTTCTCGCTCAGATTGACTAGGTAGACGACAGGCTTGGCCGTGAGAAGGAAAAGCGGGTTGATTGTTTCGACCTGCCGATGTCAGTTCATTGTACATCAATTGTAGAATTACAAATTGTTGTGTGAGAATGAATCAGAATTAAAACGAATGTCATGAAGCCTAAGATCTTGTCTTGGCATTCAAAGAGCTGGGATTATAGAGCGGAATCGCTCTTGTCATCACCAAAAGGAGAGGGTGTAGGGTAACGGAGATGCATCTTACCTCCTTGGGAGCCCAGTCTCCGTGGCGAACATTCTTCCCCGCCTTAAGCATCTCGAGAACCTTCTCCACGGTGGCTTGCTCTTCCTTAAGTTTCCTCATCTCCAAGGACTGTCCGCCGCGGCGGGTCTGCTTGACGAGGTTCTCGTGGGCTTTCTCCACGAACTCGATGTCTTTGATCCGTAGCTCCTCGGAGACGATCTCCAGATCTCGCACCGGGTCGACGTCACCCTCGACGTGGATGATCTCCGCATCGTCGAAGCATCGGACCACCTGGAAGATGGCGTCGACGGCGCGGATGTGTGATAAGAACGCATTGCCTAACCCAGCACCGGTGGACGCACCGCGCGTCAAGCCTGCGATGTCGTAGACAGTGAGGTTGGCGGGTACTCGAGACTTTGGCTTGTAATGTTCACATAGCCAGTCGAATCTCTCGTCGGGGACAATCACCCGCGCCTCCTCGGGGTCGATGGTGGCATAGGGAAAGTTCTAAGCGTCGTTAGCACGATAATGTACTCGAGGAGTAAGGTGGAACCAACCGCGGGGTTTCCAAGTTTGCATTTTGTGATGGCTTGGAAGAGTGTGGATTTGCCGACGTTCGCTAAGCCCACCTGGTTGGTCGTCAATTGGCTAACTTGGGTGCGCGTTCAGCTGCAAGCTTACGATGCCGCTCTTTAGACTGTTGCCCGGCCGTCCGAGCAGAATCTTCTCCTGCTTGACTTCTTTCTTGGGAGGCATCCTGCGTTTCTTCGAATACGACCTTGCGAAGATAGAGGAAGGTGATGTGATGCGGTTGTGAAGGGGGAGTTGAGTGACGGTGACAGTACTTGCTGCTCGCCGAGATGGAAAAATTAAGGTCGAAATGAAAGTGCGAGAAGTGGAGAGAGGTGAAATAGCTAAGCTATGGAGGGTGACGAGCATTCAAGGCGGGGGAGCCTGCTCCTCACAGCACTCAGGAAATGGGCGACGAAGGGAAGAAATTAAGGTATGAGGGTTCAATTGGGGGAATTGATGAAGTAGCGATTGCTCTTATTGATGTTGAGACGAGAAAGAGATTGTTACAGCTGCCGAATAGAAAGAATTCTCACCCAAGCGTCTCTTACGGACGACGTATTCTTCCGCTCCGAATCCCCGATACTCCGATGCGAAGCTGCCCCACCGCTCCACCCCAGAAGCACCGAACCACATTCTCCGCTGTAGAAGGGCGGAATGCGGCGAGGAGCCTCACCCCAACCGCGGATGGGAACCGTGAAGTGACCTATTCCCCGATCAGTTGGTAATTAATATGAGGGGCTCTTTCACGTTAACTTTACGACCTTATACTTGACTCCCTTGACCAGAGAGATTTACTGAGTATGATTATTGAATCGGTGCATCCAAACGTCCATGCCATCATTCCCTTCTGACAAGTGACATCGGCTGTGCCGCATCGTCTGTATCACCGACATCACAGGCAGCAAGCAACGTGACGGTCTGCGATCGCAATTGCCCACCTTCCCCCACCCTGACCCCATCCGCGTCCAGAAGGAGAGAAGACCTCTAGGATGCCATCGTCTACCCGTCACGCTCGTTCAAGTTCAAATTCCCATCATGCAACCCCGTCCGCACAGAAAACAGAGGTGCGGATACATGTCTACGACCTGCTACCAGTAAGAAAGTACCCAACGTGTATCTTTCGCCCTAGCTAACCCTACCGCAGCCAGGCCGGCTTTCTTCGTTCCTCTGGTTTATCGGCGGGCCTCTGCTCCACACGGGCGTCGTCGTAAGAGACAAGGAGTATGCGTTTGGCGGGCATCAGAGGGAAGGCGCAACCGGCGTATATTGGACACGGTCAGTGGGAACGTGGGATGCGAATAACTAAAAAAAATATTGACATTCGGCAGGCCGCGACTAGAACCGCCGGGTGGAACATTTCGGAGCGAGATACTACATGGATTCTGCCTATTGAACGAAGCGGAGACCGAGGAGGTCATTCGAAAGGTGAGACGCTTGAAGCTTCGTGGAATTTGTATTTCGCGGAACTAACGGCGCTGTCGCATCCAGGCGGCCCACCGATTCCTCGGCACCTCGTATACCCTACTAACCCAAAACTGCAACCACTTCACCTCGTACCTCTGCGAACGCCTCACCTCCCGCCCGGCCCCACGCTGGATCAACCGCGCCGCCGCCATCGGTGTCGCGCTGCCGTGCATGGTGCCGCGGGAATGGGTCGCGCCGCCGGACGTGGAGACCGCTGACGGGGAGCTGGTGGACGAGGAGGACGACGAGCGGGCGGTGATGCTGCGCACGGAATATCAGCGGAAGGTGCGGGCGGTGTCGGATGGGGAGCAGCGGAGTTGGGAGGTGGAGATGGATCGGATCTCGCAGGGTGGTCGTACGGACTCGATAGCGTCGCTAGAAGGCCCCGTGAACGATGGCGTCAGGAGATATTTACCAGCCTCGGAGCGAGCGCCGGTTCCACATCGGAGGTAGTCGTTGAGTCTTGTAGTTGTTGTTTCCGCTTTAGCAGGCTAGGGATCTTTCGGTTTAGCGAATTGTACATTGTCCCAGATATCAATATAACCCATCTTGCGATCAAATCTCTCAGATAACTCCAATCCGCGCCATGCAATATGCTTCATGCTTCCACCAACCGGAAGAAATGCAGTATACAGTCCGCCGACTAGACAATGCTCGAAACCATCGCGCCACACTTCCAAGATAATAAAAAACCACAACGTTCCCAGCAGACGAACGTCCAACCGGTTACAGTCTCCTTGGCCTCTTACTTCTCGTCCCTCCGAACTTCAACCGCGTCGCATCCGTCACCCTCGTGATCTTCCCCCTGATATGCCTGCCCTCCTGCCCTAGCAGCGCCTTCGTGAAAGCCTCTCTCCCCTTCCCCCACCCCCGATACACGAGCTCGAGGTCCTCGATCTTCGGCAGCAACCCCGTCGTGTTGATCTTATTCATCACCCACGCGGTGAGCTGATACCCGGCATCGTACGTGCCGCGCCCGGCTTTCCGGAACCCGATGTTCCCGCAGGACACGCTGATCAACGCGTTACGGTCCGGCTTCGTGAGCGTGATGTGGGTGTTGTGCTTGTGCGTGTAGACGTGCAGGTGGTACGGTTCGGTTTCGGCGGGATCAAAGGATGGGATTGCAGACTGTGGCGAGCCCCGCATGCCAGGCATGCCCGGCACCGTTGGGGTTCGAGGGGAGTTGAAGAGAGAGGAGTAGGTCTGCTGGGTCGAGGACGGGGTGGACTTGGACTTGTCTAGGGCGTCGGCGAAGGTTTTCTCCCACCAGCTATCTTGATCTCCTGATGGTTTTTCTGCCTTGAAGGAGGCGATTTGGGAGAATTTCCGGATCTGCTCTGGAGCGGTTCGTCTTGTGAGGGTGGACCGACATGAGTTGCAGATAGGAAGCCGGAGCCAATTGGACAAGACGTGACGAGACATGGTTCAAATTATTATTACCGGCACTCCTCCTGCAGACGATAATGGGAGGAGCAACAGGAGGGTGGGAATGTGGATGTGAGAGGATGAATAAATGTTGATATTGATGAGCTCCAAGCAGTAGGTGCGAGAATTGAGAATTGTCAGTTGTCCCTTCCTTATTTGGTCCCCCCCCTGTCCGCCCGGAAATTGCCGATCCAAAAGATTTCGATTTTCCATTCGTCGCCATTGGGAAGGAACCATCAATACCCTCATCCATCACCTTCCTCTTCAACCTTTATTCCCTACTCACCCTATCGCCTTTTTCTTCTACTTCTTTCTTGGGGAGAAGGGGATTTTGCGGGAGGCGGAACCGAAAAAGAAAATCATGAGCGCCCTTGCTCGAGGTGCCGTGGGCACGCGATCGAGGTTGAAAGTGCCGCAGAGAACGTTCGCCTCCGCTCCGGCGTCCGCGTTCGGTCGAACAGCTGCATATCGAAGGATATCCTCGCAACCGGAATCCTCTCCATCATCGTCATTACGGCCTGCGGTGTCTGCCCACTCGGCTTCTTCTCCCACCCGTCTCTATCTCCAACCATCTAGTCTACGTCTTCCCAGGTTCTCGGCGCGGACGTTCCATTCGCAGGCCAGCGTTTGGCAGCAGGCGAAGCCGAAAGAAGAGGCTACGAGTCGTGAGGAGTCCCGGGCGGCATCTGAGCAATCCGGACAAGAGGACCCGAGTGCTACTGGCAAGGAGGATGGACGAGTGAACGAAGAGGGAGCCAAGTCAGAAAAGGAGTCCGAGGGAGACAAGGAGGGGGAGAAGGACGGAGAAAAGGATGGAGAGAAAAAGGCTCCTCCACCACCGCCACATGGAGATAAGACCCCGTGGCAAGTCTTCACCGAAACCCTGCAGACCGAGTTCAAAGCGTCGAAGGAATGGAACGAATCCACCAAGGCCTTGGCGAGCGGCTACACCGAATTCACGCAGAACGAAAAGCTCCAGAAGGCGCGCAGCGTCTACAGCCAAGCGTCCGACGTCGCCTCGTCGTCCACCGCCACTGCTTTCAAGAAGACCGGCCGCGTGATCGGCTCGTCGTCCGCGTGGGTGTGGAATTTGACGGTCGTTCGATGGGCCCGGAAAGGGCTTGCCATCCTCGGAATTGGGTTGGAGAGGGTGACGCGGCCTTTGCGGGAGACGCAGGCTTACAAGAGCGTTAAGAACACCATTGACGATGGGAGCTCGTTTAGGTATGGTGGGTGGGTTGAGAAGGAGGAGCGGCGGCGACTTCGCGAGGAGCGGGAGCAGTTCAAGTCCACGCGGAGGACGGAGGTGCATGAGGAGGATATCAAGTACGTGTACTCCCAAAGCATGCTCTATGTTCGTAACTAATCTCTGACAGCGCCGGAACCAACGTGACGCTTCACAAGGATGCCAAGTGGAAAGAGTCGTGGCGCGATTTCCGCGACACCAGCCCCGTGATGCAGTCCATCTTCTCCATCAAATCCACCTACCAAGAATCCGAGAACCCCCTCATCACCACGGCGCGCAGCATCTCCGACCGCGTGGCCGGCTTCTTCGCCGAGACCGAGACCGCCACCGTGATCAAGAAGTTCCGCGAGATGGACCCCAACTTCCAGTCCGAGCCGTTCCTGCAGGAGATGCGCGAGTACATCCTGCCCGAGGTGCTCGACGCCTACGTGAAGGGGGACGTGGAGACGCTGAAGCTGTGGCTGTCGGCCGCGCAGTTCTCGGTGTATTCCGCCTTAATGCAGCAGTATACCACCGCGGGCCTCAAGTCTGACGGCCGCATCCTCGACATCCGGAACGTGGACATCCTCTCCGCCCGGCTGCTCGATCCCGGTGAGATTCCGGTGTTCATCATCAGCTGCCGAACGCAGGAGGTCCACGTGTACAAGAACGCCAAGTCCGGGGAACTCATGGCCGGCATGGACGACAAAGTGCAGCAGGTCACCTACGCCATCGGCATAACGAGGATCCCCGAAGATGTCAACAATCCCGAGACGAGGGGATGGAGGTTGATCGAATTGCAGAAGAGTGCGAGGGATTACCTGTGAGGTGCGTGCAGGCGAAGACCGCGGCTTTTGCTTCCACTCGAAACTTGCGTGGCTTTTCACGGCGCCATTTGGCCAAAGCAAGCTTGAGAGACTTCTTTTTAGAACCACCAAGGCGCCCAGTCCACACGCCGGCGGAATTTTGGACACGGGGCGTTTGGATATGGAGTCTTATCTTCTCCTCTCCAAAATCCACGGGATTGTAAGATATGTTGAGGGTTGTATGTATGAGTTATTTGACATGGGTGGAATACAGGGCGGCTTGGGGAGAAAGGAGAAGGGGATGCTCTGCTTCGCTGAGATGTCCGGTGGCTGCACATAACGGCTTCATTGAGTTCGAGCACTGTACGAATATGTGAAGGATATTGGCCGCCTTGGTTGCCGGCAGCTCTATCTCTATGGGATGCTGTGTATCCAACTGTAATAAACCACAACTACGACCTCATCCGCTCGCCCAGCGGCGCAATTCTCAGGCCAATAATCCCGCAAAGTGACAATCGTTAGAAATCATAACACTCCAGATGTCGGTGATGAATCCGACACCGGAGGCTCAGTAGAGATTTTGATGTTTGGACATCCTTTTGATGTGTGCTGGTAGACCCACAATCCCGCCACGCACTAATATAATAGCTCTTCCGACGGAGCGAGTAACTGACCATCTCGTCGAATATGGCAGCCCGCCGCGTACGACGGTTTCTTTCGCGTACCAGAAAATCTCCCCGCAAGAAACAGGTCGCTCGTAGAAAAGTCGGGATCCGACTCTACAGTGGAGCGCACTGTCGATGAGGCGACACGTTGGTTAGCCGCAAACCCTGGACTTCACGTTATTCGCCACTGATGCAGGGCCCACCTCGCCCATCGGTGCCGCAGAACGTCGAGGGAGCTGGGCGGGTTGCTACCTCGATGCGTCCTCGAGTGGATCGATCCCCGTTGCGGCTCACGGTTGTAGAGAGCTAGCAGAAGACTCACCAGCGGGGAAGGCGTTCGATGGGGGTGAGCCACCGTTCGCGAGTTGTAAAGGGTCCCGGCCAGAGTCAATATCTTGCTCCGACGGTGGTATCCGGGACTCTCGGGTCTATCCAAACAGGTCAAGTTAGAACGATGCACAAAGGTATTGGCGATGCTAAGTAAGGGCTATGGGGTCAAGGCGCGTGATATGTGCAATGGGCGGAGCCATCACATCCTAACACCTTGCAAGCGACCGACTCAGGTTTATGGTTATGGAGGAGGTACGCGGGGTTGAGTCCCGACACGTCCATGCCATGGCCATCATACGAACCTGGCCGCGAAAGTGAGGATGACACGAGGCCCCACTCCAGAGACATCCCAGGGTCTGGGAAGGGGATGGGTGTGAACTCAGTTGACGGGGTCTCAACTGTCGTTGTGCTTAGAGGAGACGAGGGCAGACTGACTTCGACCATGTGATCTCCCTCCACCTTGATCTCTTTGTCCCGGATCTTGCGCATCAAGGCCAAAAAGTTGCTTTCCTGGAACTTTTGGCTCGTGTTATCGGATACACTCTGCAACAGCTGTCCGGCAGTCTGCGCGAGGGCGTCATCGTCAATCACCTGGGGCTGCTGCTCCGCTACCCCCTGTCCCTTTTCTCTGTGCTCCCGCTCTATTCGTTGGAGCTCCTCGGGCGTGTATTGCGTGTAGTAGTCGGCCTCGGCGTCCAGGCCTTGGTTTTGCAAGTAGCTGATGGTGTCGTGTATCGACTCATCGTGCACTGGATCGTACGTTACATCTGGGTTTAGGAGTTCTCTCTCCACATTCTCTCCCAAAGAAATCTCTGCTCTGGCGTCGTCGAAGGCTCTCTCGAACGCTGCATCATCGAATAGGTTCTCCTCATAAAACTCGGCCCGCTGCTTTCCGGGCTGCTCGCTGACTTGATTCATCGGCGAATACATCGGCGCGTAGAGAGGCTGATGAGCCATCGGCGAAAATGACGGGCGTAATTGCGATGGTTGCATAGTCTGCGGCGACGGTCCGCTCTGCTGTTGCAGGAAGTCTTGGTGCCATGATGCCCCGCCTTGCCCCACGTGCGACTGCGCCTGGTGCGACGGAGCAAACTGAGGAGGGGCGGATCCTATGGTCAGGTTCTGGAAGTCTGAAGCCCAGCCAGGAAGAGACGACTGCGGAGCAGCATGGTGCTGAGGGGGTAGGTGATGGTTGAAATGGCTGGCTTCGGAGAGGGTCTGTGGAGAGGCGCCGGCTTGGAAAGCCTCGAATTCCGGATCTAAAGTTCCCGCTGGTCCCGGTGATGATCGAAAGCCCTGCTGCTATGCATAAATAGACGGTACAGATTCGGATAGCAAGAAATATCCTACCTGAGAAGGGGAGTGTCGTTGCACCAGTCTGTCTTGTTGCAGAGTCCGGTCTGTCGCAGCATGTTTCTGGAAGCTTTGCAGGGCGTTCGACGGACCGCACAATGCATCGGCCATTTTGGTCTCGTTCCTGTTGTCTCCAAATCTCTTACGCACAATACCTGTACATGAATATTACGAAGAGAACTAGGAAATATAAGAAACGTCGCCGGAGAGAACGAGAGGCGGAACTTCATATGAGAAACCGTCGGAGGCAACGGCGAATTCCGGCCTCGGTCGCTCTTGCCCAATGCCAATTGGTCATACCACGTGATCTATACCATGTGACCCGACTTTTCGAGAAGATTAGCTAAGCATGATTCTGATATGGCATACCGTAGCTGTAGAGCTGCTCCGTAAAGGCGTAAACATTATCGCAAATAGAAGAGAACGAGGCCCGCATTGCCCACAAACACGCCATCATGGTAAGCTGATCCTACACTCTTGGGTTTTCGGCCTGGATTGAAGCTAATCCTATCAATCTAGGCGCAAGTCATCTCAAATACCGGTCACGATGACATGATTGTAAGCCAGCACAGCACCAACTTCGAAACCTGGCCACGGAAGTAACAGCCTGTCCTTAGCATGATGCCGTCCTCGACTATTACGGGCGCCGCCTTGCGACATGCTCCTCTGACAAGACCATCAAGATCTACGAGATCGAGGGCGAAGCACACAGGCTGATAGAGACCCTGAAAGGCCACGAAGGCGCAGTATGGTGTGTCTCATGGGTACGTGGACGTCGCATCGTGAGCGGACATGGCCAGTAACAATCTCCAGGCACATCCGAAGTACGGCAACATCCTCGCATCCGCCAGCTATGACGGTAAAGTCCTCATCTGGCGAGAGCAGAACGGTCAATGGTATATTCAGGACACCCTGTCTCCCCCGCATGCACCCAAACTAATGCAGGACAATCCAGGCAACGAATTTACGACTTCTCCCTCCACACCGCCTCCGTAAACCTCCTCTCATGGTCTCCCCACGACAGCGGATGTCTCCTTGCCTGCGCCTCCTCCGACGGCAATGTCTCCGTCCTAGAATTCAAAGACAACACCTGGGCCCACACAATATTCCAGGCGCATTCCCTCGGCGTGAACGCCGTCAGCTGGGCACCCAGCGTCGGCCCCGCCGGTGTCGCGAGCGCCATGCCATCGGCGAACGGATCAGCCACGCGTCGGTTCGTCACTGGTGGGAGCGACTGCCTGGTGAAGATCTGGGAGTATAACGCGGCGGCGTCCCGCTACGAGAACACCACCACCCTCACTGGGCACCAGGACTGGGTGCGCGATGTCGCCTGGGCGCCGACGATCCTCGCGAAGAGCTATATCGCGTCGGCCTCGCAGGATAAGACGGTGCGGATCTGGAGTTCGTCGACCGCATCCGGAGGTATGTCACCGCCGTCGCCGCTCGTGCGCGCCTGCTGAGGAGTGTCGCTAACCGTTTGTAGGAGAATGGCAGCCGGAAGTCCTCACGTTCGAGACCGTGGCATGGCGGGTGAGCTGGAGCTTGAGTGGCAATGTTCTCGCTGTTAGCACCGGCGATAACCGGGTTAGCCTCTGGAAGGAACGGCTAAAGGGCGGTTGGGAATGTGTGAAGACGATCGAGGAATGATTGCCGTCGAACTGTTTGAATCCTTGAATTAATAAAGCTATCCGTGACGGTCTGCTCCCTGAGAGCTCAAGGATCACTGGCTTTACGGATGGCGGATCTCCATCCCAACGGTATTTGATGATCGCAAGTCGTTTGAAGTAGCAGGCGTACCTGCATACAGAGGCGTCCATGAAAACGGTTTGGATTGGAGGCAAGGGAATATTGATGGGGCGAGTGCGGCGCTGCGTAAACTCAAGACTTTCACGGAATGAAACGCTGAAACCCCGTTGATCTGAATCATGGACTGAATTGTCCTTGTCGAATATATTTAACCGCCTCACTTACTAAATCACTTTTTGGCTGCCGTGGATAATCGCCCTCTCCATATCCCCCTCAAATGCACGCCACCTGCCTCCCCTCAAGACCTTGCCAACTTGCCAAAGGTCCAATTCCCTCTACCTCCGGGCCCTCGACTGATATGACCGAAAACGATAGCCATAGAAAATTTCAAATAAAACGCCTTTATGAACCCCTCCGTCAGGGTGCCATGTAGATTGAAATGCATGAACTGCGTGCGTAATGTCATGACCTTCGCAGAGCTAAATGCTGCGTAAAAGGTCTGTTGAGATCCGGCGAGCGTCGCCTACACATCGACGAAACCATCACGCTCGCGATCGTTTTGCCAGGACCAGTCATCCTGAGCATCATCCACTTCCCACATGATGAACGGCCCGCAGTACATCTAAAGATGGGGGTTCAAGTCAGCATGAGCCTGGTAAAGTGAACGGCAATACGAATGATACGAACAAAGTTCTCCGGCTCCTGGGGCTGATAGCTCCACCAACGGCCGACGATGATCTTCGACCCGGGCAAAACCACCCCTTCGTACGCCCAAAGGGCGTCTTCGAAGGGATTGCCATCCTCAAAATATTTCATCATAGTAATTCGCTGGAAACCGGGAACGCCATTCTGGGAAGGTAACGGATTGAGAAAGCCTTGAGAGAAGAAGTCCCTGGTGGTGGTGTTAGTATGAACTTAATTGCCGATGGAGAGGTGGTCCCCAGGACATCGATCGAGGGCGGGGAACTCACTCGTCATCGTAGCCAGTGCCGATGAAGCGACGAGAAGCCTCTCGCATGCTCTTCGTCTCCAATTCGGGGATTCCGCCACGGTGCTGGGCTCGGGTGCGGCGGGGACTCGGCTCGCGCAAGGAGTGCAGGATTTGTTCGAACCCTTCCGGCCAATCGGTCGCAAAGCTCTCCGGGAAGTCGATCACCAATTTCTATTCTTCAGTCAGTTCAGATAAATGAATCTCGGAATGACTGTGCTGTTACCTGGATCGATTTGTCCCCCTTGTCAAGGTTGCGGTCATCGAAGAGAGACCCAGAGTCGGGTCCCGCGCTACGGATATCGAGCACGTCATGGCGATCGAGGTAAGCTATTTTCTGGTGTTAGATCACTCATCAATGTGATCGACTGAGATGTGCACATACAATAGGTTCCATTCCAGCGTCGACCAATTGGACGAGCACCATTGACGAGATCCGAGTCGGGACCTCGCGGGCGTTGCCGGGAATCCAGCGAGGTGTAGGTGGCCCACATCGTCCCCAGATATGGAAGCAAGAAGTGAGATCTGAAGAAGTTGATGACGTGCAGAACCCAGGGGAGATTGACCTCCATGTTGTTGTATCCACCGAAAATGGGACACATTCGGTCATCCGCGTAGGCCATGTACTGCGACATTTCGGGATTATGAATCTCCATCTCTAGAGTTGGATCGAGCATATGATGTGCAAAGAGCAATATGATCGCGGCTTGAGATCGAGCCTGACTTTTACCAGCCCTGTAGCTAACCAAGCCCGCATATTCCTTGCTACAAGGGTTCGTGAAAGGGCGACGGTAGTTGCTGAAGACATGCTTCAGAAGATCGGTCCTGCGCATGAACTTCTCCACAAGGGCGGCATTCTTCGACTGCTTCTGTTTGCCATGATCAGTAGATCCTGAAAAGGCTTCTACAGAGGATGAAGATTAGTGTCCGAGGAGTGAGTGAGCAACAACAAGCAATGCCGAAATCAAGGACTTGAAACGATTCGCTCAAAAAACAAACTGCTACTGTCAAAGCTGATCAGTAACCAAACGCTGCCAACTATGTCACATACCAGTGACCATGGCGCGAAGAGTGTACAGGATATGTCGCTCATCATCGCTGATGGTGGAATAGCCGAAACTGTCATCCGGTGCGGCGAGGTCACGCTGACGACGTTGATAATCCACCTTGTACGTGGAGGTCTCCATGGGCATATTGGGAGGATCGAAGGTGTCGTGCCAGCGGCTCCTCCAGAACGAAGTGTCTTCCATGGCCTCGAGGAGTCCTCCGCAGACGCCTCTAAGGCTGCAGAGGTCCTTGTCATCGAGGTTGCTTGCGATCAAGTGCTTGATCTGGTTGCGAGTTAGTCAGTGACCTCAAGTGCTATCCGGAAGTCGACTTACCTCGAGGGGCACTCCAACCAAAGTGGCACCACCACCAGGGGAGTGCCGTGAACCAGTCATGATGGTTGTTGTTCAGATGCTTTGCTTTGATAATGGTAGCAGATGTACCAGATGTCGTTGTATATTTTTGCGGACCTGAGGAAATGAGGTGAGGAACTGAGATTGAGGATCGGAGGTGGAAAGTAAACGAAGATCGGGAAAGGAAGATGTTTTTATAGGCAACAGAGAGTTGGCGAAGGAGGCAGAGATCTCATAAATCTAATCTTCTCAATAATGAATGGCTCAATGGGACAATAGTTGTAGAGGATAAGCATGTGTAAATAGCATAGTATATCATCAATAGAAGGCCAATCACGATGGTTGCTATTGATCGATTCCTATTGAAAGTGAAAGTGAGCGGATGAACAACAGGTTATTATCATCGAAGGCCGTAGAGAAGGTGATCATGTGTAGGCTCATCGGTGCAGAGTGAAGTGAGTGAAGTGAATATGCCAAGCGCTTAGTCCTCTGGTGAACATCTCCCAACATACCGAACAGTCAAAACGGGTGACCTGGTTGACTGAATGCAATGGAAGTGAGCCTGGAGGTGAATGTCAACGGTTTGTCAAAGTTAGACAATGTCCTTAACCTGTGTACCAACCAATCTCACATGCAGGCCGCACAACAATTGAAAATCTTTCGACCTCGTGGGTGAGATCCACTACGTCTGGTATTGGCATGTGAGTATGTACAATCTCGTGGACATTGATAAGACCGAACGTGAAACTGGCACGAATCTTGAGTGAGTGTGAGATCCCCTTCCTATGCGACAAACATGCAGTACGCCGCAAGGCCAGCAAAGGCATTGTTAGCGCAAGGTGCGTATCGACCGACAAGACCTGCTTGCGTTGAAGTACTGCCCGCCCCTCCAGCCGTTGAACTTCTCTGGGTCACTGTTGTCGACGGTCCCACCGGTGCACCATCACGGCGAGTGACGACTATAATATCGCCGGTCGAGTCGCTCGACACGAAAAGGCGACCCTTTGGATCGAATGCCAACCCCACGGGTCGAAAACAGCCATTGGGGCACTGATCCATGGCCGAATTGGCCATGATATCGATGGCAGCAGTGCGGGAATCCGATGGTTCCGTTGGTTGGCCCGAAGCCGCGTTGAAGCGAACAACGGAGAGTTTGTATCCAATTGGCTGATCGCGGTTCCTTGGGGAATGTTAGCGAAAACGGAACGGCGATAGAGGCGAGCCAAAGAAGACATACCAACTACCGTGGAACGTAACCCACGCATTGGAACCACTGGGGTCGAACTTGATATCAAGCGGAGCCATATGCGCGGCAAATGTGATCCGAGGAGCCACTCGCTGCGCACAAGCTGCATCGTCAATTCTCCCGCCGGCATCTCCCATGGCAAATTGACTGCCAACTTTGAGGCCCGTATTTCTGGGAATTTCTGAGGGAGTCCACGCAGCAAAGCAGTCAGGGTAGCCATGGTTGCCTCCTAGGAGTTGAGAAGCGGATCCGCTCAGGGAGCCGTGATAGTTCAACTCCTCCCCAGGGTTGTCATCGTGAATATCGCGGCCGTCCCGCTTGATGTTGTCAACCGAGTTCTCAACACTCCAGATTCCCCCGTCGACGGGATGTTCGGTGACACCGACGGAGTTCCGGAGGCCCCATCCCACAACCAACCCGTCTCGAGAATAGTTGTATGGGGATGTCGTATTTTTGATATTGAAAACCTTTATCATGCTGATCCCATTGGAGGGGTCCGAAGCTTCGGAATCAATATTTGGCCCACTTCCACGACTGACGAACAGCATGCCGTCCTCGTGCCTCGAAAGCCAGATTGTCCGGGTGGAGTGTCCCGTGTTTGCCATCCCGGTGACTAGCGTGCGAGCTTGCGATGTGGTTTTCTTGGCTGTAGCATCGTAGGACCATGAAAATGCGGAGGCGGCGCTGGAAGCATACAAAGTTGACCCGTCGGCCGAAATGTCAATGCCATGATTCAGCTGCGGTTGTTTTGTTAGTGGACACAGCAATGCTGTCTACGAGTTCGGATCACCGGAGAGAATACGCGGCAAAAGATGAGATCATGAGATACCCCCTTTCGCAGATCCTCCAAAAATAGGAAACAAACCAAACATTTCGGGTCAGGCATCGGTATGCGGAGCATCTTAACAGTGGCATCGGAAAGCAAAGTCTCAAAAACAAAGACTCAAATAATCGACGAGATGTAAAATCAATCGACACGCGCGAAGAACCAAATTCAAAAATCAAAATAGACAAGACAATAAACTCATTCGACGAAGGAAGAAACCACTCACATTTCGATCGCTCACCACCTCCGTCGTCGACACCGCACTCAAACAGCCTGCGCCGTCCTCTCTAAAGGTGACGGCGTAGATTCCCCGTCCGGTGTCCGCGACGAGAAGGTTTCCCGCCGTGTCGAAGACAATGCCCCTCGGTCGTCGAAACCCGTTGGCGATAAGGAGAGATTGGTAGTCGGGTGCCATCGACGGCGCGGGATAGCTAGCCGTGAGCGCGCTGCGGCATTGCGCGAACGCGTGGCTCGCGAGAGTGACGGTGAGAATGAGTGAGGACAGCATCGTGCAAATTCGCGAGATGAACGAGGGTTCTGATGAAAGAAATAGGTTGTAGGTGATTGGAAATGGTTTGCGACGACAGAGAAGAAAGGCGAGCTTGGAGTAACTTAGTTCTGTTCACGTATCACAGCCGATGATAGCAGTTCTTGCTGTCGTCCGAAGAAAGCGCACAGCACCTTGTATATGGAACTTGTCAGGAGCAGCGGAAGGGAGCCGAACTTGCTTCGAGATAGGGATCTGACGCCGATTTGCACCTTCAAGTACTCTCTGTCCCTCGGATTTCCGGGCGTGATCTCTTTAGATCGAACGGTCCTTGAATCGATCGCAGGTCATCGTCATCCAACCAGATGCGACAGCGAAACCCGACGATGATTTGATTGTCGCGGAGATGATCGCCCTTGCCCTTTCCGGTCCGATATCAAATCAAGATGCCGCTCCAAGAGAATCAGAGTACGGCAATATGAGCGATACTTTGATTTAGGGCACGTTCTGGTCAATCTCCGTCGGGTGCAGTGTCTGGGAAAACTACGGAAGCTGGGGTCAGGCGTTCGGGATCGTAGATCGTGCGAGCATACGGCGGACTTGAAGACCTGGAATAGGGACGTCTAGATGATCTTCAAGACATTTGCTCTATAACTCCAGCGCGGATTTCTCGACGATCCGTTTGCGTTTCCGTGCAAGAAGCTGAAGTCCCTAGAGCGGAGGAGACCCAATCCCCAGGTAGATGAGCGAACGTCATGAAGGTCATGGATTCCATCTCCAAGATTCCAACACGTGGAGCTTCCATCTCGCAACGATGGAGATGATTGGTCCCTGCGTGTCGTATCATCTCAGAGTTCATGAAACTGCTGATAAATAGTCAATTGAAACAAGGTTGAAAGGCGGGACATTTCCGTGAGGAGTGATGTCAAGCTTGGGATTGGTGGTTGGATCGGCTGGGACAACCACCAGATGCGGCAAAAAGATTCGACTTTGGCTCACTCGGTCCGTAGATGAAGAGCAGGTGGATAGCAGCACGCTAAATATATTATTCCCTATAATCCGTCCATTTGCGACATGCCTCATAATAATAATGAAGAGCTCCGTTCATGTCGTCTGGTTCGTCTACGGGTTTTCATCTGTTTTTACCAACACGTGCTCAAGCACCGATATATCCCGCTCCAAGCTCTCAAGACTCCAGCGTCCCAAGCCATTGCAAGGCCAAACGAGACGCGTCAATCAGCGGTCTAGAGCTGGAGGTTCCGGTAAAACAACGCAACATGGGATCTCGACACAAAAAGGTAACATGCCCACGAAAAGATACCTGCACGCTGACATGAATCAACCACACTATTGGTAGCAACACAACAAACAAAACAACAAAACCTGCTATTTCTTTTGGACGAATCGCAATGAATTGTTATCAAAAGCGCCCGGCAAGCCTCCCGAGTATTTTTCCGCCTGTCGCTGCAAAACCCTACCGTACACTTCGCTGCCGACCGTGGGGTGCTCTCGAGAGAGAAAAGGAAAAAGGAGTTGGATAGTCAAGGGGCTCATGATTCATGGGCGATCGGGACGAGAGTTCCCGCTGGGGATGAAGTGACGAGGCTCGTCAGTTGTGGCACCCGAGGCCGAAATCGCGATGGGAAAGGATGTGGTGGAGAAGTCGAAAAGTGAATTGTCAAACGACCCAGACGAAAGACCCTGGGTGTTCCCGTGTTTTGTAGTCCATAGGCGGATGACAGTGAAATCGACCATCGTCCTGAAGCCCAGGTCCCAGCTAAGTCAAATCGCTTAGCCATGCGCGGCCCAATGGGACCATAACGATCCCGTATAATCATCCGGAGAACAGTGGCCGAATGGTTCGCCATGACTCCGGTATCCCGTTCCAGCTGACCCATCAGATAAAGAAAGAAACGTGTGGGTAGTCCGACTGAGGAAACCATTAGAGTAGGAGGCCATCGATGTATGACGCCATCAAGGAATGACCCAGGTTTCCACGTGCAGGCATCGCTCGACGACACGGAGCACATTCGCTCACTTTCGTCGATCGTCTCGCCCATACACGTACCCCTCGTCCACCACCACGCATCAATTCACTCCACTCATTCGCATCCCGCTCGTCCACATCATATAACAGTCATCAGTTTCATCTGACCGGTCAACTCATCAACGCCTGCACCACTCCTCGCCCCCCCTTCTTCCGGCACCACTCCCCCGTTGTTCGCCCGCGTCCGGCGATTTCTCCTCGAGGACGGCGATCCCGTCGCCGATCCGATGCCCGAGGGCGTGGTGGAGCCGGCGCGCTTGGTGGGTGAGCCGAACAGGTCACTCTTGGTATTGCCGGGATCGAACACCCCTGTGGTAGAAATCGTGTCGGTGGTGATGTCCCACTGCCCGAGTATTCCGTCGTCAGTACCGTTCACGCCGTTGGCCTTGCCACCGTGGCCGCTCGCGTCATATTGAAGCAAACCCAGAGCTGGACTTGAAAGACCCTCGACATCACGTAGGAGTGTTCGGACTTTGCGGACCAGGCCGTTGACATACGGCACGATGTGCTTCAGTGTCGCCGTGTCGAACGGCACTTTCTTCTCTTTCGAGGTCCGCGAGAATGTGATCGGCTCCGACACCGTGCTCGGCCGCTTCTGGAGTGCTTCGATGACGGAACGCGCGATGGCTTCGGAGTCTTTGCGAGGTCGGGTGGTCACGGTGGTCGGGGTGGTGCGGCTCGAAGCGTGCTGACCAGATGGGGTGCGCGGGATACCGAAGCTTTGGGTAGGGGGAGACGTGGCGGCGGGTTCGGAGAATATGTCGCTGTTGGTGGGGAGAACTGATTTGCGGCGGGACCGAGGGGAAGATTGGGGGACCGAGGTGGGCCCGTCAAAGCGAGCACTGGTGGAGCGCCTGGTGCGTCGATTCTTATTTACTGGTGCCGGAGTCGTAAGCCCAGCTTCTTCTTCGAAAGCATCAGCATCAAATCCGGGAGACGAAGGAGGTGTCACTCGAGGAGCGGTGTCTTCTTCGGCTTCTTGGTCGGCCAGATCAATCATGGCATCCACCTCTTTCCAAACTGCCGCGCCCACCCCGTCCAAGACTCCAAGTTGTGCTGCACGGATTTTGAGATCCTTAAGCTCTTCAATTATAATCCCCCATTCCTTCAAGAGACCAATGTTGGCAAGGACGTTCAATTGCTGGTCGCGGATATTCTGAGGAACCACAACCGCCATGCCACTATCCACCCGTTTCTCCTCGCCTCCGGTGGAACTCTGGCCGGCTTCATGATTCGGATTTGTGAAATCGAAATCATCATCCCAATCTTCCGTGACACCTTTGCTGCCGACGCCCCAAGTTCCGAACTTATTCATGACAACGGTGTCTCGCTTGCCGGCGGGGTCGGGGACCACGGGAACACTCTGACTTCGAGCGTGCAGAGCGCTGGGAGCTCTTCTGCCAATGGATCGACTTCCTCGAGAATCGGTGTCCTTCTTTCCGTGAACGGTCTGCGGTCTCGGTGGAGTGCGGTTACCCGGGCTCTTGTCCGTGTGTGGGTGCTCCGACCAGTCGAACAAGTTACTTCGACTGTCCCGCTCACGCTCTGTAAGCTGTGAGTAACGGTGATTGGGGGTGATGGCGGGCGGACTCGAGCTCGACCCGGTTGCAACAAGGTGTGGACTACTTCGACGGATGGAAAGTGGAGTGGCGACTTGCTCGACTTGATCGAAATTGAGGCTCAGGTCTTCCAGTGAGATGTTGGGAGAATCATTGCTCGGTTCACCCATTGACCAGCGGCTCTCATCATCCTGGTCTTGGAAGTTGTCGTATTCCAAGGAACCGAGATTGAGTGACTTTGCAGCCTCAGGTGGAGACGAGGGGATGCGTAAAGGTTGGTTTTGCAATTTGCTGCGAACACGAACGGTTGTGGGCGATCCGCCTTCAGCAAGATCGGATGCGATGGCCATTTCGTCATTTGTCGACACACTTTCTTCCTCTTCGGTGATACTGTCTGGACCAACCAATTCCATCTCTTGATCGGTTCCCATGCCCTTCGGAAGCATATCTCGCAGGAAATTGGATCTTGGTTTGGCCATCACGGTGGAGGACGGTGGCATATCAAAGATTTGGTCGATGGATGGACCTCTCGCACCGGACGTGCTGCGAGTCCCTCGAGTTCTAATGGAATCGAACACCGTTTCACTTGCTAGATCTGTCTCCTCCTCTTCCGCTGGTGTCACACCCCGTAGTTCGCTGTCCGATCCGACGAGTGTTGAGGTGCGTTCTGATTGGGGTATGGAATTTCGAACGAGCCGATGTCCAGGCACCTGTGTGGATGGAGAGAGTGGAAAATGGTCGAGGTCGGTTGATGTTGTACCGGTTTGATAGGGTGGTGGTGATGAATGGTTGTGTGTGAGGCCGTGCACGGAATGTGAAAGCGGTTTCTGCGAGGGGTTTGCCACATGATTGGATTGAGATGAGCTCATGTCGTTTATCGAAGCACTGTTGCTGGAAGAGGTGTAAATCTCCCGCTTGAAGATGGTTGGGTCCGTGGTGTCCCTCTTCTTGATGGGCCGCCCGGAGTCAGGATCAGAAGAGGATGTCTCCTGGGTGCTGGGGAGCGGGGCAGATATGGCTCTGCTTTCGCTGCGGCGGGTGAGTCGGCTGCGACCAAGATATTTGGAGGAACGTGGTTTCCGGAACGATGAGCTGCTGGGAAGGAATTTGTCGAGGGAGAAGGAACGGCGTCTGTGTTGGTAGGCGGACGTATCTTCAGGTGGAGGGAAGTCTCGTTGGGAGTCGGTAGTGCCTGAAGGATGATATGAACCCCGCGAACCATCAAAGGACTCTGAAGGAGAGGGACGGCCAAACCCCAAACCCAAAGGAGTTATCGGTCGGCTTCCACCAAAATCACTATCGTCTGCCAGACTTAGCGACTCATCCACCTCGATGGACGACGCCATCACGGATTTTGCCAGGATCAAAGTGGGCCGAAATCGATCGTCCGGAAAGATCTTCCGAGCGCTTCTCTCGCCGCCGAACCGCTTCTTCGACACCGTGTTATCCTTGGAGACCTTCGCGGTGAAATATTGCTGGTACAACGGTTCGGGAGGGGATTCCACGACGGGAACCGGAATCTGGACATCGCGAGCCCGATCCATGGAGACACCTCTTGATTGCGAGTGCATCTGCAATGTGGCGGACCGCTGATGGCTGGTAGCAGGCCGTCTGAGGGTGGGGCGCCGCGATTGGATGTGTTCCTGCATCTGTCCTTTCGACAAACGAAACGAAGACGATCGCTTGACCAGCTTATTCGGGGGGAGCGGAGGGGGAGGGCACTGGCCGATGATCGGAGCGGTAGAGCCGCTGTGGGAGAAAGCAGCGGACCCATTCGAGAAGGAAATCGGAGGGGATTCGGTGGCGGGACTCCCTAAGGGACTGGAGTGGTTGGAGGAAAGCGTTGATAGTCGTTTGATCCAGGAAGACTTCGATCGGAGCGTCACACTGGGATCCCTCTGAGCTACGTCGTGTCGAAAACCGAAGTCCGAATGTTCGTCAATATCCATCACGTCCCCCCCAGTTGTAAGTCGTCGACCATTGCGAGACCGTAGCACGTCGCCGCTGGCTCGACCGGTGAACTGAGAAGGTCGATTCTCGAGCGGGGTGGAGGGGACGCTCAATGTTGTGGAATATCGAGGCATGGATTCGCTTGGGCGTACGGTGGGAAACGGCTCGGAGGAATACTTCCTCTTCTGGAGGTTCGGTTGGGAGGACTGGTCATCGGGGCGACCTATGGCATATCCAACGGCAGACACACCCACGATGGTAGCAGTAGCGCAGACCTGGACAATACAAGCACCGTCAGCCCATGAGTCTATCTAAAAGCAATACATTGGAAGCAGAGCACAGGACAATGGATTGGGAGGTTATTAAGACGAGACAGCGGGACGAGCTTCGTGCATATCTGGTCGCTCGTGAATGGACGAGATGAACTGGAAAGCATACGATTGGGTAGAAAGCACACGCGTCGAAGAAGCAAGAGGCAAGAGAGCAACAGAAATCGGCAGATGGGAAGCGGAACAGAGGCATGACCTACCGTGGGTATTGTCTTCATGCTTTCTCAAGGCCCGGCACCCCTAGGAGCGGCGAAGGCGGAGAGATGAAGAATAGGAGATTCGTGACGGTCGTGACGAGGAACTCATCGCATCGTAAGGATGATGGGCGTCTTTGCAACCCTCATGTAGGTAGGGCAGACAGCTGGAACTAGAAGGGCTGCCGGCACGTATTCCCTCCAATCGGTGATCGATTCAGGATTCGAAGAGGTGCCCGAGAGGCCAATACGGTGGAAGCAATGGGTTATGGGATACGCAGTGTGCGTCACGGAGAAGCTGGCGAACTGGGGTTTCAAGGCTGAGAGCGACAGTCAGGAAGAGGCAGAGGGAAAGAGAGATGGTGGTGGAAGCGAATGTCAAGCGTCAAATCAAGACACAAGGCAAGAATGAAGAAAAGGCAGCGAGCAGCGCACGTCTCTTGGAAATTCCGTCACGAAGACAGAAATAGGGATTGGGATTCGGACAGCTGGGAGGGCTTAGTTAGGACATTTGGGAGGGAGTTTGAAGATTTGGGACTGGTCGAAGTGGTGGTGGTAGTGCGGTATGGATTGGGATGGATTTGGGATGGATTGGTATGGGTTGTAGCCTGTAGGATGGATTGGGATGGGATTGGGATGGGATTTGATGGGCGACGATGGTATTACCGAGTTTAGGGAAGAGTTGGGTACGGAGTAATGGCCCATTAATGGGGTGTTTGGTACCTGAGTTAAATGGTAGCGGGGCTTTAATTTTGTGTTCCCCTGTGGTGCACAGTGCAGTATGCAGTAGGTAGTGTAGCAGTAGGACTAACTATCAGTACGGTATTTACATAGTAGTTAGTCGTTGTAAAGCAAGTCGTATTACTCCTTGTAGGAGAGGGATTTGTTATGACTTGTTGATATTTGTTGACATTTGTTGTTGTTATTGTTTTGGGGGGATGTGGACACTGGGGCGTAGGCACTGGGGCCCATGAACATTGCGGGCTCTCAGGGGGTTTTAGCGTGTCACCAAGTCAAGCACTCACCACCCAGTGGGCACCCACCCAGACGGCAGCACGCAAAAGGGGAAGCGTTTATCGTCAGCCCTGCTTGTATTCCCTACTACCTCCATCCACAATCCACTTGAACCAGGCTTGCAGGTCGGTCGAAGAATGTCAACACCGCCGCTAAGTTATGGAAACCGACCAGTTCGTCGGCTTCGTCCTAAGCATCAGATCGGACGATCCGTTCAGTTTTTGCCGTTCAGCCCTTTTCTAATGTCTTTCCTTAATCCTACCACGCGGATCGATTTTCCGATCCGCACTGCTAGAGTCAGGCACGGGAGATCCGAGGATGATTTCAGGTGCGTTCGAATTTAGATGCTAATGGCATGCACCAATGGGACCCGTCGGAGAAGTACTGCGGAGGTTTAGTGGATGACCCGCCCATCTCTCACGTCTCACGGCCAGGAGAAAGATCAGAACGGCGCCTGCGATTGTTTCGTCCCATCCTCGTGAACCCCTGCTGGCTGGACGACGAAGAATTTCCGTCATATCTAAAAGACTGAAAAGGGTCGTAAATCGCTTTATTTCTTCCTCTGTGCTACACGCCACGGTCACGCCTCTCCTAACACCAACCGCTCAAAACACCCTCACCCGCATTTCGTCTAGTCGTCCGCCAGATACGCTCGTTCGCAGGGGAGCCATGAGCAGCGGAAGGCAAGGCGGACCTGGAACCAATATATAGCGACACGGTTCTCCTGGGGAAGCAGGTGGATTATTCTGAGACTCGCCTACATCCATGACAATCGGCCTTTCCTATCCAACCCCCCTGGCCATGCGCAGCAATGAGCAAGCGAAATCCAGGGCTTACCTTGTTGTCCATGTCCACCATGAGAGATTTTTTATACTTATCCGTGCCGCCCTCATGTCAGCAGCCCGATAGATTGGTCCCATCCGCACCGCTGTTCCTGATAGCTGCGACAAGGTCTCGCGGCTCCCTGAGCCTTTTGCCGCCGCGATCAGCTCGGAAACCTGGGCTCTGGCAGTTATCGAATCGTGCTGGAAAGCCGAAGCTGGAACCCTCTGGGCTTCAAAGATGGTCGCACAACCTGACCGATACTAGTCTGTGGAAGTCTGAGAAAACCCGGGTTCCGTCACGTCAAGCTCGACCAAAAGCGCCAACCTCCAAGTTTCCAATGTCGATGCTGCATTGGATTCGGTTCGAGCGGCTTGTCATAGGATACTAGGCTCGGTGCCATACTCAGTTCGTAACGCGCCTTTATGTACGAAAGTATGAGTTGCTGCGATGGTTGGATATAACGATGCGAGCCTGCATGTCGACACATGAACGCCCGCTCCCGCTTAACTTAGTCCTCCCAAATCGAGGCAGTCGATCAGACGATCGAGAAGTGGGGTTCTCCTTCTAGTGATTTCTAGTGATTTTGCTGGGAAAACTGGGAAATGCTCCAAATTCCGATGCAAGTCAACGTCATATACTAGTCTTACACAGGAAAGATGTCCATCCGGCGACTTTCCAAACTTAACTTCCAGGCGCATCATGTATCTATACCTACCGGCGTAGAACCAGGACTTTTTAGAAGCCGTTCGAAGGGACCTATCACCTCAGCACGATGGCGTCTGTTGTACCTACATACTACATATGTACCACGCACTGTAGCAAGCCCTGCAAGACGGGATGGAAGTGGATCCACGATCGGACGAACTAACACCCAGAGGTCCGGTGGTCCCAGACTTCCATCGTCTCGGACTTGATCTCGGTCTCGTTTCTAAGTTTGAAGATCGTCAAGTGGTTCTCTGGATGTAGCGGAGCCCTTATCTATTTTGTGCGGCCAAGCCGTGATCCTGCATTTCGCCAGCAATGGATATGAATTACTAATGTGCGGGCAGTCGAGCTGGCACGAACCGGTAAGAGAAGATATTAGATGATGACACAAAAAGCTACCAAAAGGCGCCTAATCAACACCGCCCAATCAATACGGATTCCTACGATTGAGCTGCAAGCGATGATCCTCGCTAAGATGCATGCATATGAGATCCGTCCGGGATGCGATGGCTATGGACAGATTGGCAGGCAAGTGGTTTTTCTCAGCTCGTCGGTCGCAATGTTGCATGCAAGGCCGCCGATATTGGATGGCACTTTTTGGTGCCGTGATCCGTTGGACCTCTCCATTCCAGAAGAATATTAGCGACGTCGCTGGCCCATTTTCATATCGATCACCTCATCGTTGTATATATTGAGAGCATTCGGCCCCTCTGTTCCTGTCCCAGGCTCATCGCCGTACCTGCATATAAATCTCTGTGTTATGACTCCGAGACGACGTGGATCGTCAGCACCCCTCGAATGCTGTCGATGGCCTGGTCAGATGCCCCGACTTCCTGAGACAATCCCGAAGTGGTCGCACGGGATGACAATTGAACGCATCCGAAGAGGGGAAACGCAGCAGAAGGTGGTGAATGGGCTCCAGAACGGCCGACGTCAGCCAACGGTTCGGCAGTGCAGCAAGGCGAAACACAACCCCAACCCGGCGCTTGTCTCACCAGGAGGAGGCGCTTGACTTTACCTCCCTACCTTTACATGACACTAACTGTAGGCGTATAGGTCAATGTTGAATTAGAGAGTCAGCAATTGGAAAGCGAGTAAGAAGCACGCTGTATGGAACGTTAAGAAATATTACTCGAATATTTCCTGGTTCAGTTATGGCAATAGAATATGTCCCCCTCACAAGAAAAGCCAGGCTTCCGGATCGTTTTCCAATCCAGCTCGCCCTCTGTAGATCACATTCGCACAACACGGTTGACGGTACGGACGGATGCATGGCATTTGCCAGTCATCAAGTAATATCAACGAGCAGGGATTGACGCTTCGGTTGGTTTTGCGCCTTTGCGGAGCAGTGAGGAGATTGACCGGATGAGGCAGGGCAAGTTACACCACGCACAGGGACGGCGACAAAGCCTCCAGCACCTTTCTCCATGACAGGCGACAGCTGCTTTTGTGTTTCCGACGCCTGCGTTTCCTAAAACCGTCAACGGTTTTTCCAAAGGCGCCGGTTTGTTTGCTGTGGGCGGAACGGGACAGGAATCGTCGTCCCGATGGGTGCTCCACTGCTCCTTGCTCGGGTTCAGCTCCGACGAAACGGCGAAGTCTCCAATCGTGATGGATCCGAACTAAAGGAAAGATCGTGATGATGTCCGCACGCGGCACCCTAGCAGAGTAGCATGGAACCGTTCAACGGCGTCTCTACCAGTGGTTAAGTTTCAGGCTTTTAGCATTTTGAGTTTGGAACGAAGATCAGTGCTTCGATCTGGTGTTTCGGCGGATCATAAACGAGAAATGAGAAATCAGACCGGTCCGTTGCATATTTGAATCGGTAGTCATTACGCCGTAGCACTTCGGTTCCCATTGGGCGTTAGTACTTAGTACGGAGCGAATGTGAATTGTGACTTGTGTGAGTTGCGAGCCCAATTTTCAATTCTAGGGCCGGAATGGGGCTTCGAAAAGCTTCCAGAAGCCTAAATAACGATAGGTAGAGATCGTGAGCTGTGGGCTTGTGGGATGCGGCACTTTTTGCTTGATTGCTCCTCTTTTCCCCGCGTCGTCGATGAAACAAACCAGATCCAATCACTGATCACACCATCGATCGGCTGTGTAGTCTTGACTTGAGAGTTGAGTCCAGACTCCAGGCTCGCTGGACAGTGCACTTCAGCAACACTCAACAGTCAACACTCAGCAGGAGCCAGTTCATCAGCACTTCAATGTCTCACTCAGGCAGAGACCCGAATGGTACATTCCCGTGATGCTGTGCTGCCTTGAGTTTCGTTGACGGCGTAAGGAACAAGTCAACAACAGAGAACAGGATCATCGACAGTCTGAGCCAAAAATATACGCGACGATGGGTCAAGACTCAAGACCTTGCCCTATCGGTGTCCAGTGGGTCGTCTGCCATTTTTGCAGGCGTAATACGGAGTACATAATATTATTACCTCGTGGCTAGAGTCACCCAACCCGTGGATCTGCAGGGTAATTACCGTTTACCATTTGCCAAACACAACTCAATACCAAGTGATACCGACCGATTAACAGGAGATCGACGTGGATCGTGAGACATGAAGTATGTGGACTGTAGACTGTGGACTGTCAAGGGAAGGATGAGATTTTGAGAGCAGAGATTGCAACTCGCAAGTGTGTTATGTTCGTATTTGTGGACACCGGACTCATGGATGATTTGCTCAACAGTCAACAGCGTGAATTGAGAACGGAGAAATTGATGAGAGTCAACCGCGGCGGGTGGTTGACAGTCGACAAGGATCTGGGCGCCAAAGACGCCAAAGACGCTAGAACGCGTCCAAAACCTTCAAAGAAAGAAGGCATGCGCGTGGGTTGCCGCTCTTTCCCTGTTTTGGGCTATGTTGTTGATGGAAGCTCACTGGAAAGAGCGCGTCATCCCCGGGATCATCCCGGTTTCCCGTTGTCCCGTTTTTCGCCCCAATCTTGGGTAGGAATCGCCAACCATTTTCCCGGTGGCTTGGAAGCTTGGATCGCTCCCGCCAATTATCGTTGCTACTTCACGAGATGGTAGAGGAGAAGACGACCCGATCCGTGTGATGCTGTCACGTGATTCTCGAAGTCACGTGGAGACATATTGCTCCTCTGTAGTACTAGCGCCAGCCAATCACAACGCTCCTCCGCCTTCATAAGAATTATAATTTATAGAAGGCAAAACTGTTGAACGTCAGGAGAAATCTATCTCAACCACAAGGGAATCTGTGAACCGCTCACTGCATATTCAGTGACATCTCCTATCCGACGGTGGTACAATATTTCATTGTCCTCGTCCTGTCTTACGGAAGTACCCTCTGGCCATCCTGTCTGTGAGCAACCCTAGCGGAGTTTGCTACTAGCCAGGGTCACCATTGGACAACATCACGGGTGGAAATTTCAATATCTGTGCTCGACGCAAGGGGAAATCACAAGAAAAAGGGTTAACGACCGAACGAGATTTACTGCTCTTAAACGGTGACACTTAGACCATAAGACACGGTACCGATTAGAGCACCGTCCCCGAATCAGGAACCATGGAGGCCGAAATTCAGGCCCAGATCCCCAACATTGACCCCATCCTCTCGGAATATTCGGTCGGCTACCTCCACCACGCCTCCACTGCGTTCATTTCCGAATCCGACCTCTCCGGCGAGTCTCCCTTGGATTCCGCCGCGGCGGACGTCACCGCCCTGCTGCTCTCCGCCTCCGGAGACCTGACCCATCAAAATGAGACGGCCATCGCTCAGCTCGTGCAGAAACTCGCCGCCAGCCTCGCCGCCGAGAACGATGCCGACGGCGAAGGTGGACGACGTATCGCTCCTTCGGCGCGGAAGCTCGAGCAGGCCATCCATGTGGGCTCCCAGCGCAATATCTCATCGACGCTGGGGCTCGCTGGGGGGAACGTGGATCTGGAGTCGGCGGGGAGCCGGAAGGTCGAGTCACGGGTGGATCGCAAGAAACTCGAGAAGGCCGAACGGAAGATCCGCGCCAAGCAAGATCGGAAGGTCATGAAGAATGTCGAGTACGAGGCGTCGCGGCTACTGAACCAGCCAAGCGAAACCCAGACGTACGAGGAGTTCTTCATGGCGGTGAACCCGCTACAGCTAGGCTCGGAGAACAGCACTAAGAGCAAGGATATCAAGATCGATGGCATCGACATCACTATCGGAGGCCTGCGGATCTTGACCGATGCCAATCTCGGCCTGGCATACGGAAGACGATACGGTCTGGTTGGTCAGAACGGTATCGGTAAGAGTACGTTGCTTCGCGCCCTCAGCCGGCGAGAAGTTTCGATCCCAACCCATATCTCCATCTTGCATGTTGAACAAGAAATCACCGGTGACGATACGCCTGCTCTGCAGGCTGTCCTTGACGCTGATGTTTGGCGGAAGCATCTGCTGCGGGAACAGGACAAGATCTCCACAGAGCTGTCGCAGCTTGAAGCGGAGCGGTCGACTATGGCTGATACCTCGGCGGACGCTGAAAAGCTGGATGCGCGCCGAGAAGGGCTCGATATCACCTTGGCAGATATTCACTCCAAGTTAGCTGAGATGGAGTCAGACAAGGCGGAGCCGAGAGCGGCCAGTATCCTTGCTGGTCTCGGTTTCTCCCAAGAGCGACAGCAATTCGCAACGAAGACCTTTTCAGGAGGTTGGAGAATGCGTTTGGCCCTTGCACGAGCGTTGTTCTGCGAGCCCGACCTTTTGCTCCTTGACGGTAAGTGCTAAGACGTCGCTGGATACTGCTTGATGATTTACTAATGCGGAATAGAACCGTCCAACATGTTGGATGTCCCATCGATCACGTTCCTGTCAAACTACCTGCAAGACTACCCATCCACAGTGCTTGTGGTCTCTCACGACCGCGCATTCCTCAATGAAGTTGCGACAGATATTATCCATCAGCACTCAGAGCGGCTGGATTACTACAAAGGGGCTAATTTCGGTATGACATCCACATCTAGAAGCTGGAGACCTTGCTAACAGGCGCTTAGATTCGTTCTACGCCACCAAGGAAGAACGTCGGAAGACGGCAAAGAGGGAGTATGAGAGCCAAATGGCTGTACGAGCCCATCTTCAAGGTCAGCAATCTTCAATCCTTAATAATAATCACCCACCCCTAATGTGTCCCCAGCCTTTATCGACAAGTTCCGCTACAACGCCGCAAAATCGTCCGAAGCCCAATCGCGCATCAAAAAGCTGGAGCGCATGCCCGTCCTTCAAGCGCCCGAGAATGAGTACACCGTCCATTTCCGCTTCCCCGAAGTGGAGAAGCTGTCCCCACCCATCATCCAGATGAGCAACGTCAGCTTCGGTTACACACCCGACAACATTCTCCTCAGCAACGTCGACCTCGACGTTCAACTCGACTCCCGCATCGGCATCGTCGGTCCCAACGGCGCCGGTAAGACCACCGCCCTCAAACTCCTGATCGGCGCCCTCGCCCCGTCCAAAGGCATCATTTCCCAGAACCCTCGCCTCCGCATCGGCTTCTTCGCCCAACATCATGTCGACGCCCTCGACCTCACCACCTCGCCGGTCGGCTTCATGTCCGCCAAGTACCCCGGCAAGACCGACGAAGAGTACCGCCGCCACCTCGGTGCCTTCGGCCTCACCGGCATGACTGGCCTCCAGAAGATGGAGTTCCTCTCTGGGGGTCAGAAGTCCCGTGTCGCGTTCGCCTGCCTCTCGCTGCAAAATCCGCACATCCTCGTGCTCGACGAGCCGAGTAATCATTTGGATATCGAGGCGATGGATGCGCTGTCGACCGCGCTGCGGAATTTCCAGGGTGGCGTGCTCATGGTTAGCCACGACGTGACGATGTTGCGGAATGTGTGCACGGCGCTGTGGGTGTGTGATAAGGGGACGATTGAACATTTCGATGGGACGGTGGAGGATTATAAGAAAAGGATTACTGCGGACGCAGACGCGGCGGGTGTGGTGCGAAAGCATTAACCGTCTTGGATAGATTTCAGCTGTGGGCACTGCACCGCTGGCGTACGCTCCATCCCATATAAGGGAGAAAGATACCTATAGACCTACCTAACTAAATGGAATATGGTACACACCAATCCTCTATCTTGAGAATAGAGTAGGCTTAAACAACGCAAAGATCTGGTGTTTTCGAGGCCATGGACGCAGGATGCTCCTAACTCCCATTACCTGACATCGATGTCAAAGTAGCCAAGTTCCAGTGCCATACGATTTGACTGCGTGATACCCACAACGTGCCGAGGTACCAATTTCTGCAAACATAGGTTTATGTAGATGGAAATCCAATGAATCATCACGCATTACCGTCAATGATCATAAACCATCACACACAAAGGCTACATGGTCAAGAAACCCCAAGAAATGGGGACACCAACAAGAGCCATGTCCGACCCCGTATCCTACCCCATGCGTAACATGCGTAACCTACTGTCGTCTCGCCGCCCACCCCCCGAATCGAACCCAACCCCAGCGTCTCCTATCAGTCTTCTGTTTCGTGGCATCTGCAGATCCATACGCGGCGATCCGGCGATTCGTCTACTATGGTTGTGTACTCGAATGGCTGCCCCGGTTTCTAGCATCGGGATCTTTGCGTGGGTGGGTTCTCGGATCTTGCTCTGTGGTAGCCTACGGAGACAGAAAGAGTTAGGTCTGAAGGTTGGGTAAGAGAAGGAGTGATGGTGGCGGGGAAATAGGATGTGATTTGGGAGGGGCGGGGGAGGTTGTCCGTCTCTTCTTTAGTCGTTTCGGCTGCAGGTGAGATGGTGATCATTGGGGATACGAGAGTCTTGGGGAATTTTTTTTGAGCGGAGAAATTGGAGAGACCGAAGGAGGCATCATGGGGGAGAGGCCGGATAGGGGGTACGGATTCGATGACTTGGAAATAACGTTTACACAAAATCCTGGAGTGGCTCGATGAAAGTGGTAGAGTAAGATCTGGCATATTGGCCGGACTCAATCTCGTGTTGGGTTGAGGCTAAAGGCTCTATGCAAGGCTCTATGTTCCTTCGTGGCGGAACTCCAACACCAGGTTCTTGCCTACGATCTCGAGCGGTTCGAAAAGACAGTTGGGCAGCTCGTTTGCCCTTAGTTTCCTTTCCTCGTTGTCGTATATGATATGGATCGAGTAGACCTACCACTGGCCACTGGCCGAAATCCATAATCATTCTTTTGATCATCTGCTGGCAATTTTATCCCTGGCACCCCTCGATGTTCATCGGTGGAGGATTGACAGGGTTGTTGGCAAATTCAGGCAGCTGGGGTTTGATCTTCGTACGCCTTTGTTCCTTGCGACCCTTGCTGAAGTCGATTTGATCAGTCCGATATTGAACAGAGCATACTCAGATTTCCTGTGGGGTCCAAGAGGCAAGGGGTGAGTGAGGAGAACTGTCTCCAAGATAAAGGGATCAGTAGCTGTATACCCTATTTGAACAGTTTTCTCTTGGTATAACCAAAGAATGATCGGAGAGAAGTTGAAAGACATCTTCTTCGTAGGACCTGGATTTTCCGCTTAGACGATGCATAAAAAAGCATTATACTCCGACGGTTCTTTTTGATTGATGATCAATCCCTTCACGCAACCAGCTTGTTGTCGATGCACGTTTGATCGGCCCGGTTCCCGTCTCATGTCCCTTGCTACTCCAGTTGCTCATCAATGTTTGGAGCGAGAGCAAATGAGCTCGGCCGTTTAGTGTTCGGGCTGGGTGGGACTGTATTCAAGCTCTTTGAGAGATTTGATACTCTCTTTGTGACGTTCTCATGCTCTTGGGAATGTCCTGTTCTTGTTCTTCGGGCGCGTGGCTCCCAGTCAATTCTCGGAGTTTCTGTGTCAGTCAGTGTTTATCCCGGCGTGATAAGGCTAAATACCTACCTCCTAATTCCAGCCTTTCTGAGCCAGATCCAGTGTTGCAAGCATTACATGGAACGTATTCTTGTACGATTAATACTTGCTCTTCTGAGGTATTGAATTCTCGGCTCTTGGAATATCTGTTTGATCTGCGATCCGAGATTGAACAGTATCAGGGGATCGATTTTGTAGTTTGCCTCTTCCTGAATCGCATCGACCGCATTCAACTTCTCATCTAACATATCCAAGCATCAGTTAGCAGTATCTTGCGTCGCGACCGAGCGTCGAAGATAGAACGACAAAGATTCGACTTGCTCGAGCGTGTCGCCGAGGATTTCGAGCACCGCGCAAAAGCATAAGATCTCATTGCCCATGCGTCTAGGCTCCTTGCCAGTTTCCCCAAGGCCGGAGGCCAGTATATATAGGATCAGTGAGAGAAACATATCGTGCTTCGAACCCTATCCTCATGTCGACGGACAAGGCTGTATTTGAAGCCTTGAACAGTCATCCCAGTGGATTCGCAGCCATGACAGAGACAGGAGCGACTATCCGCACGAGACCACACTCCTTTCCTTCTCACGTAGTTATACTCAAACAGCGAGGGTTTCCATGAGTGGCGTTGAAGCTATCGAAGCCTTGCAGGTATCGCCGCGGTCTGACATTCAGCCAGCCATCCTTCTCTCGAAGCTTATACTCCACGTAACCAGATCGGAGTCAATATACGCCAGCAAAGGATCTCATTTGCCAACTATTTCCAATATATACTATCAAGTCAATCATTCCAGTCATATTGAACACCATCACACTTTATCTCAAGGTGGTCGATTACCTCTTACCCTTCAGCACTCCTACAACCGACCTATGATTGCATAGATGTGCAGATCACCGAAGGTTCATTCCACTTATCAATGACAAGCCAGTGATATTTCCAATATTTCCCAGCACCCCATTAGCAATTCATTGTTCCTACCTCCAGAACTATGCTCTGGGCTCCTCCCCTGGAGAACGAGGTGAGGTTAAAGGCCACGCTAACCTTTTTGGGATTCACTGACTAGGGTGGACTTGTCGCCTGAGCGCCTTGACGCCTGATGCTTGATGCAGATGCTGATGGACAACATCTCGTGCTTTCCACAACAGACGCCTCAGTCAGTCACCTTCTGGCGCTGGTCTGGATGCTTGTTCTGTTTTCCGGCTCCTTCATTGCCTCGACTTCACCTCGGACGCCTCTGTCACAACCCAACTATCGACCTCACCTCAGAATATATCATGCGTCTCTTCATATAATTGCTTGCTACAGCTGGACGACTTTCAATTCCCTGCCTTTTCGCTCCAAGCACTTCATGCCGACGACTTAGCGCCTTGCACTGTTTATCGACCGTCCGCCCTCCTTTCCCGAATCCCCTCGTCCTACTCTCACCTGTGAATTCTCAATATCGAAATAGACCCCTGGCAACAATCGCCACCTTGTCGGACCCACGAGATCCCGCCCGCGGTGCTGCCGCTCCATCTTCTCCATCGCGATCCCGACCCCTATCACCATCCACATCCCCACCGCCCTCCTCTCCCTCCCCAACCGCACCGTCGACATCCCTCGACATCCCCACGCAAAGCCCTCCCCCGTTCTCCTCCCTCTATTTCCCCCCCGACGATTCGGACACCGACTCAAGCGACGCGCCGAACCCCCCTGCCGCCTCCGCGTTCGTTCCCGCGCCCCCAGCCTTCTTCCATCCCGCCCCGCCGTTCGAGGAATCGTCCTCCTCCGCGGTTGCCGCTTCCGCCGCGAGCGTCGTTGCCGAGACCAAGGCCGCGCTTCCACCGGACACCAAGGACGCGGTTGGCAAAGACCTTGACGACGGAGAGCCGCCGCCACCGTACAGCGAGGGAGATAGTCCGATCGAATCGTTTACATACGTCATGGCGACTGCGGGTGGGCCAGCGAGTATAATCACGCAGGTGCAGCAGCAGTCGGCTGGAGCGCCGTTGAATACGTTGGGAGGTTTGTATCACTGCGGTTGAAGTTGGGCTAGGGCTGACGGACTCGGTGCATTTAGGTTCTGATGAGACGATTACGCTGGATTTGAGGTACGCAGGAATGGACCGTGGTGACCGAGGCCGTGACTGATTGTCCGTAGAGGAACGCGGTTCACATTGTCCCGAGATGAATTACTAACGTTACCGGAATTTGTCCTTCTCTCCTTGTTCCCCAACGGGCTCCTTCCCGACGGCCACATGAACTCGTACCACGATGGAGACGTCTACCCCGTCGATGTTAGTTTCACCGCTCTTTCCCCCGAGCCGTCCGCTGCCAGCAACCCCAGCCGGCAACCGGGCGGCCTTCTAATCCCTAACGGGCTGCGGCGCCATCTGGCCGACCCGTCTTTGTATCTATCTGACATGTCTTATTCCTCCCAGTACGATCCCAGTTCCCTGCAGTATATGCTAGATTTCTTCCGGCACGTGGCACAAACTATTCCCGTCTCGGCGCCTGATGCGAACGAGCAGTCGCAGGGCCCGAATGAGGCCGTGCCTATCGAGCCAATGCAGGGTTCCGCGAGGGACATGCTGCAGGATCGCGCCGGCATCATCGTGCTGCAGGAGAATCTCGACTTCTACGCCATCCCTCCGAATCGAGACATCGAGCAGACCGAGATGATCGAGGTCAAGCGCGCCGCCGGGCGTGCGTTGTTGAGGCAAGACGGCATCTTCTCCGGCTTACGAAAAAGCGAGGAGCCGGGTTCTACGGAACAGCATTTGATCGAGATGTTGACCGCTGGGTTTGTCTTACTTCTTTCTTTCGTTGCTTTGTTGGCCCCTCATCTTCACCAACACGTTCATCTAATCCGAGGCTTCTCACGTGCTGACCCGACATCACAGCGGTTTCAACCACGAAGACCGATGGGGCCACCGGGCCGGCGAACCCAACAAAGCGGTCGTCAGCAGCATCGCGCTCGCGCGTCTGCGCACCGACATCCGCGGCAACGACCTCGCAGGCACCAACGCGGTCAACATGGCGCAGAAGCTGCTCCTGTTCTGGCGGAAGCCGGCGCGACGATGCTGGTGGGAGGGGGTCGAGCTGGACGACGTCGAAGGTGTGGACGGCCCGCTGAAGGTGTGGATCCGGAGGGTATGGACGCTGGAGATGGTAAGTGGCGATGCCCAGCGACGTGCGGTCGAAACTCTCAATAGACGGTATTAACGATGTGGCAGAGCGTTATCGGGTTGCGATAGGCGGAGCGACCGCGTGCGATTTGAGGAGCGTGGTGATTTTTCTGTCGTTCGACGGAGCGGCGCGGCTGAGATGCATCCATCTGCGGTTTATAACATTGCATCTCTTTTCCCATCCGTGAGCGGCCTCCTTACTTATTACGAAACGATCGTTTGCTGTCCTTTCGCCCTTCTGGTGTGGTTCGCTTGTGGTTTGCAGCGCGGATCTTGCTGTCCGACCTTCCGCATTTGCACGACCTGCCGTGACGTCGCCTACGGTTCGATACGCAAATCTAATCTGAGCATTTTTTGCGATCCCGGAGCGCTAACCGGGACTCTTGTGGAGGGATTCGACTCGCCGATGTCAAATCGGGCTTTCTCTCTCTTCTTTTCCTTTCTCTTCTATGTCAAAAAGCAACGGCTACAGCGCCACAGACCATCTAGTCTAAATTTCATCAGATAGAGTCCGTATCTACGCTTTCACGGTTGTGGCACCAGGGGTTGCCCGCCTTTGCGTTGCTATGTCGTCTGATACTTGATATCTACTTGATACACGGGGAATGGCAGCGTGTATAAACGTTTGAAGTCCTCTACAATTGTTCGAACACACGACTGGTACCTGGAATATCGTCCCTGGAGAACCGATATCACCCAGACAGCGTAGTAGATGAAGTGGTTGATATCAGGGTCCATTCCGGTTACGCCAGATACCTTCATATATTGTCCGGCGATCATTCCTTTCTCTATGCCGTCGCATTGCTAAATATTCCAATCAAACCAGTTGAAAGACCAATTGTCCCGTCAATATCTGAACTTCGAGGCTCAACACGGCCAATAGTGAAGGTATCCCCTTGGCTCGGTGGCTAACACTCCCAAGATATGTCGCATTCGACCATTTACAACGAGGGTATCTAGGAGTTGAGTGTTGAGTATTGACGGCTCCGACTTCCCCCAGGGTCCAACGCAGCGGGGGCGACCGCGTACGATAGAGGGGATCAGGAGCGTACGAAGATAACTCGGACTTAGACTCGGTCATGTGACTAAACCACCTATACCCAAATACGTACCGACCGGAATTCCCGGAGCAGTTTCCGGGCAGGCTATCATTCGATGAAGTGTTGAAGTCAGGATGGCGTTAGAGATGATGAGTAGACGGAGGGCGCGGAATGTCGGACGGGAATCTCCATGGGTCGATGGGTCGATGCGATTTTGTGAGAGAGTGTTGGGGGGGGGGACTAATTTAGGGGGAGCCAATATTCATTTCTATCAAGAGGTTTCTTTAAAATATAATAATTCATTCAAATTCTATCCTAGACTCGGTGGTTCGAATGATACCAACTGAATCATTATTCGAGTTCGTTCAGCAGCACGAAGCTGAGTAGGCACCAAGGCATTCAAGGGTTCTGTTCCATAGATGTCACGTGGATTTGGGGGAGTTATGCTGAGTCAGCGCCCTTGACCAGTTGACCTCATCACCTCTGCTCTCAAAGCTCAAGGGACAAAGCTCAATTCCAATCTGGAGGGTCGCCAAGGGTCCACGAGGAATGACATCATCGGCCGCACTGCCGGAGTTAGAGCCCAGAGCGGGTCTTCTTAGTTTCACTCCAAGACGTGAGTCAGTTCCTGGGGAGTAGAAGTCCAATGATAACTCTCGGTAGGTAACTACGACTTAAAGTTACGGATACTGCACCCTTGATTGATCGACCTCTCCACTGGACTATCACACGAGCACGAACTACTGCATAGTAAGTGCAGGCGACATGGCACACCTAGGTGCTATCCCCAGGTCATATCGTCATAGTTCATCCATCGTGTATTCATGTCGATCGATAGGGACGAAAGTCCACTTCATGATTCACCCAACCCTACTGTCGAAAATCATCCCGCTGTCGAGGTTTCTGGCTACATATCCTCTGATCCATGATAGTCGTTGTTGAGTATGTCGTATCTCGCGTGCAGGATTCTCCGCGGAAACGAATGAAACTACGCTTGCTGGAAGGCAAAGGGTTCTTCCCCATGTGGCAACTAGGTATCGTGGGCTTCCGACCGGCGCAATGGGACTCCTCAGTAAATCACCCACTCATGCCCTGATGAAGGCTGAAATAGCAACGGACAGATCTCCGGTAGGAAAAAGGGTAAGGGTCATTGACATCGATTGGGGTCCGACTGCGACAGGCTGCATGCCCCCCCGCCACCCCCTCATTCGGTGAGCTGCCCAAACGAGGAAATAGGAGGGGTCCGCAAGAAAGTTCACCTCAGTAGCCGTCAATTGGATCATCAAGAGAGCGATGTCGACCCAAGGGAACATTGGGATCATCGTCACGGCCTGAATTGGGGACACGGAAGTTTGGCATGCAGGGGATTAATAGCGCGTCTCAGGAAATCAGGGTTCAGATTCCATTATTGCGGACCGTTTGGGAAACGTTACGGGCTGGACAAGCAGGATTATGACGCCAGAGCATCGCAAACTCGCAATTGAATGGAAAAATGGATGGCCCATGGAATCGATAGTTTGCATGCGCCGGCCAGGATGTCCTTGCAGCGCCAGTGCATCGCGAGCGCAGAAGTGGGAACGAACTTCAACGGTCAGCCGCCGAATTTCGATACAGCGAGGAAACGGGCATTTTCGAGATCGCCATCCGAAACCTCGATCGCGGGTGGATGGCCGTTGGAGGGGAATCTCAAGGAATCCTGTTCGCTCGGCGGGCGCTCCATGAGTCCATGCCGGTCCTCCCCTTGCCGTTGCAAGGCGGTGGGTCCGATTGGTTGACGGTCGGGGTTGAGCTACCGCTGATGTCATGGTGGTTTGGGACTTGGGGAGGGGTGCGACCTGCAAGGTTGCGAAGTGTGAGGAGACGGTAAGTGGCACTAACTGCTGGCGATGACGTCGACGGTTGAGTTTGATCATGGATGGGGATGAATTACAGTGCTATGTCTGGACTGGAAGTACTGTATACAAGTACTGTGTTACTGTGTACGGGACTCCCAAGTTCTGCTCCGGAGTGCTCAATGAGAAGAGTATCAAGCAGGCTTAGCTCGGCTACACAATGGAAGTGAGTACAATCCCCATCAGATAGTTAAGTTAAGGGTTACCAATTACCATATTAAAATTTTGGAGTGAGTTCATCTGGTAGATAGGATTTGCACTGTTGCAGTGGGACTGTGGGAGTGAAGGAATCATTCCTCCTTGTACGCTTTATAAGTTATAACCTCAGGGTTTATTTTACCAGGGGAAATATGGGTTCATGGGGTGATAGAAATATTGTTATATACTAAAACCGCCTATGATACCCTCTCATGGTAAATATTACTGATTCGTTCATAATTACAAGATCTATAGAATCAATGGAAAAATCCGTATTACACTAACAATAGTCAATGACAAATTGATAATCCATTATCCATTAATATTATCTCGGCTGCCAATTGCTACGTATGGTCTATGACCCTCAATGACAAGCTCTGGGGGGAGGGGGGCTGACGCCAAAGCTGTTGGAAACTTGGAAGCGATCGAGATCGAGTTTTCGTCCCGATTATGGTGATCCCATTTGACCATGTCCCGCCCCAATTCCCATGCTTGATGCTTGTACAGCAGCCGACACTAGCGATGCAGCCTGGACCTTTCGAAAGCATGATGTCGCCCTGCTTTTTAGTTTGGCCTCTTCCCTTGGCTTCCGAGCAATTGGAGGCCGTTTCGTTCCCTCGACTTCCGCTGCGCCCCATTTAATTCCAATCGTCGAACCCTGGATCTGCTGGGACGCTGGGACGCTGGGCCGAAAGGTACAAACCCTTCGTCTCTCCCCCCACTCCTCCGACTCCCCTCCATCATCATTACCCTTCTATTGTCGACCCCTCGGACTTTCGCTCTTCATCCTGTCTGGAATCCACAGTGATCTTGTTCACCCTTTGGTTCTTCCCCTCGTTCTACCCTCGTTTCCCCCATCCATTTTGTTCCATACCCGCGACCACTCTCAGCTGTAACCAGTACATCACCACTCCCCCTCATCCCCCGGTTCACTAGAAGTATTATTCCCTTTCGACCCTCAAAACGTCCCCTCCACCTATTCCTACAGCCTTCGGGGTCCCATCGTGAGCTCATTCTTGCATGGAAACAAACGCTTCGATCGGGTCCAGCTCTCGAACTCGCGGGTCTCTCCACCGTCGACCCTCTCGTACCCCTTCAGCTTCAAAGTCTGCTGAACCACTGTGGAGACCAGATCGAGCTGGATCATCCCACTGATTTTGCAAGACCGTATCAATTGGGACATAAAGCATCCACTTGGCCAGGTCGAATTTTCTCACATCGATACATTTTCTTCTGGTCCATGAAGTCTAGGCACGAGACGTCGGCTTCCCGCTTCCCCTCCTCTTATTGCATATATACTCCCTTGCCTTCCCCAGTCACCATCGTGCAAGGTTGAATTTCCATTGAACAAATCCATGGTGAATCCACGGTGAAGATTCGAAACATAAGACCCTCCGAAGAGTCGAAAGAGCCTCCTACACCCAGGGACCTCCTTCGTCTTCCCCCCGTGCTTCCTCCCGCTACTTTCACCTTCGCTTTCCATTCATCATGGATGGCCGAAATAGCGCAGGCCGCCGAATTTCGCTGTTGAACGACACCAATTCACCGCCGTCAGCCGCCACACGCGGTCCTCCCTCCCGCTCGGCTCTACACACTCTCAACAAGGTCACCCGCCCTCCCATCTCCAACTTCCTTTCCTGCCACAACTCGTCCATCGCATCCGTCACCACCAAACTCTCGGAGTGTCGCATCCCCTCGCTGCCCTCGCGTTCCCGCACCTGCAGCTTCTCCTCCTCCTCCGACACGCCGCAGCTCGTGCGCTGCGACTCGTCCGATTCGGCCGCGATGCAGTCCCCGTCGCCCATCACCCCCAATTCGAGCACCTTCGACGACCTTCAACCGCAGGATCCCGCCGGCATCGCGAACAACCTTCCTCTCTTCCCCACCAGCTCAAACCTCTACGGCGTACCGAAGGACGGGCAGTCGACGTATCCGCCGTTGAACGCGCAGCCGAGCCCGTACACATTCGGCTACCAACCATCACAACCTCCGGTGCAGCAAATGTACAAGACGGGATTATCGCCGCCGGACGCCAATGGCACCGTCGCGCAAATCGACGATTCCCTCCCCGACGATCCCATCATTTCTGCCGAAACACCCCAATCCGACGTCGGCGCGACATCCCGGCGCAGCAGCGCCCAAAAGTCGAAGAAAAACACCTACCCATGCCCGCTCGCCAAACAATTCAATTGCAACGACTACTTCACGACGTCCGGCCACGCGGCGCGCCACTCCAAGAAACACACGGGGAAGAAGGACGCCGTGTGCCCGCAATGCCACAAGGCGTTCACGCGCAAGGACAACATGGAGCAACACCGCCGCACGCACAAGGAGGGTCGCGGCTCAGTGGCCTCCGCGGCCAAGACGAGCCTCGCGCCCACCGATTCCGGCGTGAAGAAAGGCCGCCCGTCGACGACAGCCACGCGACGGAGCAAGGCCAACTCCCTCCTTGCAATCTCGCCGCCCGCTACACAATCTCTCCTCGGGACCGGCGCGTCTGGTTCTAGCTTTCCTCTGGGTTCGACCCTTCCTTCCGATCCGTCGCAGATGTCGTCTAGCTACCCCTACAACACGCCGCTCGATTCTGGGCTCCCGATGCCTTCGCTTGGCGCCCCGCAGCCCTATCCCACCAACTTCCTCGGACGATTACCGTACACGGGTGTCTCTGGGGCGTCTGGGCAAGGATTGCCGCCGGTCAGGGCAGCGCCGGGGGTGACCTCCGGGCTCGAGACGCTGGCGATCGCCGCAGCGAGCGATGGCACGCTGGAACAACAGGCATTGCAAGCTTCAATGCAAGCTCCGTTGCAAGCTCCGTTGCAAAATCAATTGCAGGGTCAATTGCAGGGTCAATTGCAGGGTCAATTGCAGGGTCAATTGCAGGGTTCGTTTCCCAGCCAATTGCAAGGCCAATTGCAGAATCAATTGCAACCTCCGTTGCAGAGCCAATTGCAAGGTCCAGTATCCGACCCATTGCAATAAAATCCAATAAGCCTGGACACGAAATAGTCCGATTCTTCCTTCCGCTCGCGCCTCGCCGTCGCGGAAGGCTCTCGCATCCTACAAAATCCTTAGCGCGTATCGGCGGTGGAGACCCGACAAACCGCGTCTCCCAACCGAACCATCTGAGGGTGAAAGACCCTGTATTCATACCGAAATCCACGAGTGCGGTGACCTCATCGCTCAGCTCCCGGATTTTTCTCTCTTTTTGATCAACAATAGATCCAAGTCACGTGAGTGCCACGTGGTACACGTGAACATGCCGCATGTGCCACAGGCGGCGCTTTGGATTATCCAATCAGCGAAGTCGAATTTTGACTTCATCTCATCGTCGCCTTGACAGGTCTGTTGGTCCTTTCAGGACAGCGAGGAGGGGGCAATGAACCCTTCCGCCCTCTCCCTTTCTTCCACCCGACTGAAGCAGAAGGGCCGGTGGTCGACCTACGGACTTCGGGGTCCACGCCGCATGACATTGTTTGGAATCACCTATTTCGCATCACCTCTCTTCGCACAGGGTTTCTCCGTCGGATTTTCGAAGAGATGGCGATTGTATGAGACCATGAAATAGACGGATTCGGCCGTCATGGCTCGCCTGATGATCTGGGCGCGTGGGAGCGCGGACGGAGCGGTTTTTTTCCTTCCTGGATTTCTCGTTATCGTTTGGGGAAATGGGTGGCTCGGGGTGAGCCCGGAGCATACATACGGGATGGACTTTAGGCGTTTACAGGTGGGGGGGGGGGACGGGATTGACAAGCAAAAGCGCCAATGTATCCATACATAGGTTGAGGGACGGGAATAATGGGTGATTGGAGACGACATTGTTAGACGTGTTCATATCATAATCAAACGATTCCCTTGTAATTTGATCGTGCAATTTTCGCAGATGATTTGGTCGTTTACCAAACCGACGTATATAGTGCAACTGATGCATGTTCGGATCAGTCCATTCCGGAAGTCATACCAATATCATACATTTGAGATAGAGCCATGTATCTGCTCATAACGAGCGACTCGCTCAAAACGTCGCCACGTCAATCCTGATCACACCTTCCGCTTCCGTTTCTTGAAAACCACTGCACCCTCTTCTGTCTTCCGCACAGTAGTCTCCTCCGCCTTGACAATCGTCTCCGCCCGCCCCTCAACATCCCTCCCATCCTTCGCAGCCACCGACTCCTTTTCCTCCTCCGCCTCGATCTGTCGGTCCACTTCCTCTTTCACCACCTTCTTCTCTCCCTCTCCCTCCTCCTCCACCTGCGTCCCCCCAACCGATCCCGCCAATAACGCCTCCAACTCTCTCCCCCCATCCACCCCCGACCCCCCAGGCCACCTCCTCAACGTGCTCCCCCAATTCTTTGTCCCCACCTTCCCCACCTCCTCCTCCTCATCCCCTCCTCTTTCCTCCACCTTCCGTTTCCTTCTCCGCTCCACCCCTCCACTCGACCTCTCCCCTTCCTCTCCTTCCCTC